AAATGTACTGCTGTTATGTGTTATGACTTTGGCCTTCCTTCTTTCTTTCTTCCCCTTGTTGTTCATTTTCATTTGCAAGTTGTTGGCACACACATTCATGATTGCTCTCGCTTTCATTGTTAAAATTCACACCTGTAAATTTCACTGCTGTTGTTCTTGGTGTTATTTCTCTAACTTAGGCTATGATCGTTTGGTCGGATCCGGATCCAGATCCGAATCTCAGATCCGTCGGATCCTTCGGAATCAACGTATCACTTTTTCTCGGACCTTGGCTGTTGCCATGTGGACGAAGTAAAAAATGGCGCTTACAGGTCACCCAAAAGGGCGAAAGTCGTACTGATCGCGCACGTCGTACGAAAAGTCAACAAAAGTCGACTAGTCGTATGACAATGACTACAAAAATGATTTTTACCCGCCATATACGTCACATTTGGATCCGATGGATCCAGTCAACCCTGCTCCCGGGGCAGGGTTGCTCGGATCCAAATCCGACGGATCTGGATCTGGATCCGACCAAACGATCGCGGCCTTAAGTTTCCCACAATAGTTCAATTTTGTTTCAGTGTCCTTTAGTACAACGACGATTCCTGATGTGTGTAGTATACACAAACGTCGATTCAGCTCGTCTCATTGCTTGCGGTTAACAACAATTTTTCTGCAAAACTTGCCGTACTCCCACCATGATAGGGACGGGCGAGCAAGCAGACCGGAAGTAGCGGATGCAAAATCATATTGACACTAACATACTGGTGGAGAAGTGATCACAGATCTCGCGTTTACGTTCGCACTCCAACGAAAGTCGAACTCGGTGAAGAAGTTTGCGTTATGATGAGGATTGGCAAACAGATTAATTCCCACTTTCATGACATTGACTGGTCATGCCGCTACATGCGTACAGAGTTACTTGCCATTCGTGTTTCGACTGCTTTTTCGAACGAAAAGTGCAAAAGTTCACAAACCAGTTCGTCAACCAAAATTTTTTCACAAACTTAATACAAAATTTGTGATACTTATCCTCTGTAATTGGGGAAGGTGTAAGTACTACAAAAAGGTTCGATCTCCGAATCTTTAAAAAAGTTGTAAGTACTACCGTGAAATCCTGCCAGAGCACCCCTACCTCCGCAACCATTTGAGTAGATCCATTTGGGGAATGGTGGATGGGCGATTCCTACTTGCTGCATTCAGTACTACATGAAAAGCACTCACCCCACGCAAACTGTGCTTGCGTCTCGTACAACGACCGAAGGTCAAGAGCTGGGAGTCGTACAAACCCGTCAAAACCCTAGGGTTTTTGCGATCCCTGGTCAAGAGGGTGGGAACTGTTGCGTACATTTCCAACCAAGTCAGGGAGGGGCGCATGTGAGAGACGGGCCCCGCTCTGGCGCTATTTTACGGTACAATGTACTAGTAACAACACAACAGTGAAACATATTTTAAAGGTTACCACTTGTCCCATGCAAACGACTCGATTCACTCGATTCACTCGGGTTGGGGTTACTAAATTCCAAAATCACATTTTGTCTGTCTGCCTTAGTCTGCCTTGTTGAAGTGGGTAACGATCAGGACGGTATCAAAAGTTCCGGAACCAAAGGCTAGCTTGGGTCGGCCTACTATCAAGAGGGGTTCTAGTGTGAAGCAAACTCAATGAGAACAGTGGAAACGGGCTGTGCGTTCATGTTGATTGCTATCACTGCTTGTCAACTGACACATTTCATTCATCTTCAACCTGCTCCGCTCAATTCTCTGCTGCGAATACTCTTCATTCCGAGCTTGGTCATTGGAAATATACCAGTTGTACCTGATAGCTGGTCCCGTGGGACTGCCTTTGGTGGGTCGTGTCCCAGCACCTGTGCTTGCTGACTCTTCCAATGCAACCACCGTCTTGGTTGGCATCCACAATGTTGACTGGAGGGCTCGTTCAGCCGCGGGTATGCGGTGGCATTCAATGGCCGTGATGCTTGATGAAGTGCTGAAAGTCCTACCCACGTACAGGCTAACCACTGACACATTGCCGGCACTCGAAGCTCTATGTAGATAATGCTCGAGGATTGAATCTAACTGATGACTGTGGATCACACACTCGCTAGTGCTTGGGGTAACTGGCAACTTGCACCACAAGGTGGCAACAACAGCATCAGAACTCAACACACTAGGTGCAAATACGCACAACTTGTGACATGTGACTCGCAACTGAGGCAGTGGGAGTGGTACGCCGAAAAATGGAAAAAATCCGATTCTTCGGCCAACTAGGCACGTTTTAGCGCTCTTTTGTTGTTTTCTGGATGAACCGGCCGGGCGGACCATCGGTGCATCCTAGACGAAAGGTGGTACGACCATGGTCGTGCCATGTGTGACGCTCCTGATTTAGTTCATCACTACAGAGTACATTCTGTCGTGCTGTGCTCATGTGTGGAGCCATGCAATCAGATTTATAATACAGTCATGCATGTACGTACAACTGCCCTTGGATTGAGGCTTAGTGACAAGTACAGCCCTGGAAGGGCTCCTTCCCCTCTCGCCAGAAGGAACTACAGTAAACAGCGGTAGCGACTGCGCTGGTGACTGCAAGAAAGTGCCGGTAAGTACTTAGTGAACTGCTTCCAACGAAACGCGCGCTACCGCAGGCGCAACCACTGAATCCGCTTTCTTATGGAAGAAAGAGATTATGATCGCCAGTGTAGATCTACCCGGCACAAGCAACAACCAGTGACTAAAGACCACCGTGACTAGCGACCAGCCTGGTACAGTCCCTGTCTGTATCGCCTATAAGGTTGGCGGCTATAGTAATATAGCGGATATAGTGATCAATTTCTCAAATTCATTTTCATTTGTCATAACTAAGTATACACAGTTATCGCGCATAGTAATAATCGTCTATAGTAATAATTATATCGCCTATAGTGATCAAATTCATATTTCAAAAGACTAGGGCTGAAAGTTGGCACCAAGATCCCGAGTTCAAGTACTCTGATTTTCTCGGATCGAATATTCGAGTATTCGAGTATTCTTCATCACCTAAAAATTGCACACCAAGTGGCTCAAAATCACATGATACAAGTTCATACAACCCTGATCGAACCGAGTAGCAGTCATTGTTCTGGGGTATATTCACTATATTGGTTGGTGGGTCATTTGAGCTCTCTCTACTCGTGAACAAATGTTCACCACACAGTGTGCACATCAATATCTGCTGACTGCTGCTCTGAAACTGCAGATTTCTGTGGCTAATGCAAATGCAAATGCATGACATGAACGAGTACTCTGATTTATTCCGAGTACGATTATTTTTGAGAAAAACCTAGCGAGTACTCCAGTATTCGGTATAATTGTTTCAGCCCTACAAAAGACCTTTATTACATTATTTTGCATCGGTTATAGTGATTGATGTAAAATCAAGCGATGTCAGAGGAGAACAGGGTGTTACTTCTTCGTGAAGAACTTGTCCAGTGAGTGTTGTTTGGTGAGTTTTGCTCGTACAAGTTGCCAAAATATGCCTCCATCATGAGGAAATGCTGATTTTGTGTGTCAGGAGCTACAGCCAGCTACATGACATTGTACATGTATGTAGTGCGTATGTGCACGGCGCGCCGAGTCGTTTGACACCCCACTCGCATACATTGCATGCAGTATCGGTCATAGTAATAATATATCGCTTATAGTGATAAAATGCTCAAAATCAAACACCAACGCTATAGGCAATACTGACTGTACTACAGACCACTTCGCCAGGCACGGACGCTCTCACATCCATATAATATAATGGTTGTGCGGTGCAAACCTCTAAACTAAGGACCACCTGCCACTAAAGACCGCTTTCTCTGGCCCCAAGGGGTGGTCGTTAGTGACAGGTTTTACTGTCTATGCATAGTTGTAGTGCAGTCTGCAGGGCTGACTGGACTTGTGTATGTTCAAGTTGTGAAGGAAGCAATCACTTACCGGTGGATATTCCACGTGATTTCTGATGTGGTTCCCTCGTTCCATCCAGCAAGTGACGCCCTTTGCCAAGCATGATGCCAGATGATACTTGCTCCGGTGTAGAAGGTACGAGCAGGACATGGCGCTTCAACGAACCATGCTGCGAGTTTCCAGCACCCGTGTTGATGAAGAAAGTAGTTGCCTTGCAAACCGGATTGGTTGCTTGCCAGCGGCTAAGCGGTCCACATCCACAGGACCGAGGAGACCATTGCAACAACACTAGGCAAGAAACTTGAGGTCAGCATGAGTGAGGGAGAATGTGAAACTGCGACGGGCTTATAAACCCTCCACTGACTGTTCACATGGCTCAAGGCGCTACAAATGGTGCCAACTAGCGGCCGGGCCATGCAAGCTTTCCGCCAGGTCACGTTCGCAGAAGTTTTAGCAAAGGTCCTGAGAGGTGTTCACATGGTTCACGAGGCTACATCCAGGTAATAAACATCCGGCCCGCGCCGCTTAGCACACAACGGAGCAGGAACAGGTGAGAAGGAGTACTCGTCCACCAGGTCCACTGACTTGGCTCATGCCAGCTCACGAGTCATTCCCATCATGGCATGGACTCCTGGTTGTTTGGAGGATCGAGGAAGAGAGTGGAGTGGGCCACGCCACGGTCACACATGACAAGTTTACGCCTCCACTGGTGCTGTGCGTTTCAGCCTTTCAAGTTTCAGGTGCTACGCCGCGCCTAGGCGCCTAGCGCCTAGCGCCTACATCGCTCCATGAGTATCCGCCATACTATCGGTAAAAAAATAATATCTTGCATAGGCCTCTCCTGCCATGCCCGACTAGTGTAGATCTACCTTTCTCGTCTACTGTACTTCCGTGCCCTAAGGCCTAACTGAACTCCTTGTACACGTATTTCCCTTTCCTCTTTGCTTTTTCCTTCTCGGATCCTTGGCAATCAGATACTCAGACAATGTCATGAGTAATGTCATGTAAGTGCAGAGACGCTAGACGCCTTTCGAGCGCGCCATATAGAGTCGCGACAACTCTCGCATGTCGGCAGATCAAAGATCAAAGTCGGCAGATCAAAGTCCAGGTCAGGGTACATGACCTCAATCGACTCCACGGATATCCGGTTGCCAGTGCAGTGGTTGCAGTCAGGCAGGATTCACTTTTCACGGTCGATCTACAGGACATACAAGTCATGTAGGTTGACTTCCATTCCTCCACAATCATGTAGATCTAGATCTGCCATGTCATGACGCAGTAGGCCTTTCTTGCCAATCATATACCGGTATCTTGGACTCTGGGCCGATGAGGATTATTGATTGTGATTGAGAAGAGAAGATTGAAGGTCAAGGAAAGGCCAAAATCGTCCAAGAAGCTAAGGCCTATAGCAGTATAGGCTACACTACAGCTTACTTTGGGCCGACTCGTTGGCAGCTTGAAAAATCGGATATGCAGCGGCAGCCGAGTCCTGGGCCGGGCAGCAGCAGCAAGAACAAAGTGTGGGACAAGCTCAAGTCAGACAGCCGTGCCAAAGGCTCCCCGTTGTATTCGGAACTTTCCGCGATTCGACTAGAACGAAGCTGGAAGAAGCTGGAGGGGTTGCAGAGGAATGCAAAGATCGGAATCCCCGAAATCGCCAGACAATATGAATTAGCCAAGATTGAGTGGTCGTTGCATGATATTTTTGTAATAGCAACGCCTAGTTCGTTGAATAGAGCAGTCTTCCCCTCGGACGAAGTCAAGAGGAAACACGCCGTGGTAATCGAGAGTCTTCGACGACTGGCTGGCCCTCCCGAAGAGGACGTAGCTGACTGGTTCACAGTGGAAGCGAGGCTGCTATATGCTAAGCTTCTGTTCTCCATTGGCGACTCGGAGGAGTTCATGCTGGTGCTGAAATGTTTGAACTTGGAAGAAGAGCATCGCGCGGAAGCCGAGTGGCCCATACATGCCCGACGGCTGCATGCGGAGTGCATGGCCATGAGTGCTTGGAGCTGCGTGCAGCGAACACTAACACTGCTGGAGAATGCGGCGCAGCAGAGGAATTCACAGGAGGTCCTTGACGCTCTACAGAAAGCTATCAGTACGTCCTTACTGTACCTGGAAGACTTGGAGTGCTCATTCGGTGGCGGCGCAGCGCCAGGAAGCAAACTCATCACTATTGGCGCTGCTGTGAGCGACTGGCTTGAAGAAATACTATGCACTGCTCCGCTATTGTACCTGGCACTGGGCCTCACTGATGTTGCAGTGCAGACGTTTAGAAAGATCATGGAAGCATCACCGTCCAGGTTCTCCGCGGGATTACGGTTACGCGCTGCCGGCCAGCTTTCCCTCACACTGCTGAGAGCATTTCCACAGAGCTACACAGAGGATGCAACTGAGTTACATACGTCATGTGACATAGGACTGGATTGGATGTCACAGGCGGATGCGAGACGTCAAGAATGTCGGCGGGAAGAGTTGGTGCGGGCCGTGTGCATCGCTGAGCAGCTGGTTCGAGAAGGAGCGGTGGAAAGTCGCTTTCCCAAAGACAAGGCCGGGCATGACATCTGGTACGGCAGTCAGGCATCAGCAGTGTATGATGTAGCCGTTCTGGCTCTCGCTAACCGTGATCAAATAGAGCTGGCGAGCCTTTTGGAACACTCGTTACGATACGCATTTGATGACGAGCACATGTGGATTCAGTTTGGCCTCTCACTGATGTGCTGTGGTCGGTTTGAGCATGCACAGGTCGTGCTGAGACAGTGCTTGGCCCAGCATGCGCACAGCAAGGAAGCCGCACTGCTGGTCTGCAAGCTGTGTACGGTACACATACCGAACGCTGCCGAAGCCGTCCGCTATGCCTCTGCTCTGGTGGCGAAGCACCCCAAGATGGCAGCGGGCCACTTAGCTCTCGGTCTGGCATTCGTTCTTCAGTCACGTCAGATCAGCACGGATGAAGCACGGCAGCAGGCCATAAACAAATCACTCGAATCACTGCACACTGCGCAAGAACTTGATTCTGGCAATCCTGTAATCACGCTGTACCTCTCCTTGCAGTTAGCAAACCAGCGGCGTATTGCAGACAGCATGGAGGTCCTACTGGAGCTGCTCCAGAAGGACCCAACACACATGCTTGCCCTATGGTTGGCCATCCTGCTGCAGACATCGCTGAAGAACTATACGGATGCTGAAACTCTGTGCAGCAGGGCACTGTACGAGTATCCTCACGACGAGCAGTTCTTGCTCCTGCGAGTTAAGATTGATGCTGATGCCCGGGGGCCAGCTGCTGCACTTGTCACTGCCAAGTCATACATTAGCGAACAACAGCTGCATAGATTGCCATTGGAGGCACAGAGTCGACTCTGGCTGTTCCTGGCCGAACTCTTCCTCCAGAACGAACAGGGCAAGGATGCTGGCGAATGCCTTGAGAAAGTCGGTGACACGACCACAGCTGAGTACCTGTACCTGCGCGGCCGTGTCAAGCTGCTGGAGAAGAGGTTCAAGGATGCTGGCGCACTGCTAGAGGCCGTCCTGGCGCAGGATCCGCAGCACGTGCCCAGCATGCTGGCTCTGGTCTACATCTACATGCACAGTGGCAATCTGGATATGGCCGAGCACTACACGTCACAGGCACTGGCCGTGGAGCCCTGCAATCACTTTGCCTGGGCACGGCGCGGTGCAGTGCTGCAGCGCAAGCTCAACCACGAGCACACTGCCGAGTGCTTCATCAATGCCATACACTTGGAATCAACGCAGCCTGCAATGCCGTTCAATGATATTCCTATTATCTTCTAGCAAGCCAGAAAAAAAGCATAAACGGTCAGCATTTTCACTAGGCAGCCATGCCATGAAGTTTGAACGATTGCATTCTTTCAGAACTTCCTTGACCAGTCTGTACAAGATCAGATGACTTTACTAGATCCTCTCTCTCTTCTTCTCGCTGTCTTATCCTGTTGATGCGGAGGCCATCTCTTGAATCCGAGATCGTTTGGTCGGTCCACCTCCTCAGCATACATGCCAGGTTTCCTTAGACGTCCCTATCTCTCTGTACTGCCCGCGTCCCATTGTGTAGCCAACTCCCTCCCTTTATTTAGACCGACCAATGCTCTTCTTCAGTAAAAAATCTCACGAGCACTTCAAAGATGTGTTTCTGCAACATTCCATACCTGTTTTTTTTTTAAACACACAATGTGTCATCATACTTAAAAAAAAGCACTGCTAGATATACTGGACTGTACTGTAAGATTTTACAATTATCAGTACAACTTACTACTTGTCAAGTATGCGCAGTACTATTGGATTGGCCTTGGCACGAAACAATCATGATTTATGGTCATGCTTTCACAAAAATGCTCCCAGCAATGGTTTGGCTGCTTCCTTTTGTAGGTGTTTTCCTGGAATTTTCTATGTGTTTGAGCATTTGTGCTGGAAGTAACAGTGCATTTGTTATCCATCCTTTGTGCATTCTGCTGTGAAGTCACCAGACATGCACGCATGGAAGGATGGCGGAGAAAAGCCGTTTAGTTGTGAACATTTCCATAGCGGTGGCAGTTAGGAGCTGCAATAACATTGCCGAAATGTTTCCGGGACATTTGGTGAAAGCGCAGGCGCAAGCTTTACATTTTGTGTGAAGTAGTTCATACGTATCTAATATTGACTGAGTACGAGGTCAATATAGGAAATAAAAGCCGAGTAAAAGACCGAGGCGAAGCCGAGGTCTTTTACGAGGTTTTTATTTCCTATACTGACCAAGTACGAAGTCAATATTAGATTTATCACGACAAACAGTCCGTATTTCAAATTCCAGAACGATAACCTCATGAATCCCGGTTTTATGATTGCACAACCGCGTACCGTTGCACCACCACCTACTCATGCAGTGACAATGCTGCACTAGGCACCGTTCAACTGCGCAACCCCTAAGCAGTCAAATATAAGCAGTCAATATAGCCCTAAGGAGTGAAATATGCAGGAATATTTGACTGCTTAGGTATGGCAAAAATGTATGCGAGTCAATACTAAGGGAGTGATAACACTCCAATACTGCTTTGAAGCATCCATGGACCACGGTAGATCTACCAGTAGTACACTGTGACTCGTGGGAGCAAGAATACAGTCATAATAAACTGCTTGTGGCAGTTCTTGCCAGAGAAATCCGACCTCACTACTACTAAGACAGTACTCAGTAGTCAGTCGAGTAGCGCCCTGCTCAAGTGCGGGGAGTGTTGTGTGCGGTGCTTTTTTCTCATTGTACTACGCTACCGATGTCAATAAACTGTCCGCAGTGTCAGACTCATAATTATGCATAGTCGAATGAAGAGGCAGGCCTACCCGCAGAGTAGATTCTACCTGATGTCGTGTCGAATCATTGCAGGCTCAAATGATTTCTTTCAACATGCCTCCATGACGATTTTTCCGAACTAATACTTACCCGCAACGCGGATCTACTAAGTGCGTTCCTCAGCCACTACCCGTTAGGGCCATGGCTAAAATGGGGAGTAACTTTGTGGCCGTCGCTGCTTCCATTGTGGTGGCAATTGCATGTACTGCGATTGGATTGGCACAAGGATTTGAGTTCAGAGTTCAGCTATTTCGCTGCAATATTCACAAAGACGCCGCCACACAGTCATGGCTAGTCGAGACGGGAGCTCCAGGTCACAATATCCTGTCGCTGCGCCACAACCCTAGTATGGTGCTGGAGGCGTATACCGGGCTCGGCGGTGCCGGAGTGCGCTTAGCGGAGAGGTCCAACAGCGTTGCTCAGCAGTTTTACTACAACACGAGTAAATACATGATCACCAGCGGGCTGACTGGTCTGTGTGTGGCTGTACCGTCTGGCACGGGTGGTGTGCTGGTCACATTGGCCAACTGCTCCAACTCGGATCCGAATCAAAGCTGGGCGTACGACACAATGCTGGGCCAGATGCAGTACAGCCAGGACTGGATGTTGTGCCTGGACGCCGGCACGAACGTCAACTACCACACGACTGGCTGTGGCTCACTACCGTATAGCGGGTATGCCTACTGTAATCACAGCCTGAGTGCTGGTGAGCGTATCAAGAGCCTATTGGGATTCATCAATGTCGGCGAGAAAGCCCAGCTGCTGTCGGCGCAAGGGCACACAAACGGCGGTATTGGGCGGCTGGCAGTGCCGGCTTACACGTACGGCGAGTGTCTTCACGGAGTTAGAAGCAGCTGCGGGCAGGCCGCTCCCGGCTCCACGGGCTGCGCAACATCATTCCCGAACCCCCTCGGCCTGGCCGCCACATTCAACCGCACGCTGTGGTCCATGGTGGGCGATGTCATCTCAACCGAAGGCAGAGCACTGTACAGTCAGAATCGTATCGGCCTGTCCATGTGGGCACCCAACATCAATCTGTTCCGGGACCCGCGCTGGGGACGGGGTCAAGAGACCCCAGGGGAGGACCCGTTTTTGACCAGCGAGTACATAGCGCACTACGCCAGTCACCTTCAGGGCGATGAGCAATATCTCAAACTGGTGTCAACGTGCAAGCACTTCAGTGCCTATGACCTTGAGAACTACGCCACTGGCTCGCGGAAATCATTCAACGCAATTGTCAGCGACCAGGACTTGGTGGAGTACTACTGGGTGCCATTCAAAGCATGTGTCCAGAAGGCCCATGTCAAGTCTATCATGTGCTCGTATAACTCAGTCAATGGAATACCAAGCTGTGCCAATTCCATGTTCCAAAACACAATTGCACGCGAGCATTGGGGATTCGATGGGTTCTTCGTCAGCGACTGCACGGCAATCGAAGCCATCTACAACAGGCACAACTACACGAACAGCACCGAAGCGGCCATTAAAGTCGCCATGGAGGCAGGCACTGATGTGAACTGTGGCTCTGTGTACTCGGAGTCTCTGGCTGCCGCTGTCAACCATGGTGCTGTCACTGAGGATCTGCTGGATCAGTCAGCTGAGCGCTTGCTCAACGTGGGCATTGAGTTAGGTCTACTGGACCCACCAGAGCTGCAGCCATACACTGTAAGTACACAGAACGTTTAGCCATACACTGCACTGTGCGCGTGCTATTAGAGCTGCCGTGTCTTGAATAGTACCACATCTCTGAGGAACAATGAAAACAATAGTAAATACCCCTCCCTCCCCCCCCCCCCCGAATAGTTCTCCGGCTTCTGATCAAGAACATTGTGCAAGTTAGTGTGGTGGTATGAAGTTGGTTGCTCCAACGAGGAGCACACGCTTCTTGCCGAACTTGACACTTGACTGACTCACGACTGCCATCCGGAGCACACCAGGAGCACGTCGCACCTTCCGCTCGGCAAACCTGAAAGAAAGCACCACTCCCTGCTCAATACACAGTGTTTCGGGGAATTCACCCCTCATCAGTTGAGCTTGAGTAGGCTGAGGAAGATTGTGCCTGAAAAGCACCACTTATATACTGCTCTCCAGGCCAAACCATCACCAGGGATACAAACTTACAGAGACGCTTTGTTTCCAGCGCGACAAACACCTCGTGAAGCCCCAGGTAGCAGCGTGAGTCAGAGTCGCTCATGGAGTTGTGCTAAACAGACGTTGAGAGCCAGTATAGCTATTCACAACGCTGTCACCTCCAACAACTAGTCGCACGTCCGCGTGAGGGACAACAATACGAACTTAGAAGTTGCGACTTCGGCGGTAATGTCATGAAGTTGGTTGCTCCAACGAGGAGCACACGCTTCTTGCCGAACTTGACACTTGGGGCTTCACGAGGTGTTTGTCGCGCTGGAAACAAAGCGTCTCTGTAAGTTTGTATCCCTGGTGATGGTTTGGCCTGGAGAGCAGTATATAAGTGGTGCTTTTCAGGCACAATCTTCCTCAGCCTACTCAAGCTCAACTGATGAGGGGTGAATTCCCCGAAACACTGTGTATTGAGCAGGGAGTGGTGCTTTCTTTCAGGTTTGCCGAGCGGAAGGTGCGACATGCTCCTGGTGTGCTCCGGATGGCAGTCGTGAGTCAGTCAAGTGTCAAGTTCGGCAAGAAGCGTGTGCTCCTCGTTGGAGCAACCAACTTCATGACATTACCGCCGAAGTCGCAACTTCTAAGTTCGTAGTGTGGTGGTGTGCGGGTAATCTGTGGTATTGCGTAGCTTTGGCAATACATGTACACTATCGTCAGTACATTGCTATAATGTAAGACAGCTAGGTAGTAGATACAGCTGGCCAGGTAAATTCAACAACTCGCTCGAGAACTGTGGTGCGAATTGCATTGGGAACATGCAGATCAAGCTGGGCTGCTTCACTCGGGGCAGAGATAGAAAACCGCTGTTTGAAAAAGCACATGACAGCTGTACATCAAAGCTGACCAGTAGAGCACCATGTGCAGCTGGACTTTCAGATGGGCCAGAGAAAAAGCAGAGTCAACATATTTCCTTCTTTCATTTTGGGGTTAGCAGGCTAAATCGCAATAGCGTGTTACATAGTGATGACAGACCATGGATCACGTAGAATTTCAGCACACGGGGTCGCTTTGGGTACTATGGTCTGGTGTTGTCTCCCTAGATATCACGAGTCTCTGTGCGGTCAGACTAAATTGAGTATTTCACTCCTGCTTTTGTAGCAGCTGAGCACTCTCGCATGGGGCAGTGCCTTTGCTGTTTGCGTTATGCAGAGCTCACCGACTTGTGAGTTTGAGCACTCTGGCAAGGTACGTTCGGGCCTGGTTTAAATCTGGCTTTGAAAATTTATTTTCAATTTTCATTGCTACAGGTCCTCCCTCGTTAGAAGATAATCTCTGGGCCATCGAAAAAGTTATCTTATAACGAGACTTATCTTGTAGCAGGACTTGCAGCTAAAGGTGAAATAGGCACTACTTCGTACTTACCGGGGCTACCCTCGATACAACATAAATTATCGATGCTTCAACTCGTTATAAGATAATTGAAAATCTCCAAGTTACTCCAACATAACTCTTCCTTGGATGCAAAGGATCGTCCATATTCACGAATACATAGACATAATACGTTTCCTCTTTCTGCTTTATCCAACGTGTTTTGGCCTTGGTCCTGCATGGTCAATATTATCTTATACTGAGGGTTTGGCACTCCAGGGACCTGGTCAAAGGGTCGTTATAACGGATTTTATGTACTAACGGATTATGTTATAACCGGACCTGTAAACAGTTGTATAGACCACGTTTTGCCAGGGGATTTTAGCTTTCTATTTACTAACGGGGTTTATGTAGTAACCGGACTCGTTATAATGAGGGAGGACCTGTATCAGGTTCAGCCTCATTTTCTCTGTGCGGTCAGAATACATAATTTGTGAAGTGGATTTTCCATTTTTGTATCTGACTGGTCCTAAATCTGTTGACCTACAGGTTTGCATGCATGTATGTATGTATGCTTGTATGTGTGTGTGTGTGTGTGTGTGTGTGTGTGTGTGTGTGTGTGTGTGTGTGTTGTGTGTGTGTGTGTGTGTGTGTGTGTGTGCACATGCACACTGCACAATTATGCTACAGAATTTGTCATACGTGGATGTTGACACAGAATACAGCCGGCAAGTCTCTCTGGAAGCAGCTAGACAGCAGATTGTCCTGCTCCAGAACGATGGCAACATGCTACCACTGTCCAAGGTACATTTGTAGTTCTCACCAGGGATACCTACATACTGGTATACTTTTACTGCGTTCTCGGTGAATTTACATTGTTGGAAGCATCACCCCAGCAGATAGAAGACATATTCCACTATACTGCAGTTCATGGTTTGGAAAAGAGGACTACTTAGTGCATGCGGCCACTCATGAGCGGTGTGTGGCAGTTTGCCTTCCTTTTCTGATGCAATATACAGTAAAACCGGCCCTAACCGGACGTGCTTGGTGCAGCAGAAACTGTCCTGATATGACCAGATTCCGCTTGATCCAGGGATGCACGTTCGATCCACAGCACTTCAGTGCATGAAAATTGGTCCGGTCAATACCAGATTCCGCTTGGTACAGGTCTTACTGTGCTGTAATGGGGAAACTATGGTGTTGAGTTTGGATGTTGTGAAAAAGGGGGAACAATATTGATGTGTTCTGCAGCATGGATTGAAATATGTGTGTGTGTGTGTGTGTGTGTGTGTGTGTGTGTGTGTGTGTGCGCGTGCGTGTGTGTGTGTGTGTATGCGCATGTGCGTGCATGTGCACAAACGCATGCATGTTCATGTTGTTGGTGTGTGCATATGTGTGTTTGGGTCCATCTCAGGTGAACAATGTTGCAGTTATTGGTCCTCTGGCGAATGTCAGCACTGCACTGTTGGGCAACTACTATGGAGCTAATGAAGTGGTGAAATCGCACACCGTTCTCATGGCTATGCAGCGTGTGCTGGGCAAGAGCCAGATTTCCTATGCACAGGGTCTCTCCAGTGTCTCATCTACCAATACATCTGGCTTCGAAGAAGCTGGTGCCACGGCTTCTAGCTGCGAAATGTCAGTGGTCGTGATAGGGCTGGACTCCAGCCAAGAGGACGAGGCTCATGATCGCACCAACATCTCGTTGCCCGGGGCACAGGTGGAGCTGGTCAAGTGGGTGTTTGCTTCAAACCCCAAAGCCATTGTGGTGCTGATCAACGGCGGACCTCTCGCTATTCAGCCAGTCTTGGATCTAGTCCCGTCAGTGGTGGAGGCCTTCTACCCGGGTCAAATGGGTGCTGATGCCATTGCAGAGGTGATATTCGGTGACACGGTTCCATCAGGCCGATTGCCATTCACGGTGTACCCGGATGGCTACGTGCAGCGTCCCATCTCGGATATGAGCCTGCGAGACAACGGTGGCTGTACGTACCAGTACTACACTGGGTCACCCCTGTTCCAGTTCGGTCATGGCTTGTCGTACACGACGTTCAGCTACAAGTGGTCCAACGAGTCAATGGCCCGCATCACCAGAACGACAACGGAGGCGGCGAACACGCCGATCACCTACACAGTAATCGTGGAGAACACTGGGCCATACCAGGCTCCTATCTCTGTGCTGGCGTTCATCAGTGCCACAGATCAACCGGACGCTCCGCTGAAGAAGCTATTCGATTTCGGCCGCGTCTACTTGCAAGTAGAGCAGCTGGCCACAATTCAGCTGACCGTCTTACCTGATGTCCTAGCTCTTGTCGACGAGAAAGGCGTGCAGAGCATCAGACCCGGCAACTACAAGGTGCAAATTGAAACCCTGACAGGCGAGATTCAACTCACCGGCAAGGAGGTTGAGCTGTTCAGTCTGCCAAAGATTAGAGAGCAGCATCAGAGAAAGCAGCCGGGAGTGAAGGCCGCATGACCAACCGTGCCACACACGATGGACACAGAAACTGCCGCGAGAAGCGCAAATTTCACTTGAACTGAATGAGTTTTCTGTAGTGATATACATATACATGCACAACACTAGATTCATCCTAAAAAAACTTTGTACATAGAAACAGGGATATGCCAAAATGATTGCAGTGATTTCTTGCTCATGACATTATCTGCATATTGAGCAACAGACTGGTTCTGTTCTTGACTTTCTCAGGCAGTATTATTCCTCTCGAATGCTACTACTGCTTTGATAGACTTCGGCTTTCGACAGTACGTCAGCATACGCAGTCGTCATCTGTTATGCAGGCAACAAAAACGAGACAAATATATTCCACGGTTCTTGTGCTAGTCAATCAGACTGACGTTTCTGTAGGAACACCATTACCCTCAATGATCAAGGCGCAGATGCAGCTTGTAAGGCATGTGTGTGTGTGTGTGGGGGGGGGGGGGGTGGGGGGGGGGGGGGTGCATATGTAGATCAGACCCAACTGAACGAGGTCATCCCTTTCGCAGAATCCATGCTATCCTCGTGCCAGGTAGTGATTTGCCGATTAACCCTTTAGGGGTCGAATTGTTTTGAGGATTGTTCGTCAAATTTGAGGCGGCATTAATAAGTATCAAATATCCGACCAGCCGTTCACAATTCCTAATATAACACCTATATTTTTCCGAACAAGGACAGAAAAAGGAATCCAATAGAGAAAACCAGAGCTCAATCTGACAATGTGAGGTTGCCAGCCCTTGCTCTAAATGTAGGAAATGCTTGCAAAATGGACGGAAACCCAAAACCAAGTTCAGAACGGACCAAACAGATTGCCGATAGTCTCTGGTGATGTGATCTGTAGTGACAGAGTTGATCATAGTTTCCTACAAAGAGTGACAGAATGACCCAAATCTAAAACAGAGTTTTACTGCACTCATGAGCTGGTGCATACTCTGACAGTTGAACGTCAACTTCTTCTTCGTGCCTGGAGTTCAAAACGTTTAGGTGCAACCTACCTAGAAAACACAGGTTTCGAGTAGAAAATTGTCTTGAGAATCGAATTGCCAAAAAACCAATAAAAAAAGTCAAAGAATTGGCGAAAATTGGCGATCAAAGCACTGCATGTGTCACATACGGATTAATCCGTACCATGACCCCTAAAGGGTTAACTGGGGGGGGGGGGGGGAGGTTGCAGCACGGCAGTAAAATCCTTCCGCTTCCAAGCAGGACTCGAGCAGGCATAGTGGGGCATGATGGGTAACAGAGTGCCATGGGCAAGTCCTACCTGGAAGCGAAAGGCAACACATAGGTGGCAACAAGAAGAACGCTAAGGGGCTGTCTGGGGTTACCGATTGTTTTTACAAAACGAAAAGTTTTAGTATTTTTCAGCCCCCACCCACCCACCTTTACTGCAGGTAAAACGAATTCCAATAAAATATTGATGTCAATTTTCGACACCCAGAAGTAACTGGGCATTCTCCATCAGCATTCAATAATTATTTTCAAAACGAAACTCCATCAAACCCACCCACCCACAAACGAAAACATTTCGTTTTGAAAATATTATTGGTAACCTTGGACGGCCCCTAACAGCAACCAAGTCTTGCCACAAATTTATCATCACTTGTTCACACAAAAGCCATCAGCTGCTTCAAGAAGAGATCAGGAACCACCTAAAGAAGTCTTCAAAAGCAATCACAAGTATGCATCCGGTAAATTTATTTATTTTTCACGTCCTTACCTGGGACTCATAATTGGCCTTCATTGTGGGAAGCTTCTCCAACAGATTAAGTCCTTGGCTGCACCACTTCTCCGCCTCCAGGTAGCTCATTGCACTGGGTGAATCCCAAACATACAGGGAAAAAAGCAAGACTCATGCCCAAAACCTCTTGGCTGTGCAGGACCCGCCTGGCTAATATGAGAAAGGAGTTGGTCTGCATCAGCCCATTGCTCTGAACCAGCCTACAACTTCTGCAACTACAGTGACTTCCAGTATTTCCCCGTTAATTAAAAGTCACACTCGCAACCTCAGTTTCAGGTCTGAACAAAATTGTTTCAATACATTCACATCATTAGGAAGTCACACTCGATTGTACGTAAGCCGCACCCACTTTTTTGCCCTTGAATTTTAGTGGAAAAAGGTGCGACTTAGGTCCGTTGCACACTACGTACAAAAAACTCATATAAGCTGCGCATACTTGTAGTATGTTCCCATGGAAATCAAAGGAATGTGGCGGGAAAATCAAGAAGTTGCTTTTTTTCCTTTTCAGCAAGTCGCATACCCCTGTAGAAAGCAGCTTATATCCTGCGTTTTGCTTGTTTGGCAGCTTTCTTTCTCCGGGTGAGTAGAAGGTGAACCTCTTGGCTGTTCTTTCATGCTAGCTATTCATGATGACCTTCGACCTTTGTACTTTGGCGGACTGGTGCACCCTGCGGTGGACTCTGAGTGGTTTACTTACTATTGTATAATTATTATTCTTTATACTGAAGTAGTTCCGGTGTTGCATGCGATGCTGCTTTTTCCCCGTTCTGTTTGGTTCTTGGTGGGTTCCTTTCGTTTTTATTCAGTCAGTTACAGCTTTTCTGTTATCCCTCTCATGTAGTTCAGTTGATTTACTAGTGTCTCATCCTGAAATAAAGATTATTAAATTTTTTATTTTTTATTATCCCTGTGATTCAGATCCCTCTCTTGTCTGCCGGGTCGCCCTCCTTTCATTTTCCTGTCGCGTTTCGCTTACAACTATGCCACGCCAAGTTTTCACCAATGATTCGGAGCTTCGCTTGATTGAGCTGTGGGCTGAGCACCAGCGGAATAAGAGCGGGACAATGGTGAAGCGATTACAAAAAGAGAAGGAGATCGCTGGTATCCTAAATGATCATGCTAAAAAAGAGCTTGGACTTGTGGACGTTGTGGTGAACGGCTTGGTTGTCCACAATAAGATAGACAACCTAAAGTCCAAAGCGAAGGAGATCTATCGCAAGTACATCCAGGCGACTGCAACTGGAAGTTCTTCTCAGGGCGGAGAAATCGACCTGCAGAGGGCGTTCCAGTTCTGGTTAAATTTCAGGACCTGGCATCGTCTATTCCACGATGTGCCAGGATTCAGGCCCGTCACGAGTTTGAACTCTGTTGCTGTCGCCAGCGGACCTCTCTCAATGATCTCTCCCACCCGTGCAATGTCCGTATCTACATCGACATCTTCAAGTCCTCTAACAACGCCTGCTCGTTCATTGTTGCATTCTTGTGTCTTTGTACTCAATGTTATCGCATGAGCTGATTGTTTAGTAACTGGTGGTGTTAGTGGACAGTATAGCGTAACTTGTAGTTCCTTGGTCTTTATCTCTTGTGTCTTTGTTCTAATTTTTCAGCCAGCGCCACACTTGCTCAAAAGAAGAAGAGACAGACACAGAATAGCCAGCTGGAGAATACATTGTCCATTGGGGAAAGCCTTGTAGAAGCCATGAGTGAAACTCAGACCACACAGCAGCAGAATCAGCAAGTGTTTCTGGCAACCCTCATCAAGAGGCAACAGGCGCACACCCAAGCATTGATTGACAGCCAGATGGCCTTTCAAGCAAAGCTGTTCGACAAGTATTTCGGACCAGACAAGAAGGAATAAAATAATAGTATGACCTTGCATTCTAGGTGTGCAGAAAATGTGCAACAGCATTGCGAAGTCTGCTGCTGGCGAGGGATTCAATGGCACGAGTGGTATCGCGGCATGATTCTGCATGTTGGGAAGATACCCAGTACCTGAGCGCTGTAAGATATCGTGCAATGAACAGCAAATCAAATTGACTCGGCTCACAAAATCAGGGTCATTGCTATTGCTTACACGTACAACCACAAAGCACTCCTTCGGTTTCCCAATGGCGCACTCAACCACACGGCTGCGGGCGAGCAAGAATTTGAGCCTTGTTGAAACTCTGCTGAGTTGGTGTGAGGGCATCGCCGCCGTAAATCTTCATTAGACTCGGTTTCAAGGCAAACACGCATCTCCAACTAGATAGGGCCGGATAGTCGTTGCAGCGCATTGCCATGTCGTAAAATTCACCTCGACTTTCCTGTTGAGAATACTGTTGTTGTACACTGCCGCATCTCCGATGCTCCCTGGAGCACCGACATCGACAAAAGTGAATATCTCCCGTGGGTAAACACACAAAAATAACAGCACGGATGAAAGCTGCTTGAAGCACCAGTAGGAATCTCCATTTTGCTCTGGTTTCGCAATCTTGGTGAATGTGCCATCCACTGACCCTCCACACATGGGCAACCCGGAGAGTTTCTCAAAACGCTTCATTGTACGGCTGAGCTGCTTTCCAACAGGGAACACAATGTTATCTGCAGGGAGCGGTCCCACCAACAACTGCACACCCTCATGGATAATTATTCGAACAGTTGTGGTTCCCAGCTGAAAAAGAGCAGCAATCTCTGAGAACATCTCTCCATGAGCAAGGTAGTAAAAGAAATCACCGATAATATTGCTAGAGAACGCCCTCAACGCCATAAGCATAACCTAAGCCATGTCGAGAGACGTGCAATGCTACAGCTCAGCCAACGCCAAGATATAACTATCTGTAATGCCGATAAACACCTTGGCACTACCGTACTCTCAACACAGCCGATTATATTGCTGAAGGCATGCGACAGTTAAGTGACGTTAAGTTACCGTCGTGTATTTGATATCCTGGAAAACAGCATGGAAGCGTTTTCTCGTTTCCTTCCTGAAATCAGCTTTCTTGAACACGATCTTCAAGAACTTTGTAAGGAACATGCCGATCTGTTACAAGAGAGATATCTCTACCTTATTCACTCACTTTCCTTTTAAACCGGCAAAATTCTATTTATTGCCAAAATTGCATAAGCATTTAGGGCCGTGTGGTTTAAGTTAAAAGGTAGACCAATCATTTCATGTATAAACTATTGCACTTCTCCAGCATCGCAATTTGTGGATCACCATTTATCTTCCCTGTTAGCCTCCTTAGAGACCACAATTCTCAAATATACCACCATGCTCACAAAAGCATTTCTTAGGCTTAAGTTCCTGAGGACTGCACTATAGTTACAGCAGATATGGAATCATTGTACACTAACATGGACTGGGCAGATACACACTGCGGTAAATGCATTATTACTTGAAGCAAGCCACCCACTTAGATCTCTTCTCATTGACCTTCTCAAGTTTGTTCTCGAAAACAACTACAGGTAGACTCCCTCTAATTCGAATACGGTATAATTCGAACTTTCCGTGTAATTCGAACTTTTTCGTCGTACCGATCTTCTGCAAGTCACATCAAGTCAAAATCGAATGCATAATTCGAAGTACGAAAAGTGCGCCGGTTGGATAATTCGAACCCAGTCTTCGTACGGAAGAGCTGTTTACAGTACATTAGCTATGTCCTTTGAACGCTTATTTCGAAGTGAGATTGAGTTGCTATCCTTCTAATTCGAAGTTCATTCTTTTCTCCTTCTCTAGCCAAGAGTAGCTCAAAAATCGATCAATGGTCCGCTGCAGGATCGACTATAGCGTTCAAGAAACCCACCTTCTCTCGATTTTTGATTCAAGCCCGTGCGAGGCAAATTGCAAAGGTTTGATTGAAGACGACTTCTTCCAGGTGGCTGACTCTCTTCGCGGATCTCGATGGCCTTTCTTGCTGCGCCAGCTCGTGCGCGGAGATGTTGGCGCACAACAACACCATTGTCGTAAATATTGTCGATGTCTATGCTTCACTTCCGTTCTTCAGAACGACGTGCTGCTGTCCGACGGCCTTTCATGACGCGGATTAGGCAGCGTAGTTCTTTTCCGTTTCAGGAAAGCTGCAGTGACTTTTACTTCTTCACTAGAAGATGGAGATATTGTCAAAATGATTTTGTGTCGATCCAGTGTTTTGATGATCCGTTGTACATGACCGGTACGACCACCTTATATGTTTCGTTGATGCAAATAAAAATGTGCCAAAAATATTCAGCATGCGATTTCAAGCATTTTGACGTATGTAATCAAGCACGCTCAGGAGGTCATGATGGCTGAATCTTGCCCGAGCCTGCAGCCCAAGGGCCGTAGGCCCGAGGGCTGCAGGCAAGGGCAAGATTCAGCCATCATGACAGACAGAGCGTGCTTGATTTGATTTCTTACAGCGCGAAGGAACATATTAGGGAAGGTCAAAGGTGGAAAGGTGGAAAGGTCGAAAAATTATTCCCGAAATGACGTCAAACGGTCCCAACATTCCCGAAATGACGTCAAACGGTCCTGATGGCCTGATTATGCCCGCGGCGGGAAGATCGCCTATTGGCCATGGCCCCGGCAACGATCACGTGTCATGTAAGAAATACATATCAGTGCATGGGGCTGCATTTGGATAATTCGAAGTTCTGGATAATTCGAAGTTGGGGCCTGGCAATTTGAGGTTCGAATTAAAGGGAGTCTACCTGTACTTTGTTTTTAATGACATACTCTTTCATCAAGAGTATGGTATGGCAATGGGAACACCTATGGCCGTCAACGTAGCGAACGTTTTCCTTTTTGTTCATGAAAGAAAAAAACATTGCTATGTTCAGTACTTCGAAGTACATCCATTCATTTCTTAAGTTGATTCATTGATGATTTAATACTTGTCATTGATGCATCATCAGATTTTAAGCAGCTTCAACAGTCGTTTTATAGCAAGCTCCCTACGATTAAGCTAAATTGGACACCTCCTGCCTCCTTTTGTATTTTTCTAGACCTTGACATTTTCAAGGAACTTACTACTGATGATAAGCCCTGTATGTTTAAGTTTCGAACATTCCAGAAACCACGGAACGCTTATCTTTACATACCGTTTACTTCGAACCACCCGAAAGCAAACCTCAGAGCACTTATCAAAGCTGAACTTCTACGCTATAATCGCACAAACACCAACATGGCTGATGTACTAGCCATAAGAAGTCTGTTCTGGACACGCCTCCGCCGAAGAGGATACCCACCCAACTTCCTGACGAGTGTTTTCTGTGACGTTCAGCCTGCTGTGTGCAAAACTATCAAACCAAAAACTTCTCATAGTTGTGATGATAGAATTGTTTTCTCTACAGCATTTCACCCTCACTTTGTACATAATAGCAAGCAATGTAGAAATTTGATCAAACAATGTTTTTTCAAAGATTGTCTTTAGAAAGACAAAACAGCTTTTCTACTAACTTGTTTGTTCTCTTGGCAGAGCTTAAGGGCGCGTTTGGTTGGTACGAACTAGAACAGGATTCACCAGAACAGCGCGTTTGGTTGGGACTGCACCTGTTCTGGGTCGGCCAGAACATGTTCTGCTTGCTCCGGCCTCGAGGCCGGAGCAGACCGAGCAGTTTCACTTTTTCACAGTGAAACTCACTTTTTCACAGTGAAACCTGGCGGGAACATCGATTTTGGTCCCAAATGATCACGTGCATACACTTTTGGGTTGGACTTGTCGTGCCGTACACAGTGACCATGGTGACCCATACACATTTTGAAGAATGCACCAAGTTTGGCATACTTTTCACAAAAATATGCTCTGTTTCTGGAGTACCGTTTGGTTGGCATGAGGCTGCTCCATGTGCACCAGCTGCTCGATCCTGTTCTAGATCGCACCAACCAAACGCACCCCAATATGCTCTGCATTTTTGATGGGAAATGAAATTTCATTTCCCACCAAAAATCTCTTTTTTTCCCACTTGCAAAAATGACCTTCACTTACTATATTACTGATCTATAGAATATAGTACCATAGTACCAACGTACTGCTGTTTCCACATGCAACATTATTGCACTTCTGTATAAACTTCCGCGGAATATGCTCGTATTTTTACCGATAATTCTTTTGAGCATTGCTCAAAATTTCGACCGATTATTCCCGTCATTTCACCAATGATTCTCACAATAATAATAATGCTTTTTTCTTCCCTTTTTTTGCAGATACCGTACCGTATACGGGTATTGTTGCCACTTGTACGGGCAAAAAAATCACAGTTCGCGTGAGACTCGGCTGGAAATTTCTTTTTCTTTCTTTTTTTGAAATACAGGAGGGCGATCAACTGCAGGATCACAAGCTTTTTGGTACAAATCAGGGTGTTATAAATGAAAAAAGTGAAAAAGGGGGGCATTGCTCAAATTTTACCGATTAATCCACAAAAATTGCCAATAATTCCCGTTTTAAAAATCACACCGATAATTCCCGAAATTATGCCGGCACATTCCGCGGAAGCCTACTTCTGTACACACCTGCAATAGTGCTGCACTGCTGTACGTACTCGCATGCAATATCGCTGCACCACAGTACCCCCTTGCAAACCCCCCCCCCCTTTTTTGCAATATTACGCCGTACTCAGCTGCACTTGTACTCAGCTGCACTTGTACAAAGTTTACATTGTATCAACTGCATTGCATATTTTCATTTTTGCTTTGTTACTGGTACAAAACCACAGTTCTAATTTCATTCACATTCACATCTCTGATGAAGCTCTAAAGAGCAGAAACTAGTTAGATGAAAATGAATTTTATAACATAGAACTGTTTGTTTGAAGAAAGTGTGTTGTGTCGGGGTTCCTAAATCCAAAACTGTTAAGCAAGGTAGTAGAGGAGCACTGCCATACGTTTTGGTACCGAAATTGTTTTCCGGAGGTGGGTAGACTGCTTTATCAGCAGATGACCATAGCGACGCACCAGAAATACAAAAGTTCTCTGCTCCATACGAAAATATGAACGCCAGGCTGACTTCCACCATTGCGGAAATTGTGGCTTCACATCTCAGTACCAAGCACCCCGCTCTCCCAAAACCCACCATGTATGCCATACTCATTGTCTGGATGAGCGGGTCATATCCATCTACCAATTGTTTCTAGCAGCTGACTGAATATTAGAAAACTCAAAATGAGCAGAGAGTTCCAAACCTATCCTGAATCTTCTAAAGCAATGACTTGGAGTGGGGAGCTGGCATCTGCAATACAATCGCTTTGCTGGTCTTGAAAGCTTTTGAACAAGGACCCAGCGGCGATGGCCACCTTCCGCCTTCTACCGTCACCCCAGATATTCATTTCTTCAGGTGTGTGCACGACTTCTTTCTCGATCTCGATCTCCTCGACAAAATCAAGATTTGAACTGAAGAAAAAAACAGTAAGTAAACCACTCGGATTCCACCGCAGGGTGCACCAGTCCGCCAAAGTACAAAGGTTGAAGGTCATGAATAGCACAAAAGAACAGCGAAAATTGCCGTGCATCCTCGTTGTCATGACGATTCACGTAAACAGCAAGTGAGCTATGTGCAGTGTGCACTGAACAAAACTCATGAGCAACTTTTACTGGACCGCGCTCGTAGACTCTTATACGTAGTGTGCAACGGACCTTACATTCGGGGAAATACGGTACTTCACAGTTCACAAGCAAAAGTGCCAAAACCCGTGCCAACAAAGCTTGAAACTCAGCGTGCATAAACACAGCAATCAGCCTTATACACAGTACATAGACATGACATGAGTTTGAAGCCTTCAGTCACGTTTCCTTGGCAGTAGCAGGCAGCAGATTGCCCAATTCTCAACCACATCTACTGGTCTAATGAAGACAAGCCAGTACTAACCTGAAGAGGAGAATTCCGGTGTTCCATGATTTGGTCATCAGCCACACGATTTCCATCTCTGGGTACGCAGTCTATAACGGATGAGAGCCAGATATACATGATGTCATGGAATAGACTAGCATTCGTAGGCAACCTCATGAGTAATACTGTGATTCATAGGCAACCACATGACTAATACTAAGATTCACAGGTAGCCTTAGGACTTGAAAGCGGTTTTAAGACCGGGGTTGTGCACATGCTCACTGCCCAGGTAATCATCAAGCAACTCCACAGCGCATAGAAAATCATAGGTCTGCTAGCCTTTCCCCAGGCAGACAAACAAAATACAGTTGCCAGCGACACTGGCTGACATTCAACAGCTGCATTTCACACAAAGGCGTTTTCAGGTAAACAGTCGGTGTCGCTGGCACGCCGCAACTGTGATCTTTTCCAATGAAGATGCAGAAAGTACCATACAAGACTTTGAACAAATCATGGCTATGATGATTGCGAATGTTCGGGCTACTGTGCAACCACAGCAAAGGGTACAAAAGAATGCTCTCCATTTTGGTTGACAGTGCTTTGAATTGAACATTTGTGCACGTTCTGCTAGGATAAAAGTAGCGATATCAATTTTCCTGATCATCGGGTGGCGTACCTTCTCTGGTCTGGAAAGGATGTCCATCACACTACTGTAGAGGTGCAGTGCCTCGGCACGGTCCACGTCACTATGCACTTGTAGGGCAAGGTGTATTAGGCTGTGGATGGCCTTGCTGTGATCAGCAACACAACACAACACATAAGTGAACCCATGAAAAACCAAAGAAGCTTTGATGAACAACTGAGCATGAAGGTGAAGTCACTTTGTGCATCAAGGAGGGATTGGTAAAGGGACGCATTTCAATGATTTCATATATTGAGATAAGCTGACACTGTCAAGCCAACACTTTGAGTAAGGATCTCAGCAAACGCACTGCGCAGGCCCTTTGTGCATGCATTACGTAATGCAATTTTACACTGGCTGCGTGGTCGACAGAAAGAAAATGGTGTCAGTGCCGATCCCGCTCTCCTTAAAAAAAGGAAAACTTTTGAAGTAAGTTTCAGTTCACTTGTCTGCCGTCGAGGGCGAAGAAGGACAGCTCTGGAACGATTTGTTCTTTTCCTTTCCCCAGCTGGAGAGTACTCGTAGAGTAGAATGTGACGGTAGTGAATTAACAAAGGCAAAGAATTAATTTCAATTAGATGTGTAAGCGAAGCAAATGGAGTGTTTCTGGGATAATTGTCGAACTTGAAGAGAATAGAACTAAAATGACGAGATACGAAGGACGAAACATGAACAACAAGCAAACTCACCTAGGATTCCGAGACCCCGCCCATGAGCTGGATCAAGGCAAGCAGGTTCTGCACCAATTGCTGCCAGCTGTACACCTTTCCGGCGGAGGACCACTGGAACAAATGTTTGTCCGCATCCTGGTTGACAACGATCCGTCGGAACCGGATTTGCGCTTTCAGTGCAGCGACTTTTGCAGAGACTGTCGGTAGACTGGCGAGCTGCGATGTGACAGCGTCGGCAGTCGTCCAAATGCCAATCCTGCCGATCTCTGTGCTGACCTTCAGCTTCTCTTGCTGGCTGTTGGTCTCTCTCCAGGCGTTCCTTCTCCTTCTGCTGAATTTGCTGCTGCTGGAACTGGCAAATTTCTTCGCAGTGCTGCCTGTAAAGGGACTTGTGAGAGACAGCACCGCTCAATGCACTGGCGAAAAGCTGCTTCCGCCGCTCGTAAGTCTGATTGGCGAGCCTCTAGGATGTGCCATTGGTACTGAATAACACCATCGCTTCTATTGCCACCAGCGAGGCATCCGGCTTTTATCTTTTCAGCCTGTCTAGCTGGGCAAAGCAGCGTTCGCTGGTGACGTTTGTTGTGGAGACACTGTGTATGGCGACCCTGGTGTCTGTCGACATGTCGTGGTGCTTGCCGCCAGGAGGGTGGTCTGCCAGCAATCGCCGTGCGTAGATGCTAAATGCACGCATCAGCAACTGCAGAACTGTGAGCGTGGTTTTGTCGTGCTGCAATGCTGTGAGAAGCTCTGCGTGGACGTCATCAACTGAGACTTCGGCACCTACAAAGACCTTCGCTGAACCGTCCAGCAACTCCTGGCTATCCAAGCTCCAGTGGTCAAAACGGCAGCAAGTGGAGGTATACACCGTACTCATGGCTGTGATGGTGACAGACTTATCAGCCAGCTTCCTCCAAAGCGGCCCTGTCACAAGCTTGCTGATCAAACCCAATGCCCTGCAGGCTGCAAGGTAAGCATCATTTACAATGTCATCCTTCACTGCAGCATGTAGCTTGTTGAGGGTACCCAACGCTTTGCTGTAGAACCCGGTGATCTCCTCTCGCAAATGGTACATGACTGCGGCACTGTGAAATAAAATAGTAAAGCGGTTGCCAACGAATCTGGCCAGTGGGATGGACTGGATGCCCTTGTTTTGCAAGTATGCACGGAACTGTGTGTGACTGCCGGACTGTTTGCTGCAGTGCGCCCCCAGGGCCTTGCAGACGGTGCGCACCAGTCGCACTGTGCCGGATTGAAGAGAGACGTACAATGAGCCCAAACTCGCCAAGAGCACTACTCATTGTACCCCACAACGTGCTCCAAACGCGAGTCCAGCTCCAGATCTGAGACGAAATCGGTCTCCTGCAGCCATTTCACTGAATCTAGCTCGAAACTGTTCAAATGTTTTCGAGTAGAAGCTTACCTTGCCGTGACTTCCCGCCGCGCCGATCCTGGCACGTGCCGCCTGTCCTGAAGCTGGGGAAATCCCCGTTTTCACGCATTGCTGGCTCACAGCACGCAGTGCAGAATTTTCAAAATATTTTTCGATTGCTTGCCGCTCACTCAAACTTCATCGCAGAGACTTCGGACCTGTTCGAGTCGACAGCTGAGAGTTTTCTCTACCACCTAGACCCTTCGATTGTTGAATTTGGTCAAGATTTGGCCGAGAACCGAAAGTTTGACTGCGCCCACATGTGTACAAAGTTCCCATGGTTCGATTTCGAACCATGGACGTCAAAGGGTTAAGGTTGTGACCAAAACAGCCATGTGTTGCCATAATGATCCCTACATGAGGTGGATCCGAGGAAGAGGCCTACATCCGCAGATGAGGGACTTGACAACTTGACACGATTCCCTGCCCATGCTATAGATGGCACCATCTACCAATCTGGCGTCAATGAGTAGAAAGTACATGTGGCGAATGCAGTCAGCTGGTTGTATGTTAGGTCTGAAAAGTGATTTGAAATTTACATTGTGAAAATGTCTGGCTGTGTAGCAAAAGCAGCTGACTAGCAGCCAACACACAGGGCATACCTGTACTTGATGATGTCAGGCGGTTTCTTGTCCATGTGCCTCTTGACAGCCAAACGGAGGGCATTCATAGCAACTTGCCGATTGTCTCCGGGTGCATCAACAGCGATTGCTAGAAGCAGCATTAAAAGCAAAACAGTGAGAAACATCTGCAGGACCAAAGAGGGGCTACACTACCCCTAAGCTCTTCAGTTTGTACAGGATTTCCCCTGTACACATGTATGAATCTGTGGGTAGTTCTTACATATTACTACAAGCTGAATGTGAATGCCTTTCTTCAGAAGCTTCCCCTCGCATGTCAGTGAAGTGGGTTGGAGAACATTAGGTCGGTGAAAGTTACACTGGCTTATGAGTTGGTCACGGGGGCATATTGAGGAAGTGCACACACACACACACACACACACACACACACACACACACACACACACACACACACACACACACACACACACACACACACACACACACACACACACACACACACACACACACACACACACACACACACACACACACACACACACACACACACACACACACACACACACACACACACACACACACACACACACACACACACACACACACACACACACACACACACACACACACACACACACACACACACACACACACACACACACACACACACACACACACACACACACACACACACACACACACACACACACACACACACACACACACACACACACACACACACACAGATCTCGCCACTTTCAGTCAGCATAGAACACAGCTTCCTAGAACGAAGATACAGCGGTTACAAGCACACAGGACATGGCAATCTACGGACAATCCAACCAACCAACCAACCTGCAACAGTTTCAAACGTGTTTCCATCCGGTGAGTCCATGTCTGAGAGTGAGTCCAGTATACTCTGCAGGTCACCCTGCCGTAGCTTAGCCTTGCACTCAAACTCATAGAGAGTGATCAGAACACGGGCCATGTCGGCTTGCTGACTGCCTGTCAATGAGAACAGAAAGGCAAAAGCAGGCAAAGCAGTGGCGGGCAGGTCAAAGATTATAGAAGACTCGTTCCTGTTTGGAAGTTAACTGCAGTGGACCAACTGTTAATCCATGTTCAATTTTTAAAAGAATCGATGCACTTATTGTAGCTTCAATTTTTTTATCTCAACCTATAGACACTTGCCCTCTGCTTTGACCATGGTCTTAGTCTCTTCACACAACCGACACGGTGCCAGAAACCGCTAGAGAGATTTCAAACGTTCTGGCCATTGGCCATCACCAGTGAATGAATTGGTACTGGCACTGTGTCAGTTTGTGCGGCTCCAGGGGCGTATCACAGCATCTACATTTAGGCCAGTCAGGTGAAATAGCGCGTCATAGTATATTTGAGACCAGCGAGAAGAAGATGACGATGTACACTAATTTACTATCTATAGTATCTTACTATCTGTGCACGCGAATGTATTGTTTGTGTGACTTTGTGTGTCAGGTATGAGATCAGATCGTGTGGTGCCATGCCTAGCATGTAGGTCAGAACCATCATGCAAAGTTTGAATGCTGTAGGTTGAACGATCGCGTGGATAACCATACATTTCGAAATTCTCTTCGCAGTACCTTCCACCATTAAAAATTCGAATTTCTTGACGAGAAGGGTGGCTTGCAACCTATGGGTTCCAGGCATGCTTTGGAGCCAGACCCTGTTTAAGTAGTGGCGGGCATCCGCCCTGCAACTGCTACAGACGAAAAATGATTCGATCTGAGAAAGCGTGAGAGTAGTACGGATCGAGCCGGTTTTACGATCCATTGTCGCAATCGAAAGATTCCAATCCAAAAAGATCAACATGACGGGAGTGTCTTTCCACTTTTGACGCACACCGTGTTCTCCAAGGTCGTCACCTCATTCAGGATGACCTTTAATCTCATCCGTCTATTGGCATCACAGCCGAATGTGTAGAAGCTTAGTCGTCATTCCAGTGTTGTGCCTTTTCAATCTTTCAATACGGACCGGTGCAGCACACCAATCCTTTGGTCGGCAATTGACCCCCCCATTCAAATCTGCCGCTGCAGCATGTAGACATTTAAATCCTATTTTGAGTATTTCCGGGCAACACATGTCAAGTCGAACGCATTGCTTCTTCTTTCAAGAGTAGAATTACAAGAAGCTCTTGGAGAGGGTCAGAATTCCAGACAACATTTAACACCCATTGCTGCCGGTGAATTCTTTATTCGATTCAGCCAGGGCTGTTTCCAGGATGGACATTTTGTCCAATCCTCATCCCTCCACACGTGTAGTAGCTGGAGAGGAAGAGCTCAGACTAAGAGAAATAGAATCAAGCCGTTGCAGAATTTGTCCAACATAAACATCTGATCAGCATTACCACCTAAGGCTGAGGCTGATGTCATCGTTGACGCTGCTGGCGGGAGTGCAGGCGACCCGCGGACGGCGAATATGGCCGCAGGTGGCGGCGGCGCACTCACAACGCCATTTGATCGACGTTGCTCTGCGTCAAAGATGGCCGCCATCTCCAGAGTCCTTTGCACGGCTTGAGCTAAATTGTTTGGGCTGGCACTTCGGACATATGGGGACGGCAGACCATCGATGAATTGGTTGACTAGTAGCCGCTGAAAGAGGTCTGTATTCTCTTGGCCTGGGTAGGCCCTCGACGCTAACTTCTGCAACGTAGACACAAATTCCACCGGGCTCTCACTCGTCTTCTTCGTCCGGGCCCGAAACTCTGCCTCGAACGACGGGCGATGCTGTGGAGGATTGAAATATGCTGTCAGTCGATCACACAGCTCACCATAGGTGTCGTTGGGATGTTGTGCCCGGAACGTCTGATAAACATGGAAAGCCCCCTCGAGGAGATGACAGGGCAGGAAAGCCAGGCGTTGGTCGTCCGCGTAGCCGTTTGTCTGACAGGCGACACTGAACTGTCCCAAGAACGTCAACCAGTCCTCGCTGCTGGTTCCGGTGAACTCCGGTGGTAAAACTACAGGGCGTCCCAAACTGCTGCTGCCTGAGGCTGTGCCATCTCGACAGGTAAATGCACTCAAGTAACGGAACACTACGAATACACACACACACAAAGTAGTTCGCCGCTGCCAACAATGTAGTAGCTGGCCCCGGAGGCAATTACACTCAAACTCAAGTCAAAGCGCTTACTTCGTAGTTTTACAAATACTCACCAGGAAAGAAATATTACATGCACACTCGGAAGGCAAAGATAAGAAGTAAAGAAGCAACAAGAAAAGAAGAAAGCAAGGGAACAAAAGCTCGGCAACCGGCAGCCATGTTTTATGTCATTGACCAATAAGCACAGAGCGAAAACTGGTTTCCGACAAAATTCTACTTCCTCCGCGTCATTAAAATTGTCGCTTCCCAGAGCGATTTTTCGAAAATTATTTTGTCCACTCGAAGGGCACAGAAATCAGCTAGAAATTGAGGCAGAGCATTGTCGACGGGCCAAGCTTTAGTTTGTGACCCCCCCCCCCCCCCCCCCGCTTTGCTGCACTTGCAGCTAAGGTCCACGTCTTCATCAGAGTTTGAGGCAGACCCTTCAGCACTCAACAAGACGCTGAACAAGACGCGCGTTCAAATTCAGGTCAAGAAACTTCGTTTTCAGGCGATCCATGCCTCCAGGTGCCAGGCGATGAGGGCAAGCTAGCCTTTTTCAAGTACACTGTAACGACCTTCCAGCGGGACAGGGTAAGCAGTTCCGCACCTTCTTTCCTTGGCAAGCGCTTCGCTGATTTTGTTGGTGTTTTCAGACCTGCTACCTTCGCAGCAACATGCGCCACAAGTAGCGCATTTTAGGAATTTGAGACCACTTTGTTCTTGCCATCGCCAACTTCAGCAGTTCGTATTCAGGAGAGATACCAGGATTCTTATACCCGAGCTTGCAGTCTTGACAAATGCCCACGCGAACGATGTGGGACGGCACGAACTCCAGAAAACGAAATGCGCTCTGGGGCGGAATAGTGCGGAGCGCGATGAATTTGCTTGGTGCGGAAGAGAGCTCCGACAAAGTTCGAGACCACCACGGCTTCAGTGACAAGTAGACATTGCGCAGGAAGGGTCACACCAGTGTTCGAACACAGAAAACAGCAATTCCGACAGTCTGACTAAGACAAGCCAAGTCACAAATATTGCGATGTGCGAAGCGACAATTTTAATGACGCGGAGGAAGTAGAACCTTCTGGAACATTAGTATAAGCGGCCAATCACAGTTCGCAGCAGACAGTTATACGGGTAAAGTGGAGAAATACGGGTTTAGCCATACACGACTCATACATGATTCACGAGCGACTCACGGACAGAGTAATAACATGCAAATACGAAACATGCAAGGAGAGAAAAATGTAACTAACTGCCCATCTTGGGGTTCATAATAATGCAACTCCTACACAGGGAGGCGTTGCCGACTTTGTCGATTTATCGGAAGCGGACGGCTCGCTGTTACTCCACATCATGTTGGAACCCGACGAATCGTATTTCACGGTATCTAATTGATCATGAGAAGGACTGCCGCATTGCAATCCAGCCTCAAGCGTCTTGAAGACGGGGGAGAACGCCGGTGCATCAGACTCGAACCCTCTAAATCAAAACAGCTGCTGATGACCACAAAAACCACCCGCCTTTCTGTCCCTGACATCAAGTTTCGAGGCATTACGGTTCCAGAGGCCAATAATATCAAGCTTTTTTTAGTTACATTCGACTCCAAGCTCTCATTCCGGGATCACCTGCACTCAACTTCAATACGTGGCTGCCAGAGACTGGGGGTTCTCCGTCGCGCTTGCCATGTTCTGGACTACCATGGCCGGCTTCGTGTATACAAGCGATTTGTCCGGCCGGTTCTTGAATATGCTCCCCGTGTGTGAATGGAAGCTGCATCCAGCCACCTGGCCCGACTCGACCGAGTGCAGAAGCGTGCTATGGCCATTATTGGCCCTGGTGCCCTTCTTCAAAGCCTGTGCCACCGCCAGACTGTATCTTGGCTGGTCTACCTATACAAGCTTCAGTGCATTCCAGGACTGCCATGATTCCCCTTCTGGACAACCGCCCAGAAGCTCGGCGCACCCAGAGCCAACCCCCTACTGGCCAGCGGCATCATTTGCAGCTGCAGCAAGTCCTGGATAGGAAAGCACCAGCTTATGCTTCTCGCTCCCATTTTCTCTCGTTTCGGAATGGAACAGCTTGCTGAGAGAAATAGTAAGGGCAACACTCAGCTTTAAGCATCTCCACACCTTCAAGAAAGATATCCATAAGCACCGCACCCATCAACATTGGCTGATGGCTACTGACTTCTACGGTTGAGCTCACAGATACCTCTAGATTGTGGCACGGGTCATGTTCTTCTGGTCCGGCTGTGCTGGAGGCTGCTGATTGTGCTTCAGCATTGTAAACTGAGAACGTGTAAATGTAACCTGTAACATGTTAAACTATCAAGCAAGGCCTCTATATAAACCTGTAACATGTTCACTGTCCTCTTCAGGGGCCACCCAGCATTATCGATGATTTTCAAGGGACAAAAGAGTTTACTTATGTTAGGTACCTCCTCACGTATATTGCCTCCTACAACCTTTTCCAAGCTGGCCTGCATGCACCCCGTACTTACCCTCACAGACTCACCTTTTGTTCCATCGGCCTCGGTAGCTACCTGCACGCCCATATTTGCCATAGCTACCCATGCCCTTTAGCTTGCACTCGTTCTCTCAAACTCTCTCTCTCTCTCTCTCTCTCTCTCTCTCTTTTCATAATAGAGAGGTTCTGCAAAACGGAAATGCGCACAAAACTTTCGCTCTATGTCATGACATGAGAATTTCGCACGAACTTTCGCAACTTTGGACGCGAAACTTGCAGGGAACGCGAAATGAACTTTCGTAGGAAATTACGTGAGATCGGGTCATGGCGTACATGCACTTGGCGCGTGCAAACCACGAAAATGTGCAGAACACAAAGTTCGTGCGAAAATTCGTACACATTTTTGCAAGGCCTAACGTAAACTTCGGTCGAATTTTAGTTTTGCAGAACCTCTGTTAAAATTGATTGATGTTTCAGCTTGAAACTCGGGTATTGAGCCAATAATAAAAGTAGAAAGGAAAAGGACATATGGAAACGAGTTAAGATGAGCCGTCACGAACCATACGGTGAAACGTACGTCGTGTGAAACAACTTGTTTTGTAGTCAACTAGTCCATCACAATGTCATGCATGAGGAGTACTGTAGGAGTTTAGATTTCGGCTTGTACAATTCGTTCTCGCAAAGCTTCCCCCTTCTTAACTTATCTTTGATATTTTTGACCCACCTAAGTTGGGTGGTGTGCTGCTTTGCTGCTTCGAATTGTAGTTAGACCGCTTTGTCAAATCGCCTACTGGTCTCGTCATCGTCCAGTGACAATCGACATTCTTTGTTCCGTTGGGTCTGTAGCTTGTGCTCGTTTCCGTTGCGCTTGCCTTCCCCTCTTTGGTTTTTCCATAACCTTGAACCTTCCAAGTTGGAAGGCTGTCGGTTAGCGCTACGGAGATGTGTTGAAGCTAGGTGTCAGGACGTCGAATGTCTCAGTACTCTGTCAGTTTTGTGCCTAGTTGTTGCACTTTCTGACTGTATATAGTATCTAGTTACAGTGGTGGAGAGTTACTCTTAACTCGTTTCCATATGTCCTTTTCCTTTCTGATGTTTCAGCTATCAATATTTTTAAACACGAAACTCTCCTTGCCCACCCACAAATGGAAATTTTTCATTGCTTGTAAAAGGTCGATAATTACGGATGGCCCCTTATAATATAGTCTTTCCTCTTTTTATTCGAAGTGTGTCTTCCAAGCAGGCCGACAATGTGGCATGGTGGAAAGCTTAGGCTACATGAAAGCAGGCAATTTCGACTACCAATAAGACTGGGTAGTATGCTTCTAACATGCTACAACTTACGAGCAATTTGTCTCTTTGTTAGCAGATCACATGCACGCTGGCACTCTTTGATGTGCTCCAGGGTTGTCACCAGATGTCCTTCCTACAGCACCAAGAACAGAGATGGGCACAACGTTGCAAAAACATGCATGCATAGGCCATGGGGGTAGTATATCACAAGCGCTAAAACGGCCTAGATACTGGCAAATTCACTTGTACGAGCAAGACAATGCAACCATACAGCTCACCTGACAAAGGCATATTCTCAAGCAATCATGGTCTCTTCAATACCTTTGGGAATGGCACTACTTGAGAGAGAAAGTACCAGCAACGTACCCAAAGGAGCTGCCGGGGAAGACTCCCAAAAATAGGTATACACATGCACATTAAGTCAATAACACTACGTGCACATCCACACATTAAGGTACTGGGATCATGAGACTAGACAGGTGTCAATGCATAGAGTGCTCAATATCCAGTGGAGCAATATCATAGGCATGCAGCAATGGTACAACCAAGTCTCTTTTTGCTGGTACTCTCTTTGCTGGTACTCTCGAAGTTTCCTGTAAAAAATTGCTGTCTGATGGGTGTATTAACATGAAACTCCAAGCAAAAGCAAAGAGAGATTTGGTTATACTGTTGCTGTGTGCCTATTGTATCATGAGACAATGTGTACCTTGGTTTCCTTGTCAGAGCTCTCCCGGGCCAGTTGCAGGGATGCTGCTGCTGCCATCAGCAAGCAGGTCTTCTGCCGCACCAGCAACGTGTTGTCACTGGGAAGAAGAAGGGTGAACTGTGAGACAAACAAGCAAAGTCATACACTGATACCAACAGATAGCACTTGAACTGCACAGTCATACGGATTCTTTCTTTCTTTCTCTTATCAGCAGATAGCAACTGCACAATTATACACAAGACCGCCGGAAGCAGTTCTTGATTGGTCCGGCAGTAACATGGCCTTTCATACGTTGTGTATGATATGGTAGGTACACATGCCTTTCACAGTAGTGAACACGTGTTGATGGCCCATAAGGTTGGTCCGGTAGTAACCTGACCAACCGGACCGGTTCCGGCGGGCCTGATACAGATATCCCGGCAGCCACCCACCAAGCAAGTCACCCAGCGTAATTCTTTCGTTACGGAACAGGACAAGTTGACACCTAAACTGCAGCATGACACTTTTTGGTGACTGCTATGATACAGTATCAAAACCGTAGAGAGCTTTACAGTGCTAGGGCTGAACGATCATTCAATAACTCCTAACGATCAACCAGTATCATTAACGATCGATATATGGGTTTTATCGATTCTTGTTGGCTCTATCAACCACCAGTTGATAAAGAAATTTTATGATGCCTTTGCTACGCTAGAAATTTGTGGCACCGCACCTGTTGACATCTGTAGATATCTGGCTGGTTTTATCAGCATGAACTACTCAAGTAGAGAATTTCATGTTGTTTCTAGAGCGAAGAATCTTGTCATCACCCTCTGGCAACTGCTCTCATCTCCAACTTCTCCCACAAATAAACCGAAAAGACAAAGTTTTCTCTCCCAATCTCTTTCAAAGCCACAAGTCAATTTTACTGCCCTTGAAAGTCTTGGAAGTACATGATTGCACTCGTATTCCACTATCGGATGGAGTGCAAGGGCTAGAATACTGTCACTGATATGCATGCATAAAAAATCTTTAGTACTCGTTTTGAACACTAATGATTATCGATCGCACTCTTAACGATCGATATGCGAGTTATCGGTATAATTGTTTCAGCCCTACTTTACACTATACGGACTGTTAGAAGCAACCACATGCTAGCTCAGTGCGTGAAGCTTAATGTTATAGTAGAGATCGCTTTTCATCTCTCCTATGTTTATACCGCTCTGCAATCTGGTGTGGAGAGCACTCTTTCCAGCTGCTCTTACTTGCTCTGATCGTGAAGGACTGTTACCAAGTGGCCATTCCCCAAACCTCTGTTTTAATGATAGCTTGCACACCACCCTACTGATAGGACACCAGAAGTCATGCTGAGATACTAGAATGCCGGAGATTCCAATATCTCTACCGGTATGACCAGGGTCAATGCAAGCTATCATTGAATTTCAACGCACCACTCACCTTGTAGCAGAGGATGAAGAAGGAATGCAATTCCTCAACAGCATCAACGCATTGCAGAGTTATGTTCCACGCTGTCGCAGTGAGGCAAACAAAAGCACAAGAACAGAGCCGATTAAACTGTGACAAAATGCAGAGAAAGGATGCTCATCAATTATGGACTGCTCATTCACAGCACAGTGAACATCTTGGAATCTATTTATATGAAGGTTCGTATACGATGCCCTGTCCCAATAGCATCAAACAGGTCTCCGCCCTAAAGTAGGACCAGTTTACTAAAATGGAATACAAAATCTTCGACCTTCTACATGTATGACAAAGCAGGTAGTCCGGGAACCCCCAATTTACACTTACACTCTTTCGGTTAAAGAGGAGAACAAGTACTGTAATGTCGCGTATACGGTCCGCTGTCAGTGCTAGGCTTCTATTCAATTCGGGCTTGTGTTCAAACCAGGTATTTCTATGTATGTCAACACTAAAACCAGGCTTAGGGCGCATTCACACTACGCAAAAGCAACTGTCTGCAAAAGTATGTTGATGGCGACTTGAAAAAAATCTGTTCACACACGATATGCGATGCGTGTCACGTGATGCACTTTTTTACGTTCGCCCTAACGAGTGTGTCATAATATTTCAACTCCACATTTTCTGGCGATCTGAATACTAGTACACATCAAATTTTCGTTGATCGTTCTCAATTTGCCGTGGTGATATTGCAAGGAAATCCTTCTTTGCTGACATGGATCGCCATGCCCGTGACAGACGTCGGCGGAGAGTTGCCGCAGCCCTTGCCATTTCTCCTTCTTTTGTTCCTATACATGTATCTCTTGCAGTGATCGCGGGCCTTCGTTTTCAAATTATCCACCTTGATGTGCACACTCACCGCCGTGAACACGACAGCCTTGATGCCGAGGTGCTGGACGTAATCATTGAGTTTGGATGCGATCTGACGCTCTGCGACAGATCGCTTCATCATAGTGCCACTTTTCGTTCGCTGGTATTCGCCCCAGAGCTCAATGAGCCGACACTCCAGATCGCCGGTGAACAGAACCTTCGGCATTTTGAAATATACTCTGAAACCAGTGGAAGAAAAATACAGTTTTATGCTGTCGACTTCTGCTTGAAAGAAAAAGTTGCCTTGTACACGGGTACCGGAGTTGCAGAAACCTTTCAGGTAACTTTTATACTTTCGCGCCAAATTACCTAGGTTGCCAAGGAGAATGGCCTGAAAAAATGGTCTATAACGCACTTTTCCAAGTAGTGTGAATGCGGCCTTAGGTGTCGACAGTGCATCTTGAAAATCAGGCTTCTATTTGAGACCAGCTTTTATATAAGACAGTGCAATAACGAAGTTTAAGATTTTGGAGGAGAAAACACAGGAATGGAACTAATGTAAGAATGGAAAATCTTACAAATGTCGCTAGATTTGCAGTGGGCAAGGATGGTAGGTTGATGTCTGCACTAAAGATAGAAATGCAGAACGTTGGTACTGTGCATGTCAAGTAAGACAGGGGTGGGACATAACAGAACTCATCCGTCAACTTGCATCTATTCCTGTCAAAGAGCCGCCACCGAAGCCACGCTACAGCCCCGGGCAAGCAGCAGGAGATGTCCAGCCACTGCAAGTTGGGCAACCTGCGGGAGCTATGCACTTGGCTAATCACAACCCTGCCAAGCAAAGCAGTGTTTTGCTACGAAAGTGAGAACGTCCAAAAGAAAATGTGTCACATATTGCCAGCTATGCCCTGTCCTTACCCATCTTCATGAACCAAGTGACTTCGGACTGTATTTCTTCAGACGACTGATCACTGCACATTGCTTGCAGCTTTTCCAGGGCTAGCACAGTACACAGCAGGAAAGATTTCAGTGTTGAAATAGGTCTCATGATTAGTTTACAGGGGCAACGAAGCCTGCATGCTCCCAATGGACATTCAAGAAGTACACCAATAATTATAATGGTCATACCACGCTCATCGACTGGTCTTTATCAATTTACTCCAACGCTGACCATCAGGCAGGTCTCGGGTGCACATGTAGCCCACTTTGGTAAACACCCTAGATAACTGGGCAAGGCCAAGTTTTTTTTCTTTCTTTCTTGTAATTCTAGTATATTTCCGGTTGAAGGGCAAGTCACCGACGGTTTCATCCCACATTTTTGCATTGGATTGATTGCAAACACATGGCTGGCGTTTGGTAAGTCAATTTCCAGGTCAAAGGCAACTTCTATAGAAATGTTCACACGATGCTTATCGCAGCCACACCACATTCTGATTACCTGTCTTTATGTAGAAGACTAAAGACGCCAGGTCGGACCTAGAATGCAGGAGAGTCACAACAAGGACACCTGACATAAGCATGCAGCAGTTCACTGTTGCACCGAAGCGACAACACAAATCACGGGGCCACATGCATGGTTCATAATATTACTGTTATATATGCACTCTTGTTAGATAGGTACTCATATGTACTGTACATAGTAGTAATATACCTACTTCCGTAGCACTGGCATGATCTAGCATGATCACACTGCGCATGCTCTTGTTCAAGGCTTTTTCCCCAATCTACTTGTGCTAGCTGGATGCTTGTGTGCATGGGGATCAGGACACAACAAATGGCGACGAAGATGTTTGCATAATTTCTCTATTTTAGTGTTTGTAGACGGTAGTACATGTCGATATGGCTACTGTAAGAGCCACAATAGAACCATTTACGGGTGGCGATTTTGCCGAGTATCAAGAACGCCTTCTATTTTCTGGCCAACGACATTGGAGTTGTTGCCTGCAGTGCCTCGAACGCGGAAAAGGAACGGGTAAAAAAGAAAATGTTTGCCCACCTGATTTCTAGCCTGTCGAAAGACGTTTACGCTACCCTCAAGAGTCTCTGCCTCCCAACCAGCCATGCGGGCAAATCGTTTGACGAAGTTTGTGCTCTGCTAAGGGATTACTACAAAGTTCGTCGATCTGCAACTACTGCATCATATCAATTCCGATCGTGTGTTCAACATCAGGCGGGCGAGAGGATCGTCGATTTTTGCAACCGACTCAAGCGAGCTGCAGGGCCTTGCCAGTTTGGCGATCATTTAGACCCAGCACTATAGGACCAGTTTGTTGCCGGCCTGGCCAGCTCGGACATAAAGCGCAATATCTTGACAAGCGCTGATGCAGATACGAATAAGTTTGCCAATGTCGTACAGATCGCAGAGCGAGAGGAGAGTGCCATCACGTACGCCGGGCAACTCACTCCAGGGGCGAGCTCTGTAAATAAGCTGCATACGAGAAGCCCACCAAATCGTACTGCGCCGAACCGCACGACGGACCAGCGATACGGCCGAGGTACTACTACTACTAACTCAAGTACATCTATGAAGAAATGTTTCAGGTGCACTTCGGATCTACACATGGCAAACAAGTGCCCGCATCGGAACACTGAATGTCGTTTCTGTAAGAAGACCGGACATCTCGAGAGAGCCTGCCTCGCGAAACGGAAGCGTGCTGGTCATGTCAACCATGTGGGTGACGAGGCGGAATCAGAGGAAACCAGAGGTGAGATCGTTTCGGATGTACCAATGTTTAAGATTCGGTCAGGGAATGGGCACAATCCCCCCTACACTGTAATGGCAAACATCAATGATTCACCGTTATCTACACGTTTAGAAATTGACACAGGAAGTGCGGTTACGATAATCACGAAGTCTGACTTCGAGAAATTGGGCTCCGCTATTACGTCTCTGGCACCCGCCACAGTTTGGCTCATTGGGTTTTCTGGGTCACCCATCCCCTGTCTGGGCGAACGGAAGTTCACGGTATCAATTAATGGGCAAACACACGATGTTATGCTACGTGTTGTGGATACCAAGGGGCCGTCACTCCTAGGCAGAGATCTGCTGGCATTGTTCCAGTTAGACTGGAAAGAAATTTTCCAGGTCAAATCACAAATTGATGAGGCAATTGAGCGTGCTGTCTTGCGAGACGAAATAATGGCCAAGTATCCCACACTATTTGACGACTCGTTGGGCAAACTAAACACGACACGAGTCACGTTGAGGGTAAACGACGACCACCCAGTTTTTAATAAATGCCGAACCATACCGTTTGCAATTAAACGCAAGTATGAGGAATCCTTGGATAAGCTGGAAGCCGAGGGTATTATCCGCAAAGTGGAATTTTCCAAATGGGCTTCCCCTACAGTACCGGTGCGCAAACCTGATGGCTCAATCAGGATTTGTGCAGATTACTCACGCACCATTAGTGCTAACATGGAGAGGTATCCTTTACCCACTGTTGAAGAAATTCGTTCCAGTTTAAGTGGGGGTCAGAAGTTCACCACACTCGATTTATCACAAGCGTATCACCAGTTAGAGCTTGATGAAAATTCGAGGGTCTACACTACAATCAATACTCATCGTGGATTGTACGAATATACTCGACTACCTTTTGGCATACACTCTGCAGTTTCGGTGTTTCAACGTACTATGGAAGCATTACTAGCGGACATAGGGGGCTGCATTGTGTACGTAGATGACATACTAATCACAGGGCGTAATGATGAAGAACATCGACGTACACTCGAACGGGTTCTTGAGCGATTACAGGAGTCGGGTATGCGGATCAAACCTAGCAAGGCACAATTCATGCAAGAGAAAATTGTGTATCTTGGTCATGTCTTGACCGCTAATGGTATTGCACCATCTCCGACGAAAATTGATGCAATGGTACAAGCAAAACCCCCTACCTCGGTAAATGAATTGCAATCTTTTATCGGCTCTGCAAACTAAGTCCGGAAATTCATTCCAAAGTTTGCAACGATAATGGCACCATTGTATGTTCTTCTGAAGAGAGATTCTCCCTGGAAATGGACAGATGTCGAACAACAGGCCTTTACCACTTTGAAAGAGGCTCTGTGTTCTACTGATGTTTTGGCTCACTATTTACCAGAACGAGAACACGTTCTACAAACCGATGCTTCAGGCGTAGGTCTGGGTGCAGTTTTACTACGAGAGGAAAATGGCACTTTGAATCCTATTGCATGCGCTTCACGCACTCTCTCATCTGCGGAACGAAACTATTCAAATATTGAACGGGAATCGTTAGCATTGGTGTTCGGGGTGAATGAGATTCAAAGTGCCATTTTCCTCTCCTTGTAGTAAAACTGCACCCAGACCTACGCAAACAGCCGGTCTTATGTAGCATTAGAAGCATGATTCCTAAAGAAGCCTTTGAAATTCTATGAGAAAAATGCATTCAACCTGCGGATTTTGTACGAGAATTTATAGTGCTTTAGCAAAATATTGCCTTATGTGTTTGTACTGAACACTGGTACACATTAGGTTTGAATCCAGCCCTGTAGAGGTCAGGCGATGCAAGTCATCCTGTTCGTATCTATTCGGTGCCACCATGAGTCCACGGACTGACACAGACTTTCTGCACGCGTTTTCTCATTCATTGAATGAGAAAATGCATTGAATGAGAAAACGCGTGCAGAAAGTCTGTGTCAGTCCGTGGACTCATGGTGGCACCGAATAGATACGAACAGGATGACTTGTATCGCCTGACCTCTACAGGGCTGGATTCAAACCTAATGCATTTTCTCATAGAATTTCAAAGGCTTCTTTAGGAATCATGCTTCTAACGCTACATAAGACCGGCTGTTTGCAGTATGCCTACACATAGGCACTTCAGTCACGTGACACGACCTGTCAAAAAGTGCTAACGCTGAATCGCGTACATGCGTGGCACCACGGAAAGGCGCATGCATAGATCGATCTGTAGCTGCACGGAAGCTGCGCAGGCCCTTCTCGTGTGGCGCAGCGTGTAGCTGAGGCCCTCAGCTTTCGTTTGAGCCCACATACGTCATGATGCGGCAATTTTTTGAACTCACGTACAGTTCGAGTAAAATCGGCAAGGATTTTTCGGGCATTTCACTTGATTGCACGCATTTGCCATGTAGCTCATCGTCTTCAGCGTCGTATTTCCTTTCGGAATCAGTTGTCCTCGTTTGTCCAACACTTTGCGCATTGCTGCGCAAGAAGAAATAATGCGAGGTGTTATTGAAAGCGAGCCGCGACAGGCGTCCTCCCGGCAGTAGTCCTTGTTCGTCGGAGCCCATGCGCATGGCTGCGCAAGAAGAAATATTGCCAGGTGTTATAATTATATTGGAGTCGCATCGGAGCAGTCGTCCTCTCCTGCAGGCGACGAGTAGGACAGTATATACTTCGGCGACTGGACCAAGAGAGCTGACATCAAAACGGCCTGCTTGGAACAAATCGTCAGCTGATCAGCAGGTGGCTTCCAGCGACCAAGAAAAGCATTGACGGTGATATTATACCAAGAATCCAGCACACACTCTATGCACAAAATCTCTCATGCTGGAGTTGCTGAAGTTTCAGTAGTCCCAAACATTTGCAAACGATGTTCTACATGTAATAGTTTGTCATTTCTTTCCGTCAAATACGCGGTAAAATTCTAGTTTGCTCAGTCTTCGGCTCATTCAGAGTCATTGTTCTTCCGTATTCGTCACCATGTCAGTACTGTACATATAGCAACAATGTGTTCTGGCACTGAATTATTGTAGTTACTTTATCTTACCTCAAAGTCTCATCTTATGCTTTTCCAAAGGCTTCTCTGCACTGTTTTCATGCTGTTGCGATGGAGTTGCTATGGAGTTGCCATGGTGACCACACCCGATATCTTCGTCTGAGCTGCCGGACGGATGAAAAATGCGAAGTTTTTTCCAAACCATGCTGTTTCTGCATTCATCTGGTTATTTTGACCTGCTTCCGGCGAGCCTGGTATTTTGCCACTATAGACACTGAAGCAAGTCCTACCAATTTCTGATATGCTGCTGGTGCCGTCAAAATACTGAAATTGCCGTTATTCAATTCTCCGACTTTGGATGGCTATATCTCTGTGCCAAGTTATTATTTTTGCTTCAAATTTTCTGTGGAGTCTTCCTAAACCTATCTGAATCGGATACAAGAAAGAAATACGAGTATTTCTGGTTTTGAAAAAACCGCCTGAAGTGCCTACTACACAAGCAGGCTTAAGGGCTAATGGGCAATTTTAAAATTCAGGCTTGTATTTAAGACAGCCGGCAGTACGTGGCAGGCTTTATACAAGACAGTACGATACTATATAAGCAAGAAGTGAACACGAGCCTTACATGTTGCTCTCGGACAAGAACGTACACCGTAGCCGCACCAAGCACCTGCAAAGGAACCAATGTACATGACACAGTACAGAATGACAGACAACGATGCAAGAAGGTTCTGCACAGTCCATCATGCCTCCTCATTGGCACCACGACTGAGGTCAAACATGTTGTAAACGCTAGTTTGGATAAGTGAGGTTCCGGGTGACCGCCGTGTGGACAAGTGAGATTCAGCTGCACTTTCTTGTAACAACACCAGCACCAAGAACAAGAACAAGAACACCAACAACACCATATCCCTTCTAACACATCAGTGCAGTGAAGCCTCTAACCCCCCCCCCCCCCCCCAGTCACACGGCCGGTCAATTTGAGTTGATGAAGCATAACAAGGTCGAAACAGCTAGCTGTCCGGAGATAAAGTGTAGTAAATTCTGTGTGGAAATGATCATACCTCAAAGCAACTAGGACTTGACTGCCGTCAGCAGAGTACTGTATGAGGCCTTCCAATGCATGCATGGCAATTCCGCGATTGCTCTTCTGCAAAGAACAATGGCAAAGAGTTTAAACATATAACCAGATTATTGGGCACGGTTATGGTCAAAAACCGTCTGGCTTCTGGGCATGGTAAACAGAACTCACAAGTTTACAAAGATCTAAAACTCCATGAATACATGTACAGAGTAGATCATGAGATTTAAGTCGCCAACATGCATGTCCTACAGGCAATCACTGCCAACTAGCAATACAGTAAAAACCTAACCGAACGTCTTTGGTGCAGCGGAAACTGTCCTGATATTACAGGATTCCGCTTGATCCAGGGATGAACATTCGATCCACAGCACTTTGGTGCATGACAATTTGTCTGGCAAATACAGGATTCCGCTTGGCACAGGGTCCGGCAAACACGGGTTTTTGCTGTACACCTTATGTCCGTCTGGAGGTAATTATTCAATTCATATCAGTTCCACATACGTTTTGCAATACAGGTAGACTCCTTTTTAATTCGAAAACGGTATAACTAGAATATTTGAAGCTTCGAATTAGATTATTCTGCAAAAATTGAAACTTTTCACCATACTGATCCTTTGCAAATCACTTGAAGTCAAATTCATCGTGACCAACCCAGCCCTAGCGTCCATAGTAATGCTTATGCCTACTGACATTAGTGACCACAGCGCTGTGGGAGCCTATATCTAGCTCGACATACCACCCGCGTCATCAATGGAGAGAGTGGCACACTAAGTTTATGTTCGTTATGGACAAGTATGTCCCGCTGAACTATTCTAAGCCTTCACAGAGGACAATACCTCCATGGTCTGACAGGGAGCTGCACTAGCTCGAACAACATGAATGGCGGCTACACAACCATTGGTGGAAAGAGAGGACAGCCGGTACACTATATGCCGAGTTCAAACAAGCACGTAGTAATGCTCAGAATGCATATTGGCGCAAGATAAAAGTGACGTCTCCCGTCAGTGCGAAGAGAATGCTGCCAACCCTAGGAAGTCTTGGGCTATTTGCAGTCACTCGGCATTCATGTCGCCGCCAAGATCCTAGTTGCAACATCAGTGAGGTGAGCGACACCTTCTAATCCATTGTCACCGATGCCAACCGTCCTGAACAACTCAGCACCCACATGGTCCCGCTGGACCTGTCTCCTTGACCAAACTTGATCCGGTGACTCCTGTTGACGTCCGATGTCTCCTTGAGCAGTTGGATGCGCGGAGAGCCACAGGTAGTGACGGCATGCCGGGCTCTCTGTTACAGCAGCGCGCCTACCTTTGGCATATTTTCTTGCAGTGCTGTTCTGCAGCTCGCTGCAGACTAGAACTATTTCCTCTGCATATAAGTTGGTGTCTGTTGTGCCACTGTACAAGGCCGGTGACCCATTCGTCCCCACCGAGCTTGGGGCTTGGAAAATTGATGTTCGAATTCAAGAGAGTCTATTTGTAGATGAAATGCAAAGGGCAGACCAAAAGGTCAACATGAAAAAAGAGAAGGCCCAAAGGCTTACTAGTTATCCGTTGTTCGTGTCCAACACTAAGAAATACGAGCAAGATACCGGTGAGTCAGAACGTGCAACAATTAGCACAATACTGAGTGATGTGATACTGACATTCAACGACATGATGCTTAGCTGCCTCGCGATAACTAGTAAACCTTTGGTCCTTCTCTTTTTTTTCATTTTTAATCCTCGACTCTCCACCCAAGCCGTATCAAAAGGTCAACCATAGTCGATTCTGACCATTAGGGGCAGGGGGTGTTGGAAACCTCTTGTTTCAGTGAGCTTGACATACATGTAGTCAGGGCGGTGCTCATCTCCTCTCCCCTCGTTGCCTCTCCCGCCAAAGTCAGCTGCCCAATCCCAGATGGGTCTCCTGGCGGTGGAATAGTCTTTGCTGAAACTGGGAATCAAACCCGCTTCATGTTTGAAAGGCCACTGACGAACCCCTTTGCCAAACACCCACCCCAAATGTAGGAAGTCACAAAATACTGCCCAAACATTCACACAGAGTTATCAAGATCCAGTAGATGAGGTGCATCAGTATAGGCATATAAACACCGAGATGAAGATTACCTCAAAGGCCAACTGTGCTGCCAGACTGATCAGTCCATTGATCTCCTGCTTGCTGACAACTTCACGGCTGGCCTTGCTACCGACTTGAACCATGGCCTTGAGTTCGTCTATCGCTGTGTGCGGTGGTGGAATCAGATGGCATTACACAAGACAACAGAAACATCTGAAATTTACCTCAAACTCTGAAGGGGTCCGTTTGCAAAGCTAGAGCAGCAAATATACCTATGGAGAATGAAGTTTGAACTAAGTTCTAAAGGTAGGTCGATACCAAGTCCAGCACTGGTTCTGCGCATCACATCACCGCCGCAATGTGTGTGTGTGTGTGTGTGTGTGTGTGTGTGTGTGTGTGTGTGTGTGTGTGTGTGTGTGTGTGTGTGCGCTGCATGCTATGGGAAATGAAATGGTTCACAAAGCATTACAGTTTTGACTACAGTTAAAAAAAACTTTGATTCTTGTTGGTGTCTGGTCGATCTTACTCACAACCAACAGCTAATGCAGGAGCTGCCTCAACCATCGTTTCCGATCTCCGGGTGGAGGAGTCGTCGCTGACAGGTATAGGTGTGCGTAGTATATGCGTGCCTACTAGCGCTCTTATCCCTGTGTCAAGTGCTGTCGACGTACCCACGCCTCTCCTAGTGGTGTGGCTAGTGCTAGTCCTGGTGTGAATAATCCTAGTCTTCCTGCATTAATCCTAGTCCTGTGCCTATCTGTAGTTCAAATGTCGAGTCCTTTGATTTGGTGATCGACTCTGCTTGCAGCACATCAGGGTGCTGTGCGGGAAGTGCATGGAGTTGGCTCTGTTTCCTACCCCCCTCTCCGCCTCGGATCAAGGTGCCGGAGGACGAACACCAGCTCGTGCTCTCTGCATCACTACCATCTCGCCGCAAAATGGAGAACCTGGCTATTTGGCTGGCCATGCATGCCGAGTGTGAATAGAGTCCCGAGGACATAACAATTGGCGACGAAGATAAAGATGGTACGCTTTCCAACGGCCGAAGAGAGTTGGAAAGCTTGTGTCTTTGTGGATAACTCGAAACAATTTGCGCTAAGACGCTGCAAAATCGCTCCGATTTTGGATTTCATTCCACAGAATGTGGTACCGACAAGATGCGGTCCTTGACCGCATTTCCGTCACTTCGCAGTGGCCTTTCTTCCGTTTAGTTTGTTCTTTGTTTTTGGGAGTATCGGCTTTGTTTTTGCAAAATGGACAAGAGTTCGCTATCAAAGAGAACTGTCCCCGAATTGCGACTCCTGCTGCAGGAAAGGCAGCTGGATGTCAGCGGCCGTAAGGGAGATTTGGTAGAGCGACTGCTGGCGGCTGGTCTGTCCAGCACCATCCCTGCTGGTCAGGATGGATTAGTGTTGCCGGTTTCCGTTGCTGCTGGTCAGTCATTATCGTCTAGTACTGCTGGTCAGTCGTCGTCCCTGACACTTGCTGCAGGTCAGCCAAACATGTCTGTGGTTGCCGGTGACCCGTCTGTGAGTGCTGCTGCTGGTCAGCCGAATTTGGCAAATGCGGTGGGTCCACCATCCGTATCCAGTGCTGTCGGTCCGCCATCTTTGTCTCTGGGGGCTGGTCCGCCAAATTTGTCCGTGCCTGCTGGTCAGTCACCTTCGTCTGCTGCTGGTCAGCCAAATTTGTCTGTTGCTGCGAATCAGCCACCCGTATCTGTCGCTGCTGGTCAGCCAAATATGTCTATTGCTGCTGGTCAGCCAAATTTGTCTGTTGCTGCGAGTCCGTCATCCATGTCTGTCGCTGCTGGTCAGCCAAATTTGTCTGTTGCTGCTGGTCAGCCAAATTTGTCTGTTGCTGCTGGTCAGCCAAATTTGCCTGTTGCTGCTGGTCAGCCATCCAGGTCTGTCGCTGCTGGTCAGCCAAATTTGTCTGTTGCTGCTGGTCAGCCAAATTTGTCTGTTGCTGCTGGTCAGCCATCCATGTCTGTCGCTGCTGGTCAGCCAAATTTGTCTGTGACTGCTGGTCAGTCTGCTGCTGCTGGTCAGCCAAATTTGTCTGCTGCTGCTGCTGCTGCTGCTGGTCAGCCAATTTTGTCTGCTGCTGGTCAGCCAAATTTGTTCATTGCTGCGAGTCAGCCATCTTTGCCTGTGGCTGCCGGTCAGTCATATTTGTCGCCTGCCGCGGATCAGCTGTATTCGTCATCTGCTGCTGGTCAGTTGTATGAGTTGTCTGCTGCTGGTCAGCCATATCTGTCTGCTGCCGGTCAGCCATATCTGTCTGCTGCATGCTGGTCAGCCATATCTGTCTGCTGCTGGTCAGCCATATCTGTCGTCTGCTGCGGGTCAGCCGTATTTGTCGTCCGCTGCTAGTCAGCCGTATTTGTCGTCCGCTGCTGGTCAGCAATACTTGTCGTCCGCTGCTGGTCAGCCATATCTATCACCGGCTGCTGGTCAGCCGTACGAGTCGTCTGCTGCAGCCGAGCTGCCACCTGCATTAACTGCAACAAGGGACGTGCAGGACAGTACCGCCCCTGCATGGGCGCTGCGCCTACAGGAGCAAGTGGCAAGGCTCCATGAAAAGACGGGCGAGACGCAAGGGACTGCGGCAACCCCGCTGCCACCATCACTGAGCAAGCCGTCGCTTCAAGGCCAGCAGGACCTGCTGGTTAAGCTGCGCGAGCAATTCGTGCGCATTCAGCAAGCGGGTGACGGCAACCGTCTGGTCGAGGAGGCCGTGGAGACTGGTAAGAGTCTTATTGCCGACCGCATGCAGTATCTCCGTATTGCAGACGTTGAGGGGTTCGAAGTGGCCACGGCATATGCCCGTGAGCCACTGGTGGCAACAGATGAGCAGAGAAAACGGTTGGCTGAGGCAAGGGCTACGATCAGAAGGAAATCGGGGAGCACTTGCAACAGCGGCAGTGTAGCGCAGCGCAGTGGTCCGCCATTCCCCGGGCTTCGGCAAGAGGGTGGCAACCAGAGACGTCATCCGGGCCCAGGGCCGCTATGCTTCAGCTGTAATAACCTGGGGCATATCGCTCGGCACTGCCCCCACGGTAACCCGGCTACCGTAACCTCGCCATCGCCGCAAGCTCAGAGGCTTACAGCCCCTCCGGCACCAAGGATGGGTGCTCGCCCGCCGATGCAGCCTCATCACTGACTCAGCCAGCAGGCAAGTGGTGTCAGAGATGTTTTTGCAGATAATGATAATGTATTTGCGGTTGATGAGTGCATGCCGAGTGTGAATAGAGTCCCGAGGACATAACAATTGGCGACGAAGATAAAGATGGCAAAGGTCTCACGCCTGGAGAATTTTGAGGGCGGAGATTTTTACGAGTATGCTGAGTGGTTTCAATTTTTTCGTGGCCAACGTTGGACATTGGTCAGCTCGCCGCCAAAGCCAATGCAGCGGCCATTACTGCAGCAGATAAAAAGAAACTGGCGGTGTTGGTCTCATAGCTTTCAAGTCCAGTTTAATCGACACTAAAGAGCCTGTGTCTACTTGACAAACCCAGCGACAAGAAGTACGCGGAAATGGAAAAGTTGCTGCGAGAATATTACAAGCCAGCAGTGAGTGCCGTCGCGGCCACTCATGCATTTCACAAGTGCGTGCAGCAAGAAGGTGAGACTGTGCTGGGCTATACGACAAGACTGAAAAGGTCTGCCGTAGATTGCAAATTCTTGGACCACCTGGACAGGGTGCTCCGGGATCAGTTCATAAAAGGAGTAAGACCTTTGGCTGTTACGAAAGAACGGCTTTTCAAGGCAGTGGACACTGACAAGTTCGCGGACGCCGTGGCCCGCGCAACAAGGCTATGTATTGCACTATTCATTGCTGGCACCATCCGACTCTCGCCGTGCAGTGAACGTTGCCGTTGCCGTTCTCGTCTCAACTCAAGCTGAGTAACTTTGTTCCGTGCCAATTTACAATTGATATTTACATTTTTGTAGTGCTAGTATTTTCTAGGCTTGCTTTGTTGGATCTATTCATAGTCTTGTCCCCTAAGCTAGCTCTTCGTTGTCAGTTTTTCTTGCACTGCTCGCCGTATTTGAACTGTTGCTGTACTAGCGTAGGCTTTAGTCCTCAAACGCATCCCGTGTTGCTTACGAAGTCTTACTTGTTTGTTTGTTATCCTTATATACACAACACTGAAAATGGCACAGGCTCCTCAAGCTGCTGCTGCTGCTGCTCCCGCTGCACCAGCTCAAGCTCCGGGTCAGGCTCCAGCTCCTCGACAGGCACCACTTGCTCGGCCGGGAGTTGTTCCGCGGATGTTTGGGGGTTCCAGCCAAGACGATTGGCACTCCTTCATCGCCCGGTTCACACAGTGTGCGTGGTAAACTCGATATTTTGCTCCTTTTTGCTCCAAAATTTGTGTCACGTGTGGGAAACTGACCGAAAGTGGGTCACATATTGGCAAAACGAGAAAAAGTGAGTCAAGTGTTGGTAAAACTGTGTGAAAACGAGTCATGTGCACCGTATAAGTGTAAAATCTCCCAATTTACAGCGAACACACCGATATTTTGCTCCATTTTGCCAGCAAATTCCCTTCCAAAATTCTTCGATATTTTGTTAGCAGAATTGCTAGCAAAATCAGGCTATGCCTACTGCCCACATACATGTACACACATTGCCATGTGCGTGTGACTACCTTTCTGGTCTTCACCCTGCAGCAGGGCTATTTTGAATAGCAAGAAGTGCGAGTAGGGATTGTCCGGATCGTACTGTTGTGCTTGTTGAATGGCCAAGGCCGCCTGAGCACAAACAACAGCAAGAGAGCAGTACAATCAGACCTTGTTTACCTGGTTCCCTCTCTAGCCGGTGGGAAATCAGCCAGAGAAATTATATAAGAAAACACTAGGAGTGCAACGCATATTGCAGTTACTCAGCTCCCTGAAAACTAATGTGTGCAGTGATGGGAGGTTGGACTGCATTCGTGGTTTTTACGGAAAGTGCTCTGTGAGCCACGACCATGTACATCAACAGTGAACACAACAACCAGTATTCTTTTTTATAATTCTCTTTCTGAAGAAAACTACTGTCCAGTTGTTCTGTAGCAAGCACTCCACGTTGCACGGAAGAAAGGTCTGGCTGCATTCATGATTTCTGTAGGAAGCACTTTGTGAGCCACTAACATGAACATTGACAGCACATCCATCACCCAGCAGCATCCAAAGTCTTCGGAAACAAAGAGAGAACTGCTGTCCAGCTTGATGCACTGCACAGTTATGTGTTACAAGCTTTCTACCACACCTTGCCCATGCCTAGTACACACATGTTATGCTATATCATGTGCTACGTCTCGCCATTTAAAATAAAACGTCAACGACGACGACAACAACAACAACAATCGTGAGAATAAAGAATTCAAACAACAACAACAACAACAACAACAACAACAACAACAACAACAACAACAACAACAACAACAACAACAACAACAACAACAACAACAACAACAACAACAACAACAACAACATGGCTATCGTGAGAATAAAGATTTGAAACAACAACAACAACAACAACAACAACAACAACAACAACAACAACAACAACAACAACAACAACAACAACAACAACAACAACAACAACAACAACAACAGCAGCAGCAGCAGCAGCAGCAGCAGCAGCAGCAGCAGCAGCAGCAGCAGCAGCACACATGCCTTGTTCATACCTCGTTGAAGTGCCGTAAACCAAGAAAACACAAGCACCGATTTCGCTGCACAGAAGACAAAGCAGTCACACATGTCAACAAGACATGGGAGGATTACTAAGGGGTCGTCGCAAAAGTTTTTTGTCGTCCCTGAAACGAACATGATTCATTTGGGGGGGGGGGGGGGGGGAGGGAGTGCGAGCCAAAATCGCAAGTCGACCGACACTGTACATATGACATGTACATGCATGCGATTTTCGTCGTCCAGCATAGCAAGTTGTGTTCGTTTCAGAGGGAGGGGAGGGGGTCCGAGTACGAAATGAACGATGTTCGTTTCAGGGACGACAGAAAACTTTTGCGATGACCCCTAAGGCAACTCTCATCTACAGGGATTACTACGAGTACACTTTTCATGGCGTATTGGTCTTACCTGTAGCTTGCAAGAATTCTTGCTTTCAAGCTCACTGCTGGAGAAGAATTCTGCTGAGTAGTCATACCACATCAGTGCCAACTTGTACTTGCCAGCCTGCCACATAAAAAAGTATTGCAAAGCCATAGCATAACGTCATCAACAGTGAATCTTGAATGTTGCGTGAATGGCACCCTTCACCTGGGCATAACAGCGTCGTCGGCATTTGAAATCAGTGCAAAATACTGTCCTGCCATTACAACAGCTGTTACATGCCTTGCATTGTGCTGCAACAATCATTCACCTCATATGCAGAGGCTGCATGCTTCCACAGGACGGTATGGAGACGTTGTCGGTCCGCAGCGGAAAGTGGCTGGTATTCGTTGTGCGCTGCAGAAACAAGGAGTTAAGAAGCATGATGATGTTCGCATCAGCACTATGTGCTGTGTCAAGTGTAAGGCATGTTCATGACGTGTTGGGATGCTTGCTGCCAGTCATCAGGTAGCAGCAGAAGACAAGCACCAACACCAACAGCATTTGTACCACCAACAACATCTACCCCCCTGCCCCCCCCCCCCCCACACAACAATGCACACACACACACGCACGCATGCACACACCCCTCCTCCTCCTCCTCCCCCCCCCCCATACACACACACATAATCATCTACATTAGTAACTGCTACACCATACACAGGACTGGGTGCATGCTTTTGTTAATATATTAGTGCAACACTTACATGACAGACAATGGTCAACAACTCTGCATGCGTCATCTGTCTTCTCTAACTGGAGTAACAACTCCTGCAGAACCATCACAGCAACAGTATGCCCCCATTAGGATTGACCTCGACCTAACAGGGAGTTTCTCATCGTTCATCTTTCTTTTCATCCATTCGAGGCATGCCTCAGTCTGAGCAGCACTGTAGATCGGTCTTCCCATAGTTTTCCACATCAAATTACGAATCCACTGAGCCAGTCGTCTTGTACAGGGCGGCTTGTGCGTGCGCCTGCACTGCGCATTGTGCCACGACTTGTGTTGCTTATAAGCATGTAAGTACTGCAGAAACTAAGTGATAACATCAAATACGTCTACAAATCAAGGAAGTTGCCATTCCTGAGGCTAACATGTATGCCAAAGCAGTCTTGTTTTCAAGGTTCTATGGCCAGTACAGGGACTATGATGTCTATGATGTGGGCATCCAGGAGCCATGAATCAAGCAATTTTAACCATGGTGGTGTTATCTCCAAGCATTTTACAATTCTGTTATGCCAAACCATTTAACAAGTAACAAATTGGCAACGCAGGCAATTCCACTTCTAAACGATGACAACTTAAAAAATTGCACGGGCTCGCGTACAGGGAGGGTCAAGAACCGCCTTTCCGCTTCCGTGGGACGCCACCACCCCATGATCAGGCTTAACATGCGGCTCCTAAACGGTGGGGGAGGATAGATCAGATCCACCAACCAGAGGCCAAAGGCCAAAAAACCATTTGCAACACCCATGTTTTACTCGTGCTAGGCCACAAGCTCCCAGTTCATTGTGAACGATGACAAACTACAATAAAAAAATGTCTTACTAGTTCTTCCAGGTGAATGAGCATTTCGTTCGGGGTGTTCTGGTGGCGTGTTGCCAGATGCTCCAGCCCAGTTGCAGCAAGCTGGGATCTAGATACGGGTGGAGCAGTGCGCAAACACAAACATGTTTTGAAGTTGCTACATTGGCACGGTAGTAACAGCAGAAGAAACCCAACAGGTAGAAAGCCAGTTGAGTGAAACAACGATTCTACATTACCAGTAGTTTACATGTACAATCGTGCAAGGTGAAATTCAACCCAAAGTGCTCACATGGCGCCCTGGATTTGCACGGCCATTGACGCCGTGGAAGTGGAGCGAATGCTGCTGGACGTGCACATGTACAAATACAGTGATGTATTGGAACTGGTCCAGAGCACCAGTTTGAACTTTGGGTTGGACTTCACGAGGCACAACTGTACTTAGGCCAAGTAAAAAAAAAAGCTAGATGATCGTCCCCGTCCGCCCCAGTTTTTGTCAGCGCCCCAAGAAATATTTTATTTTTTAAATCGTGAGTTTTTGCCGAAATCGTTGGTTTTTTACCGATCGCGGATGCAGGAAACATGTGCACGCTTTGTTTAATACTTTCTTTACTATATGGACCACATACTACTAGTATATCACAACGTCAGTATCGATCTGCTGAAGAAAGAAAAAGAAAAAAAGAAAAAAAAAGAAAAAAAGAGAAAAAAAACCTTGATGTTGTTGTGTACACTGTGTGCATGAGAGGGTAAAAAGTAAAAAAATAAAAATAAAATCCTCCCGCCCTCCCCGATTTTTCCAAAAAAAAGGACGATCATCTAGTAATTTTTTTTACTCGGCCTTAGCTGGGCTGTGGAAAAACGTGAACACATATAAGGCAGATCAAGTGTTCCATGTACCTGTTGTGCTGCACCAGGTCTTTCGTTGCAACCAAAGCCATGTCAATGGAGACTTCCGGATGTGAGACATATTCCAACAGTGCTGTGACAGACACAAACATGAAACGGGCATAGTGAGAGAACGCAATGGAAGCTACCGGTATGGTAACAAAACAAATACAGACCAAACATTTCTCCATTTTCTGGGCAGTCGTGATGAGGTCTTTTCTGCAAATTACATGTCACGCTAAGATGACAAGACTGGTTTTGTTTCGCCATATAGTTCTAAGTGGTTGTACCAGTTTCAACTGGCCATACCATTTCTACGTGTATAATTGTATATGCATGTGTAGTATCAGCCCTGTACATATACAGACGGTGGATAACTTGAGCTTGCTTGGAGAGAATGAGCATGTACCTTGTCTGAGCAGACTCTCGGAAGCACTCATCTTCAGCAACACTGATAATTTACAGTAGAGTCCGGCGGGATGAAGTTGCTCCTGCACACACGACAGCAAACACCATAGGGATCCATACGAGTGAAAAGGGCAGTACAGGTAGACTCCGTTTAGTTCGAATACGTTATATTTCGAATACTCCGCATAAATTCAAAACTTTTCCCGTATCAATCTTCTACAAGTTTAATACTTCAAGTCAAATTCAAAATGATTGTGCTGTTCGAAGTACAAAAGTGAGCCCACTGGATCATTCAACATCGCACAGAAGGGTAGTTTACTGTAAAAGCCATATATATTATATAACGAAGTGCTAAGTCTAACGAGTTAAGGGCCTGTCCAGACTAGGTAGAAAACCACGTAAACACGCCATAAACATGCTTGTTGCCAAGGCGAGTGACGAAAAATGGCCGATAACGGGGAACGTGGGATTCACGCGGAACGTGAGTCGAGGACCCCTGTACAAAGCACGTTTCTCATCTACGTGCCGTTTTCGCAGTGTTTGTTGTGTGAGAGTCGATCGGTGGAGTTTTCGGATCGCATTTTTTCTTGCTGTTTCCAGCTGCTGCAGCTTGTTTTTGCTTTGCCGTTTTCATAATGCCACACCTCCGTTTCAGCTACGACTCTGAGGCGACATTGATACAGTCGTGGCTGGACATGCAGAGAAATCCCGGGGTCTGGTGAAGAGGAAGGTGTAGTAGAGAGAGAGAGAGAGAGATAATTCACTGACGAGCGAGTATTTGAAACTGTTTGGATAGGAAGTAGAACCCTGTTCAGTTGTGATGAACGAAATTGACGACCTGAAGGCCAAAGCCAGGGACTTTTACTGGAAATACACGGCGGCCACAACCATTAGTTCATCAAGCGATGCTATAGCGGGCCTCGACCGTGATGCTGCGCTGCCGCGAGAGTGTGGCGAAATTTCCGTACCTGGAACAGAGTTCAGGGTGATGTTCCTTGCGCTCGGCGTCAGTACAGCCATCGCTGGGCCGCCACTCGTTTTTGTAGCTAGCTGGGCAGGTCTAGACCAAGCCAGGGAGTGCTTGCCTGGTCTACACGCTACAACTACAAGTCACTTGTGAGGTTGTGTGTCTGCCAGTACTAGGCAGTAGTGCATCCAGACAAAAATGAACAGGTACACGGAGTGGTAGATCTACAGGTGACAGAGCGAAGTGTGGACAGCGCACCGCGTGTACGTCACGTACTCTGAAACGGCACGCCGTTTTTATTACCTAGTGTGGACAGGCCCTAACGAGGAAAAATCTGTCGTTAAAATATAAATCGTTATACAGAAATCGATACATATACTGTCCTATTGAGCGTTGAGAATGAGTGAGAATCGTTACCTTTGGTACACGTAAACTAGTCAATTTTGGGAAATCGTTATATATGCGCCTCGTTAGAATAATGGCTTTTACAGTATATAACAGTGACTACTTTTTTCAAGTGCTTATTTCTACATGAGATGGAGATACTTCACCTGCAAAGCGAAGTTTATTTTTCTCTCCACCAGTGAGGAGTATCTCAAAATCAATCTTAAGTAGGGGTCAAACGGGTGTACCTTTAACTAACGAACGGGTCATTTTCTTAAAGGGGAAGTTAAGGCAAAAATTAAAATTTCACCAGTTGTAGTCTTCGGGGTGCTGAGTCGAATGGTCGTGGTCCGAGGAAGCTGAGACGCTCCCTTCCTACTTGAATCCCAATCGAACTCGCGCACTTCCACCGAAACTGGGTGACTGCGCCCTACTAGATGGGGATTTGTATGCAAAATGTCACTAAAAGCGCCATTTCGTTCTTATAAAAGCACGGATGACCGCGATTGGCCCATAAGGGCCATATGTTGTACTCTTTTGGACGCTGAGTCGACTGGTTTTGGTCCGAAAAGGCTGCGATGCAGCGTTCCTCCTTTATTCCCAATCGAACATGGTTGAACAAGTGGTCACGTGCTCCTGGGTGCCCAAATCACCTGGTCACCACGTCAGCAGGCGACAACTTTCACACCAAGGTTCAACTCGAGTGACAGGAGTGCACCCAAAAAAGGTCAAACAGGCTAGTAAGTTGTACCCTGCAGGCACGGTGACCAGGTGACTGGTGTACGCAGGAACACGTGACCGCTTGTTCAACCATGTTCGATTGGGAATAAAGGAGGAACGCTGCATCGCAGCCTTTTCGGACCAAAACCAGTCGACTCAGCGTCCAAAAGACTACAGCATATGGGCCAATCGCGGTCATCCGTGCTTTTATAAGAACGAAATGGTGCTTTTAGTGACATTTTGCCATTTTGCATATAAATCCCCATCTAGTAGGGCGCAGTCACCCAGTTTCGGTGGAAGTGCGCGAGTTCGATTGGGATTCAAGTAGGAAGGGAGCGTCTCGGCTTTCTCGGATCAAGACCATTCGACTCAGCACCCCGAAGACTACAACTGGTGAAATTTTAATTTTTGCCTTAACTTCCCCTTTAACGGGCGGGTTAACGGGTACCCTTTAGCAGCCATATTATTTTTTTGGCGCATTTCTCACATAAATCATGATTTTAATTTGTATATTTTCAGGTTGTATTTTGATACTACATTATGATTCGCAATTGATTCGTGTATCATAATATTATTATGGCAATGAAGGTTCCAAATGAATGTCATCCATGCATTTGCCCATGTACATAACTTCACAGGCAGTAACTTACAATCGTACATGTAGATGGTCCTACAAGCTACATGTATTTTTGATACATGTACGCAAATCAACTGCAGATCGATGTGATTCAAGCCATGCAAGGACAGAGTGGTTTAGCAAAACTTCCGTGATCTCGCGCAATCCTATTTGCTATGTTCGCAGAGAACTGGTACTCGTTGCATTCAGAAGATGTTCGCGCCCATAGCTAGCTGGGGTGCCTGACACAGCTGATGTGCTGCTGGCCAGCTAGCTGCTAGTGCTAGCTTGTTGAACTCGTGAAATGAATCTTCACAAATCCGTAATCTTGTATGCAATATTTCGAACTACTTTTCAGCTCGTCGATTGAAGGAACAAACTACAACCATGAGTATCATACATGTAGCTACCACCTACGGACATCACCGTTTGTGACACTCCGACTGGTCACTCAGCCTGGTGACACTAGTTCATCAAGTACTGTGGCAGGTTCGATGTCGGAGAACCATCGTAACCATGGTAACTTTCTAGTTACTCAGCTGCCACCTCAAACGAGTTTCAAGTCTTGCATTTTCTCACATCACAATCAAAAACCTCCAGTACGAGGATTTTTACTTGCACTAGAGTGGAGAGAACAACTGTCAAGTCTGTCTTTCAGCCTGCTCCTGCCTGCTAAAGTCGAAAGCGAGAATGCACAGGAAAAAGAAAAGAGTATCCGCACTCCTATTTTGAGTCTTGGAATACGATAGGATCACCTTTTTTATTTTTTTATTTTTTTATTTTTTTACAAACGGGTACCCTTTTACTAACGGTACCTGAGATTAACGGGCGGGTACCCGGTACACCCGTTTGACCCCTAATCTTAAGCCAATAACGTTCTAGAAACCTGCCTTATCTCGAAAGTTGAGTCAAGCACGATAGACAGATAATGACTTCGTACGGGTGGGTGACTCCCTTCAAGGATCACAATGGCCTTTTGCGTTCCCGCTCATGTGTGGAGATGTTTGTGAACAGCAACACTGTCGACTGGAAGACGCGCAATAATTGATTGTGCCGACACCAGTACTCCACTTCCGCTCTTCAGAATGAAGCGTAACTCTCCTCTGGGCCCTTCAGGACGAGGATTACGTTGCACTTTAAAGGCAATTTTTTGTGCATGCCCATCAAAATCGTATCACGAAAGCAGCAGCAGCAGTAACTGCCAACTTCTTCACTAGAACAGAGAGATAATATTCCAGATAACTTTGTGTCCAGAGTCTCGACGAAATGAGCATGCGTGGACCAGTACATCATGTTAGGACTGCATTTAGGATAATTCGAAGTTGGAGCCAGAGAAATTGAGGTTCGAATTATTAGGGAGTATACCTGTAATCATGTTGAGTGAAGCCAATGGTGACAATCTGTGTTCACTAAAATTCAGAGATCACCATGTATACACATTTGAACCGAAGTGTCAACATATTAGGGAGCATCTCATAAGTTCGCACTTTTTTTGTAAACGTAACGCATTTCGAATAGACTTTACCCCCCTACCTCCCCCCACTATTTGAAAGTCTTATCGCACATTTTCAGTGTAGATCTACTGTACTGTACATGTCCATGCCATGGTATGCACAATCATGTACATGTACTATGACTGTACATGTACATGGACATGGACATGAATGTTTTGCTAGTGTCGAAGTGAATGACATACAGTAGTACCGCATCTACTGAGTACAAGTAAGTAAGTTACATACTTAGTTCAATCAATGACATGTACACGCACATAAACAGAGTTCCTCCACAACGACTGTACTGTCAAAGCTGGCCAGGTACACAGTTTGATCAGGCTGGTGTGACATTTGACACCTCTGAGTAGCCTGCATGCGTGTATTGTAGTGCAAAGGTTAGATCTACACCTAAAAGTAAAACAAACCCCGTACTCTAGTACCCTGCGGTCTAGCACATGCACAGCACTGTATTGTACACATCCAGAAAATGTGCGAACTGTCATTTTTCTATCCGAAATGGGCGCTACCTCCCCCCCCCCCCCCTACCCCCGTTTCGAAATGCGTTACGTTTAGAAACAAAATGCGAACTTATGAGATGCTCCCTTATTTGAAAAATGGTGCCCAGCCACGTGAGGCAGTCAGGCGCTTTTTGTCACATGCCCTTTGAAGAAAGCGACTTACCGTATTTGCGAGGTCTGGCAGTCCGTCAGTATCCACCCGCACATGCAGCAAATATACACAGCACAGCAGAGATCAGAGCAGCAATAATTCGATGAGAAGAAAAACGCTGGAGTATCTGGCGAGATTTCCTTACTGCAGGTGCTGGCACCATTGTATTCGACTTGAAAAGTAATGGTACGAAAGGCCTAGTCGAAACTATATGGCTTCTGTGAATCGTGTGCTGGAATGATTTCTTTTCATATTAATTTTTTCTTTTCGAACTCACTCCTGAGGGAAACAGTGTGGCGTTCTACAGTGCAGTAAGTTTTGCTAGATGGCCGATCATGGTCAGGGTAACCAACACCACCACCACCAGCAGCAGAAACAGCAACAAGCTCTTGCAGGCAGGGCTTGGCCTATACGAGAACGGTTTTTCTGTAGCAGGGGTTGGCAGACTTGGCATCTACATTTCGAAGATATCAGTCAGGCAAACGATCAGACTCCAGCTGATCAGCCGGCATATATCAGTCTGTACCTATCAGACACTGCACAATTAAACTATTACAACCTTCCTGCTGGAACACAACAACAATTTGCCAGTCCTCCTTCAAGCTTTGGATCAGCGTTTTGTGGCTCTCCTGCACGTTGATCGCCACAGCAGATGCGTCGCCAAAACGAGGGAGAATCTTTGTCCAAGTACATGTACTGCCCCCAAGTCCGTAATCTTCCTCGGTTGGCTTACCCAGCTTTGGATGCTGGTGTTGGCGACCTACTGGCGATAGATCAGTTTATAAATGGCTTAGATAGCTGTGATCCGAGGATCCTAGTGAGGAAGGCAGCTCCGGGAACTCTGGATGATGCTCTACAGTGGGCCTGCCACACATTCTCCATTTTGGAAACGGAGAGCATTCTCCACCCACCAGTGCCACAAGCACAGTCTGTGTACGATGTGAACCGGGATATGCCGAACTCTCGTCAGGAGGACACCATACAGAAGCTTATTGACCGGGTTGCTGCTCTAGAAACACCATTGTCGTCCACTGCTACTGGCGCTTGAAGTACACACAGGGAAAGTGTACCAGCTCGCTGATGTTTAGTATGGGACAGCAAATGCACCTGAAAGCTCAGTGTCCACATGCCAGACCCACGTCCCAGGGAAACAAGAAGCAGTCACGGGCGAGGGACAGCCCATGACTGATATTGATACCTCACCAGCCACACATACCCGCACGGAGTATTGTCCAGACACACCCAGTAAGCCATTTGCTATGGTGCGCTGTTCAGTTTGTACTGACCCGCTTGTTTCCCGGATAATTGTTCCTATTGTTATGCATGTACTGAGTTTCTTCCCACACAAACCCGGGCCGTCGTACTGCCTAATTCCTGTTTCTCCATGAATTCCAAAGACACTGTATTTGTAAAAGGCTTTGTTGAAAGTGCACCAGTCCAGATGGTTGTGGACACTGGCAGCTGTGTCACTTTGCTGAACTAAGTCATCTGCTGTAAGTAATTCCTCGGTCCCGGTTGTTGGCCAAGCCCCTGTTGCTCTGTCAATAAGTGAATCCAATGCAACCCGCACAGTTATTGTTGCAGACATTGAACCCAACATGCTCACTGGCATTGATTTCTTACCATCTCATGGCTGCACGCTTGACTTGGACAAGAAGTCCTAGAAACTGAAAAACTTACAATAGTCTCACGGATTTTTATCACTGTCTGAAACGATGTGCTGTGGACTGCCAGTTTGCAGACCATTTGCATTGTGCCTTGTCAGACCAGTTTGTTGGTGGTCTGTCTGATCTTTCGGTGCATAAATTGATAGTGTCCAAGCCCGATGATCAGATGACCTCGTTTTTCAACTGGCCCTCACTGAGGAGATGACTGCTGGATTTGCGCGCTCGGTGCAGCAAGAGTCGGAGCCTGCTGCCACTGGCATAAACAGGTTGAAGGTGCCATGGAAGTCAGCAACGCATGCAACAATGATTAAACCTGCCGCAGGTGCATCGAACGGCTAGCCACAGACGAAGAGATCGTGCTTTGGTTGGAGCATTAAGGGCCATCTCCCAAACAAGACTACCTGGTGTGGGTTTGCAACCGTCACTTGGAACGTGTCGGCCCCACCAAGAAACGCGAACAAGACTGTCACCAAGTTGAAGACAGCCCAATGCCGCAGGATGACACTGGTTATAGTGTTCATTTCGGTGTGAACACACAACAGTATGCCACCTACCTGCTGCATTCAGAGCTTTCTGGAGGTTAGAGTCATCACTGGACTCCACATATGCTCTTGACAGGAGTCGAAGTGTTCTGGCCTGTATCGACAGCCAAGGTAAATAACCACCGTGAGCTCAAGTGCTTACAAAGATATACATGTACACCATGAACAGTGCGATAAGTTCCAGGATAGGCCACACGTATGTCTTGTAAACAGTGGCCAAAATTGGCAAACCACTTGAAATGTAACAAGAGTACATGTACTTGTATGCGGAGAAAATAGTTGCATTACAGTCATGATCACGGCAAAAATAGTACAAACACACATGGCTTGACAGAAATTACCTGTTTTGAAGGACTTATTCGACAGAGCTTCCCCACATCATGGCTCTCACTATCAAAACCACAAAGCACCGATCGACATTTAAAATTGTACAAAATTCACAACAAATGGATCCAAAGATGGGATGGAATCCATTATTATACTTAGTAACTGCTCTGCTATTTACGCAATGATCGAAGCATTTAATGGTGCCGACTTTGTGAAAGATTAGAATTTTCTTTTTGTGTAAATGAGATTGACGTTGTTGCTTATGCCAGTAATGTGGAGAAGAACTGTACAGAGAAACGAGCAACTGATTGCCTAATCTCGTTGCTTTCAAAGACTCTCTATTCAACTCTGACGAATTTATGTTTATCCAAGACACCTGAGGAGTGAAATCTGCGGAGATTGTAGTCAAACTGGAAGACCATAGCAAGGTTAAAACGTCCCGATCCGTACAGCGACCACACACAAGTTTCGAAATTGCACCCAGCGCATGTCAGAGTCAGTCACAGAATTTGCCGTGGATTGCAATGCTGTGCTGTGGACTGCAAATTAGACAGCCACCTATACAGGGCACTGTGTACGGTCAGTTTGTCTGTGGACTGCGGGGCTCCACTGTACAACATTAATGCGGCCACTCGATTAGAAGAATCAATTGGGGACTGCATGTGACACACTTGACACCGCAAAATAATGCATTTTGTGTTCCCACTTGTGTAGTGTAGAACAGTATTGTACGTTATTTCCTACAACTTCATATTCCATATAATTATGTGTATGGAATACATACACATCCCTGACTGAAATGATGTTCATGTGGTCTCGAATACTCTAATTTCAGAAATTTTAGGTGTTGATATTTTTGGTATGAGGGCAAAAGGCCAGGTTTGGTGAACAGAAATTTTAGGTGCAGAGAAGCAGTTCCCTATTGGATTATGTGTGTTAGTGTTTGTTCGGTGTATTGAACTTTTAGGTATGAAACGGATGCACCGAAAGCACCAAAAATAAAAAGTACACTGAAAATTGGGGAAATTCCAGTAGTTTACATGAACGTGCGTCAGATGATATTTCCTTGTCTAGGACATTGGCCATACCCGAACACCTCGCTACGGGTCACTGGCCAGAAGTAGTTGGACAATCGATGCTCAGTCAGCTACACTTTTTTTTGCGTAGGGACACTGCTATATGCACACAACACTCTGATAGGTGTGGCCATGCTCCATGCACATGCTACACTATTTCTTATTGCTGCAATGCATAGCCTCATTTCTCTGTGGTCCATTGAAGAGTCCACAAAGGATGAAAGCGTACTGGCCTGAAGATTTAAAAATCCAGAAAATCTACGTACCGGAGCCAAGTGGCTGAGAACGGAAAGTTGAATTGTTTGAAACAAGTCACTCCCAGGTTGTACGCAAGCATCGCAGCCGCAGGACCCTGGACAAGATGAGAGCAGATCACAGAAGAGTCTCAGAAGACAATGCTCTTATCAATGATCCTGAAATAATTACCTATGGACTTGGTAGACAGGGCACTTGTGCTCTGTAGTTGTAGGGGGGGGGGGGGGGGGGGTGTAATGACTGATTCAGGTAACTGACACCTCAGAAACAGACTACATCATTAGTTCTCTGCACCAAACCGAAGGTCTGTTTATTAAAAGTTCCGAACTGATCTCATAGCTGTGATTTCCTTTTGAGCTGCAACCTACACAGTACACATCGTGTTATACAGGCTGCGGCAACAGTGTGTAACTCCAGTGCCACCTACCTGCTTTGGGCAGTGTCCCAGCAATGACTTCACGTCCATGAACTTGTCCACGGCTCTTTGTTGTTGACCCAGTGAAGAGGCCTGTAGATTACGAGCAACATAGTCAAGGTATGTTCTTGTCCACATCAGAAACACCTCTTGATGACCAATTAATGCCCCCTTTCTTCTGAACTACAACTCACTTTGTTAACCCTTTGCGTGCCGGGATGACGTGTTTACACGCCACTGAAGACCATGCCGGTTCTCTGATGACGTGATCACACGCACAGTTGTCAATGCGATTCGGGTGCTTTCTCTCGGGGTCCAGCCAACTAGATAGGGCGTGCCGACTCGTGAATCCGTGTCTGGACTCTCCCCTAGATGTGTGCCGATACGTTGCACCAGCCATGATCGCGGTATCGTGAAGTATCAGTGCATGCTATGCAGACGCGTTCAAATTTTGAAAAGTGTGGACTACAATTTGACCAGTTTCAGTTTTTGCTGTCGTCTGGGAATCCTGGAGGTCAGAGAGGACTAGATGGCCCCCTTGGTATCCGTCGATGATGCCATCCAGCAGATATTTATGGATAGTGAGTCTGAGGATGGACCCGACGGATCGTGGGACGATACAGATGGGAATTCGGACGACGCTCGTACTGACTCGTATTCAAGGCAATGTAGGTGACGGTAGCTCGCTTGATCTACTGGCAGCTGCCGCCGCCACTTCACTAGACGACGTTGGTGACTCACTATCCATGACTGTAGAGCAGAATCAAGGCGATGCTGATAACGAGGACAACTCAGTATTTGAAGGTATGGAAGAAATTTGTATTCGTTCAGTGAGACACCTGGACTTGCACGCATCATGAAGCATGACAGGTTTTTGGTATTCTCCAGTTCCTTCATTTCGCTGAAAACAATTACGCTGCGGCAGGCGATCGATTGGCCAAGCTGTCACCGTTGACCGACATGCTCATTGATACAATCACAATCCACATAGGGGTTGTGAACATGCACGTCGTAAGCCACGGTTTCACCAAATGCAAATGAAGAATTGAAACAAATTGAAGAGCAAGGTGCAGCAGAGCACCAGAGAAAACTGGACTCATGCAAACAAGGTCTGCAACAAGCGTACAGAAGGACCTCCACAGTCACTAGGCAGCGTAAACGAGAGCGAGAAAGTATGCAAGAACGCATCAAAGCCCTGGAGAAAACAGTACTGACAATGAAGAAAGATTTGGCAAACATGGCACAGAAGGCAGCAACAGAACGTCGCACGAAGGGTGTCTTCCGAGTAAAGTACAACAAACTTATATGCACAAACGCCGCCCTTGAAACAAAGTTGCAAGCCACAGAGACAAATCTGATGCAAAGTCAAAAAGGAAGCACAGCAGATGAGGGCACTGTTGCCAGTTGCACCATACACACAATGTCAAGCTCACCTCCGCAGTATACGACAGCCGTCCGGCACTGTTGCATCGAACTTCTGGCCCATAACGTCGGGGTTGATCATGTGTCCCCTGTCATAAAGTCCATCATCCACGCCTTGACCCCATTGCAAATCGACAAGCTGCCCAGCACAGCCAAGCTTTGCGACATGATGGGAGAAGCCAAACAGATCGTCCTTAACCAGATTGGCGAGAAGCTCCTTGACTTGGCCAACATGAGTCTGCACAGCGATGGCACCGCCAAAGTAGGTGACAAATTCTAGGGTGCCCAGATCGCCACAGCTGACAGTGTGCTCAACATTGGCCTAACAACAATCAAATCTGGGTCAGCAGAGCACTGCTTTGAAGCAACGCTGACGACGTTGAACGATATTCAAACTGCCATGCAGAGTGCCGGCGAACCTAGCCCTGTCACAAAACCATGGTCGCCAACATCAAGAACACGATGACAGACCGGTGCAGTGTGGAAAAGAGCTATAACCAAATGTTGCAAAAGTACAGGGCAGAACTCCCCCACAAGTTGTCGAAGGCTGGGACAACCTTGACCAGCATGACGAGTCGGCGATGAGTACAATGAACAATTTTTCTGCGGACTCCATTACATCGTCGGGCAGGCTGACCAGACACAGGAAACTCGCCGCGCCTCCGCAGCTCTACAGGCAGCGTTGCGCGGATATCGCTGAGTTTCGCAAGAAACAGCTCCAGGAGAAAGACCACCAGCGAAAGGAGAAAGATGCGCGCTCCCAGCAAGTGAAGCAGCAGCTTGCCCAGGACATTGCCCAAGCTGGTTTCTGGACTACTCCGGATGCTGTGGCAGAGCGACTGGCAGCCATCTCAAGCAGGACCGGCAAGCTTGAGGCGCAGAAGACTCAGATCAAATTTCGAAGACTTATTCTGTAGCAGAAGGCTGATCGAAGCCTGTTCCAGTGGTCTAAAGACGGCAACGCTCACTCCTGGGAACAGCTATCTAGACATTTGATGGCTCTGCTAACTATTTCCACAACCTAAGCTCCGTAAGTACACTTCTCATCCGATCCTGTTGGTACTGCCGCTTGGGTAAACTTTCTCCCTCTCTCCCTCTCCCTCTCCCCCCTCCCCCCGTCTCTCTCTCTCTCACTCTCTCTCTCTCTCTCTCTCTCTCTCTCTCTCTCCCGTTCTCTCTTTCTCTCTCAGTCAAACAACAAAAAATGTCAATGCACTTCAAAATCAACAAGTGCCGTCTGTCCAGTTAGCTCGCGAGGGTGAGCTGCAGTTTCCGTTTTTGGCAATTGCCATTTTGTTTCAGTCTGCCAAGCTCGCGTTAAAAAATTGATTAGGTCATTGAATGCGCAGTGCCCTGCGCAGCTCTCGAGCTGACGTCCCTACTGCAGGCTGCTGTAACTGGAAACAGGTCGTTAGGATCAATAGCGGACTGTAAACTTGTAGATATGTGCAGATTCGTTATAATAATTATATTTTGGACTCGGTAGGCAGTCGTTGTCCTATAAACAGTCGGAAGTCCAGTAGGGAGTCGAAATCATGATCTAGTTATATTTTTATGACTCAGTCGAACTCACTTGGCTTTCCCTGTAGAAAGTCGAAACATTTCCAGTGCGCAGTCTGAGTTTTTGTCAGTTGGGATCACGCAGGCCGCTTGCTTCATCCGCCATGGACTGTGCCACACTTGCAAAGGCGGACGCGCATATTGAATAGACATTTTGCATGGTGCTTGTTTTTCAAGTTAGTTGTACAATTGTCTTTGCTTTGCTTTTCTCATCGTTATGCCATGGAAAATATAACTGGTTGAGTCCGAAAAAATCATGCACTTTGCAGGATAGTTTGAACTGTGCAGCGGCGCTCAACTACTTTGTATTTCACATGGAAGAGCAGCTACAAGTACAACAGTTTGCTGCGTTGGAGTCTTTCGCTTGCGGAGCTGAAGCCAGGATGATACCACCACCAGCTAGTCAATAGACATTCTGCTATAACCTGACGGAGTGTGGAGGCCAGCTAGCTCTCAGCAAGGGAAGAAAAATTCGCATGGCGATAGACCTTCGGTACAAATACAAGCTACATTTGTGTAGCACCGGCATATCGCAACAGCTACGATTTCAACCTTTCGATTTTTACTTCTGCTTCAAGACATTCAAGTCTGTACTAGTCCTGGCTGCTCTCCTGATGACAGAAAGTCAGGGCCTCGTCGATGATCATCAAAGATGTCTGCTAACGATTGTACCGGTACTTGAAGATACTACTTGGTCCGACTTATTAAAATGTGCGCTTCACTTCAAAACTCAAGCATAGGTACAAAGGAGCACCTGCACTAAAAAATCAACCAAGAGACGGTAGATAGATAACTACTGTGTCGTTTCTTGGCCTGACCTTCTAGTTTTCATCGCTGCTGGTGTCTCAGGGCGCATCTGCAAGTACGTCAACCTGCAAAACGTCGACATTTTTTCATCTCCTCCAAGCTACACTGCGCTTCTTTGATTTTTTCACTCCATAGGCACGATTTCCACGATCGACTTCGCCTCCTCCTCGTGCAGTGCGACTACCAGAATGGTGGCTGTATGTGTTTTCGCCTGAAGCTCCCACGACACCTTCAAATGAGGCGAACAAGTAGACCACCACGCATAAAAAATCACTTCTTTCCATCGTGTAGATCTACAGCGCGCGTACTGAGTCTGATCTGTGTCGACATGTCATGCAGTCAGACCATGCGTGCTCTTCCCTGCCTGTTTCACGAATCCACTGGCCCCGGAGACTGGCGATCTTGTGACACATCGAGATCGCGGCTCCGCGCGCGGATCCGAGGACTCCGCACCGTATCCGCCGGATAATTCACCCTTTCTGCGCTTCAGTTTTCCAACCAGGTTGTCGCCTGAAAGTCGACCTCAAGGCCGGTTATTTATTTCGATCAACTTCTCGACGATCTCTTCTGTGATCTTGATTCGTCGGCCGCCACATCGTGAATGACTGCGAGAGAGATCAGCAAACTGGACGGAGCGATGCTGGTGCTTTCTGCACGAGTTTCTGGGTGACGCGTTTGCTGAAATTCTGCCAAGGAAACAGCGATTGCAGCGATTTCAATCCGCCAGGACGCACTCGAGAACGATCGCCCAGGAGGTTCTGGTACTCCGTGACAATCCCCCATCGCAGCGGGGTGTTGATTTCAGCACCAGGCCTTCTCTGTGTTGCGCGAGAAGCAACAGGAGTCCTCTGACGACAAAATTTGTACGCAAAATGCTCGAGTCGACTAGGATCCTGAGCCGCTGCCTCCTTTGGAGTTGGAGCCATTTCTTCTTCAACATCACAGATTGACAACTGAATGATAGTGTTAGATGGCTGGAAAGTTTATTCCGTCCTGAGATTATTTGAATTTGTTTGGTTGATGTTCGAAGCGAAACGCACATTTTAATAAGTCGGACCAAGTAGTAAGCATGGGGACGTATCGCGTTGAATCCCAGCGCTCACAGTCTTTCCTAGGGGGGGAGCCCTGCATGTTTGTTGACTTCTTGACGCTACTGTAAATATACAAAATTTCGGCGTTGCAAAATTTCGGCACTTCACGGTTTTTGACATTACGGCGGCGATTTATTTTCGGCGTGGGGTAGAGGGTATGGTATAGTGCGACAGATGCTGTGAAAAATTTCATCGGCGTTTTAATTTAGGCGTTTTGGGTCGGTGCCGAATAAAGCCGAAATTAAATAGCTGCCGAAAATTTGTATATTTACAGTACGCTGAAGAGCGAGGTTTGGACTACCACGATAGAACATTAGCAGCGCCGAAGATAAAATCCAAACTGTCCACCTTGTACGCACTTTGTTCTCTGTCACGTCCTCTGTGCGATTAACATGAAACTGTGGACGTACTTGTCCCCGCATTCACACCCAAGCAGTCAAACACATCATTCGACTTCATGTACCTGCACGTAGTAGTAGGACAGGAAGTTAGTTCGGTGTTTTATCTAGTAGTGGTGTCCTGTAGGACTTCGACTGCATACGGGGGAACCTACTGCTTCGAGACACATACTGACATAGGGACACACCATCCGACTCTTTACAGGATTTGGACTGCATACTGGACTCCCGACTGTCTGTAGTGACCCGACTGCCTACTGAGTCCAACATATACACCAGTGAAAGGATATTAGGAGTGTGGGTAAGCAGCAGCGTTCGGCCTGCTCATCATTAATTTAGTCGGAAACTCCCCACCACATGCCTTCTCCAACCGGCCTCATAAACCACACCAGTAACACGACTCCAAATTGAATTTATGCCAAGATCTACAAAAGTTTGGAGTCGTATTGCAAGTGTGGTGAATGAGGTCGGCCAGAGAGCACATGCGCTGGGGAGCTTGAACTAAATTCATTTGTGTAAGATAAAAAGGACTCTTCAGTCATTTTGAACATTTGTTGCAGCCCTAGTAACAGCATTGTAAAGTTCAAAGAAAGGTTTAGCCCTAATGGGCAGCAACTAAATCCATATCTTCAATAGTACTACCGGAAAGTACCGCGAGAGCGCCCCACCATCTCGTCCTTTCGTGGTCGCATTGTGAAAGTGGTGTCCTGTCTGTAGGTCATACGACACGAACCTTGTACACACATTGCACGTTGTGTAGTCAATCCGTACTCGATTTACCTCTGAGCAGACATGAGCTCCACACAAAATCCTGCTAAGTGTGACCTTACACTAAGGTTCTCACACCGTGCGAACGTCTTTGCACTCTGCCATACGATTTTTCTTTCCCTGGCTGTAAAACCAAGACGGAGCGCTCTCACGGCACTTTATGGTACATTCAGGCCATTAGACTTCTTACCACTTCAACTTCATAGAGATCTATTCGAAGTCTCTGGGCATCTTGCTCCTTCCTCTTCGCCTCCGGCACACATGCGCCTGCCGTATCGTGTTCAGTTTGGTATGATTCGGTCTGCTTGATGTGAAACTGTGAGCAAAACAGGTAAAAAAAAGTTGGAATCCATCAGTTGAGCAAAACAGGTAGAAAAGTTGGAATCCATCAATCGATGCAAAGGAAGAGGCCCTCCTCATGCTCAATGCTGATACAGCACTGCATTGCACATCTCAACACAGAACTTAGTTCAGCAGCTCATGGCGGAAACTCAATCCAGAAGAGTATGTGCTGCTACATTCTATATGCATACACACATTGCCAATTACTGTTTTACTTTCGCAACCTACCTCGGACGCGAGAGCAAGGGATGCCTCAGCCATCGACGGGTTTTCACATTCTGTTGATCCAAAGCAGAAAATGGGTATATTCGAGAACACAAAAGATGGAAATGAAGATGAGTGCTCAACCCTATTATGAACGAACGCTTCAAAAAAGAAACGAGCGGAAACCGAATGTGAATGTGGGTTGAGGTCAAGCAAAACACATGTACATGGTCCTCTACAGGGGGCGTAGCTCGCACATCTGTGGTGTGGTGACCATGTATCAAAGCACGTCTGTGGTGTGGTGACCATGTATCACCAGCAAACTCATAGCCGTCATTTTGCCTAACTTGACTATGTAGTACCTACATCAGCCGCTTGCTGGTGTGGTGACCAGACTACGCTGACTACTGTATCAGTACAAATTTTCGTTTGGAATTTACTTTCGCTATATTCGTTAGGGGGCACGAAATAACTAAAGCTTGTGCCAAAACAAAAGTTTTTTTCCGAACGTTCGGGGTGACGGACCTCGACCAAAAACGAAATTTAGTATGTAACAAGCCTGCTGGTGGAGTGATCTAAAGAAAGATTTCGTGAACGAAAATTTGTACTTATACAGTACACACGAGCTACGAGCTTGCCGTGTCCTCAGGTCTGAATGGTCGTTGGAACATTATAATGAGTGTAAAGCTGGTTACCCGCATGTGACTTACCTATCCAGGCACGGGCTGTTTTCAGAGCCATCTGAAAGAGGAACACAAAAGGAAAGCATACCAGTAGCTGAAACAACAGCCCACAGCCACTTGCTCCTCAGAAGATATTTTATTTCCATTGTGCTCCGAATGAGAGAGAGATAATTCGTTGTTAAACTCTGGAGAGACACAGGTGCTACATCTTTTCGAAGGCCTCTTGGACCCGTCGACCACAACTCCGTCCAATGACAACGACAAATACAAAGTCACACCGCAAAGCGGTGCATCATCTGGTGTACATTTACGGGCAAATAGAATGTCCTTGCTGATTGTTTACCTTTGCGGCTGTCTGCTCTGGATATGTCTGCCGCTGTAGGCACTGTCAGTAGTCATGCTTTTGATCTTTGTGAGCTTATGCCAGTACAGAGTTCAGACGTCGTTAAGGCCAGCAAGTATGACTCTTACATTCTCTAGCTGTGTGGCATGCCTTCCATGGCTGGCCAGACTCCATGCCAGATATGTTAGAGCCATTCCAGATGGTTCACAATGATTCCAGTCTTGATAGTAGTTTGAACATTCTTAGGTTGTTGAAGTTAGGTTATAACAATGACAGTCGCCACAAGGCACTACTTACTTGGGCAACCTTCGCAAATGCAGCGCTTGTCGATGGCAATGACATCGTGCAAAGCGAGGCCAATCGACATGCTGCATGACGCACTGTAGAACAGCGAACACAACACATTTATACCGGTATTACTTGTAGTACAAAGTACAGTCAGTATCGCATATAGCGTTGGTGTTTGATTTTGAGCATTTTATCACTATAAGCAGTATATTACTATGACCGATACAGGCGATACTGCATGCAATGTATGCGAGTGGGGTGTCAAACGACTCAGCGCGCCTTGCACATGCGCACTGCATAGCTGGCTACAGCTCCTGACACACAACACCAGCATTTCCTCACTATGGAGGCATGTTCGGTCAACTTGTACAAGCAGAACTCACCAAACAACACTGGACAAGTTCTTTACGAAGAAGGAACAGTGACTCCTAACACCCTGCTCTCCTCTGACACCACTTGATTTTACATCAATCACTATAACCAATGCAAAAATAATGTAATAAAGGTCTTTTGAAATATGAATTTGATCACTATAGGCGATATAATAACTATTATCCATATAAAAACTGCTCTCTGAGCAGTTCTGAAAAACCTATACTGGTGCAGCCCCGTCGTAAAACTATGAAATTAGAACTGGGCCTTTATCCCCCCCCATGTGAAATGGTCCACCTAAATAGGGAATGATGGGACCCGAACGCACCAGTAGCACGAGGTCGGGAGGGCACATGTCACCAATACTACTGCAGTGTATCAGTGGCCGTGTACAAATATTGCTATGGGGCTGTGGACCAGCGTCCCCATCTGCATCCATATGTGTAGGTGGGAACCTCGTGCTACTGGTGCGTTCGGGTCCCGTCATTCCCTATTTAGGTGGACCATTTCACATGGGGGGGATAAAGGCCCAGTTCTAATTTCATAGTTTTACGACGGGGCTGCACCAGTATAGGTTTTTCAGAACTGCTCAGAGAGCAGTTTTTATATGGATAATTTCAGTTCTTTTTCCGTTCCCCCACCCACCCCGGGCCCAGCCATGAGGACAACCAACCCATTGAACCACTGCATGTTTCCCAGTAAATGAGTGTAGAGCGGTTGCACCATGGAGCACTGTATACGTTGAACGTTCCAGTGTAACGGGTGAGTTTTAGAGTGGGCATTGATATGATGTCGAGCCCCAACTCCGTCCCGTCGCAATGGGACATTGCAGTAGGGTGGTCACATAGCCAGCTGTGAGCACCCGTGCTTCGGCAGTGCGTGGCACTGGCACGCACCTCCTGATCAGCAGGTCATGCTGCCCGACTGCACATACGTGTATACACTCACGCAGACACGCGTACAGTTGATGTGACATGGACCAATGTACATACGCACAGGCAGAGGCGTGAAGAGACACACGGACAAACGGAAGCACAACAGTACGCATTGTTGTAGACAGGGGTGCATAAGCGCACATGCACATTGCGGCAACCGTGGGCCGCACCACGGCCCGCGCATGCGCCAAAATCTCTGTCGTCAGTGACGGGGCCAGTGAGACCACGGCACACCTTCCCCCCCCCCCCCCCCAACACACGCACAAGGGAAGACATAAATGAACGCGCACACACACACTCACACACACACACACACACACACATACACACACACATACACACACACGCACACACACATACACACACACACATACACACACACACACACACATACACACACACACATACACACACACACACACACATACACACACACACATACATACACACACACATGCACACACACACAGACACGCGCGCAGAGGAGAGCAAACACGGACATGTTGTGCAATAGCACTTCAGCAGACTTAATTCAACACATTGGCTTTCGGACGAAACATTTTTAATTGCATCAATGCTGTCGACGCTGCTTCAATGGCCAAGTGATGCGTGGCGATTGAAACTATGGCGACCTGGACACGAACGCAGGGAGAAGGCAGAAGAATGCGTGTTTAGGCAACAGACGGAGGTTGTGGAGCATTCACCCATTGCATACCACCGATGCGGGAAGTTCAGTACTTGCGGGTTATGGAAAATTTCCCTTGTCCAACGATTTAGCACAGGTCGATGTTGCAGACACCAAGGTGGAAATGTGTAGGCACAATGCGGAGGTTTTCACTCACATAACTTGTTAGTCTGTTCATGAGATTTCCCACAAATCCATCGAAATCTGCAAGGGGGAAGGGACCACCTCCTCCTTTCGCCTTAGCATGTGGCAAGAAATGCATGCAAACACAGGTACGTTACACACCTTCTCCTCGAATGTCGCATACTGTTCGGCATGCCTAGTAATAATAGCATTTTCATCCAAACATAGATCGTGGTCGACTGTCATGCCCATTTGGGGCACAGCAATGTCTTTGAATGCGTCATCAAGGTACTTTCCTACCGTGAAATGGTCCCACACACCCGCAGGATACAGTCTGGTAACCTCAGCAACCATGCAATACATGTCGTTAAGGGTGCACTCACGAGCTAGTACATCTGTCAAGGCCTGCCGCGCTAGACATGCACGCTTCACGGCTGTTGCACTGGCGTACAATTTAAATGCTACATTGGAATGTGGCCTCATATGGTACAAGTTGCACCACAAGCTTCTGCATCCACTGTCAAAAGTGCAATTTACAGAATACCCGGTTTTGCACGTGGGAAGGCACCATTTCAAGTTGCGATCGACAATTTCGCATTTAGCACATGGATAAGGCATGTGGTCCACGTTCCTACTCTTTGACATGCGCGATTCAGCGAACAAGTTTCCCAACATGTCGCCCAAGTTCCTTTTCTCGTCGACGCACCCAGTAACCAGGTCACAAAAGTCGCGTATCTGAAGCGCACTACCCCTCACGCACCTTGCACAGACCATCGCACTTCTGCAGCTCCACAAGTGTCAGTCCATCATCGTCGGGAGACACAACTTCAACTTGACCTGCCATTTCTCCCCCATCTGGCGACTGGACAGTGTTGTGTGCCTTGCCAGTGATGTCAGTAATTATAGGCGTCAATAATTCACTACCATCGCTGCCCAGACAAATGCGCCACGAGTCACTATGATAAGGTTGGTCTTTGTGGTCCACTTCACAACAATAACACACACAGAAGTCTCTGCTGTGAGCACGGTGGCTCGGCAATGTTTTGTCAACGTCACCCGTGCACTCTTCCGTCAAGTCAAGTGTGCTCACATATTTGGCAAGGTCTTTGCAGCGATTAACTTCTATCCTAGTTATGTCACGGGTAACTTTAATGAAGTACCCGCAGACCTTGTCAATCCGAACATCGTCCACTCTCTCTGCATCGTCCAGGAGACGAGCGCGAATAGCGTCACGGATCACGTCTCGCTGACTTCCTCTCGTGTTGGCAGTGAAAGTGTACAGTGGTGGTGAAATAGGTGGAAATGTAGTTCTGTCGGGATCAGCGCTTTCAGAAGGATGCCACGTGGGGAGGCCAAATGCAGCGTCCGGAACATCGTCCGCACTGCCTATAATGTCACATATGTGCAATGCTGCACACGGGTTTTTTGCGCGGTATCTTTATGTGTGTCCGTTCCTTTGCCCGTGTTCTTCGTAATCGCTTTTGCGGGGGCACTTTCGCTTTCTTTGCAACAGGCCCATGCTTTTCCCTTCCTTCTTCGATGTCTTAATGCGCGCGGCGGGCTCTTTCACCCGCGATCTCGCCTGCTTTGCTTTCTCCCGAGATGTCACCATGTAAGCGGCCTGCTTTGTCTTTGCGTGTCCAGGCGCAATTTCTGTATGTCGCCTTGGTGGTTCATGACTACGTGTCTTCTGGCCAAATCTCGCCATGTACTTGGCCTGCTTTGTCTGTGTATCCATTTCATGTGCGACCAACAAAATCTCAATGCACTACAGAGACTAGACAGTGGGTGCAATACGCTCTCTATCTGAAGACGTGAACCATTACATTTTTTTGAAAAGTTATACGTACACCTGAAACGTAATGATGTACAGGAATAGAGAGAGTGACTACAATACGCTCTCGACCTGATATAGTGATAACGTGAGTACAAGACACTCTCCACCTGATAACGTGTTAGAAGGTAATAGGTCTACAGTCCCACCGTACCCTTCCTACACGACTGTAGACCATTACATTTTTTACTACAATACGCTCTCGACCTGATAACGTGAGTCACAAGACACTCTCCACCTGATAACGTGTTACAAGGTAGCAGGTCTACAGTCCCACCGTACCCTTCGTCATTCCTCATTCACCATCGCGCGATACCCGGCACACACTGGCAACATATCAATGGGGTGCCTTACCGTCGTCTAGAGGAGACGTCTTCGCACCAATATTTTCCCTCCTGCGCATTCAGTCGCCGACGCGACAGCGTTTACGGGGCCGTTCCAGTTGCGGAAGACATTCGATTCATCGGGCCAGTTCAGCAACAGGGCCGTGGACACACAGGGGCAGAGGAGAGACATTGTTAGTGGACAAGAAATATGCAGTGGCAAGTGGCGAGTGCCGCATGGATGTCAAGTTGTCATGCACAATTCAGCTATTACTTACAGTCCCCCTAGTCCTGCCATTGCTCGCTCGTCCTGGTTCGTCCTCGTTCGTCTTCCTGCACGTCTGCACTTCTCCTTCCCCACCGTTGGCTTTGCGGTACGGGGGTGCCGGAAGGAATTCCCACCATGTATCCATGTACATGAAGTCCCACCATGTCTCCATGTACATGTCCACGGCCACGTCAGCAGTTTGTATAGTACCGGAAGGAGTTCCCACGATGTCTCCAAAGGCCTAGACCGGACGTCTTTGCAGCAATTATTTTCACCCTGCACATTCACTCCGCCGACACGACAGCGTTGACGGGGCCGTTCCAGGTGCAAAAGGTCCACTTCAGCAGTTCTCAACTATTTCGCGTACGGGGCAGTCGCCGCGACAGCGTTTAAGGGGTCGTTCCAGGTGCAAAAGGCATCCATCAATGGCACTTTGCAGTACGGGGTACGGAAAGGGGCCTCCTCGCAGTTGTCCTTGCCGTCAGGTCCACGTCATGCAGTTCTCAACTATTTCGCGTACGGGATAGTCGTCTTTGTCGTACGCGACATCGGCGTTTACCGAGTGGCATTGGCACAAAGCTGACCGTTGACGGGGTCACGTGTCCAAAAAGTGTCAACAACGTGTCGACTACGTGTCGACCACGTGTATAGCGGTACACTCAGCGGTACACTAATTCTCGTGCCATTCTCGTGTCACAAAACTGGAACATCGAGTACCAGTATGGAAAGGCTTCAGACAGGAAGCCTTTCCAATACGCGATAACTGTGTATACTTAGTTGTGGCTAATGAAAATGAATTTGAGAAATTGATCACTATAGCCGGTATATTACTATAGTCGCCAACCTTATAGGCGATACTGACTGTACTATATTTCCCTGAATGTTAGTCACACCTTTCTACAACAAACCCAAGTTTGAAGAAGGGGTGCACCTTACAATCGAGTGAGACTTACTACTCAATCAATGCATTGGAACTATACGACAGAGACATGAAAGTGGGGGTGCGACTTACGAATGCTACCGGGAAAATACAGTATATGAACAAACGTGCAATGGAATAATTTCGCTGCTTGAAATATATGTACAAGTTAGCATCAGAAACGTGATACATACTGGCCAAGGAAGGGAGTCACACAAATGCATACTGACTTACTCTGTGCATTGAGAGAGTTCTTTTCTTCAGCAAGCGTCCCATTGCTTTTGAACGTCACCGCTAAATTCCACAGATTGATCGCTGAGTTGTAGGAGTCTTGGAAGGGCTTGTGCACATTCGGATCACTGCTAGAGCCATGCTAAGGCAGATAAAAGCAAACATGAACAGCAACTCAGAGTGGTTGACACATGGTACTAATATTTACTACTGGAGTTGACTTGCAAACACTCCGATCATCAATTTGATATCATACATTAGTCAACAAGCACCTGGTTGCTGTTACAACTACATGTCATGTACTTTGATATTGTCACACATTGGAGAGAAGAGCCAAACTCACTTTCCTCATAGGTACTCACGACTCTCGCGGAATTATTTCTTTTGCTAGTTTATATCATGTTGGATCTCTGGCCTACTATGCCGCACATACCTCTACTGGAAAGCCGTCAATGAGCTGCACGAGGTCATCAAGGACATTCTCAGTGCTTCCCTGGTCTCCGGAACAGCCAGAGATCTTCTCCACCAGCTCTAGTATTTGTATAGCGCGATGTTAGTAGCCGCAGTTGAGAGAAAAACACAGCACAGAATTAGTTAGTACACGTAGAACAAAATCATCGTACTGAAGTACCAGCACATGGTCGGGTCTGGGTGTACCCGGGCAGCTGACTCGTTATGTATTATTGCACAGCAACAGCATTCCAAGTTTCATTACTCAGCCAACTATGAAAACATTTTTTTTTCTTGAACGCGTTTTCACCCATTCTCTTCAGTGGCTAAATGGGAATGAAGCAAAGAAAGTTAGACCAGTTCAGTGTTGTGCGTCTGCGGCCAAAACCAGTGCTAACATCATGCACACTAAAAGCAGCACGTCACGGCGTTGAACTCTTTACCTGAAGTTACAAGTCATGTGATTACTGAGCTAGAGCTACGTCCATTGAAGTTTCTGCGATATATTGTTAACCATCGCTGCAGGCGCATGCGCCGGTGCCCTTCAAGGGGGGGGGGTTCCGGGGGCCTCCCCCGGGAAAATTTTCAAAAAATGAAGCAAAATCCTGCATTTTGAGCAAAAAAGGGGGGGGGGTTCCGGGCACCCAGGAACCCATACGGGGCACGTGCCTGATCAGATGACTATTTGAGCTACTAGCATGTCTTTTGAAGTTAGTTCTGCTTTGTCGACAGCTGCATTTTAAAATTTCACAGATCTCCCGGAGATCACAAAACCAGTTGATAACTTTAGACCAGTAGTTTTTATATTGAAATAATATATCATGAAACAACACACTGTAAAATGGCTAATTTTAGCGACAGTGTGATTTTACAAACCGAGACGTTGCGACTTATTGCGAACTCTAACAGTGGGAGCAGCTACCCTGTTGGTGAGAGTTTAACGATTCTAACGTAAGGAGTGCTTTCACTAAAGTTTAGTCATGCCAATCGAAAGTTTGCATACTGCGTAGCATGTGATGTGCATGCACCTTTTCCGACATGAAATGCTGATCCGAAAAATACCTTACAAATTCAGACTGGTTTATAGATCCCTCAAGTTTTTACTCGCCAAAATTAGCCATTTTGCAGTGCTTTGCTAACTTGCAGTGTGTATTACCAAGAGTACATAACCCCCCAGAGTGCGCAAGTTCACTTATCAGATCTGGGACGGCGAAATCCATGTCGCACATCATAATAATGACATCAGGAGTAGGGGAAGTATGGACGCGGTGCACCGCGTCGATGGAATGAGGCAAGTCCGACCCAGAAAATGACGCACATCGCGGATTACGCCGTCCCACAACCACATCCCAGTTGCGCACTCTGGGGGGTTATGTACTCTTGGTATTACAGTCGGACCTCGCTTATCCGGTCCTCGTTTATCCGGATCCCTCGCCATCCGGAAGAAAACCGTTGGTTACCGATTTACAGCATATGCCATGCACACACACGGTATGTGTGTTCGATTATCCGGTTCCCTTGCCTATCCGGATTTTTTTCATGTGTGCGGTTATGCGAGGTCTGACTGTACCAAGAGTACATAACCCCCCGGAGTGTGTAACACTTGATCCAGGTCTTGGTCGAGTGTAATCGGATCTTTGCGTCATGCTCGCCGAGTTGCAAGGTCTGCAAGATTTTCTGCTGCAGCACGCATTGTGACTCCCAGGTCACCACGGCTAGGGTGTGTAGCGCTTACCCTTGCCGTGGTGACTTTTATTTGACATGTTTCGGAATTCCCATTCTGCTCGAGCGACTTCACCTCCTTCACCCCGCCTAGCCAGACAACAATTTGTGCTTTGAAGTCCTTCTTGGTACAGAAGCCAGCATCTATGACACAATGTTAGGGGTCACACCCGGGATGCGTTACCGGTGATCATCTCGCGGCCATCTTGGACTTCGGAGCGTGCTCACCTCGTGGGTTATCTTCGCGTGCCAAGCCGCCAAGGAGGCACGGGCCTCACTTTTTTCAAATTGTGGATCGATCTGACTCCTGCGATCGAGCTCCGCAAGACTAATCTCCTCCAACTTCCAAGTCAACAACATCAGATATACACCGTTACACGGTGTCTTTCTCTTTCGACTTGACAGTCTGCTGCTTCTTGTATTCGATTCTCTCCTCGAAGGAGCTGGCACAGCGATGATAGGTCTTGTCTCGACCCCCTTTTTCCAACTTTCTGTCTGGTGTCTACTGGAAGTCGGCCTGGAGCAGCAACGCCGAGACATATTGTCTCCCCTTTTTTGTCTTTAGTAGTCTGTGATGTCTCCTGGAGGTGGAGAGAGAGCACGACGACGATGTCGGGTTCAGCTGACCCGTTTTCCCGCCTTGATTGCAGCTGAATTAACTCTTTCTTCTTTCTTCATAGCCTTCATTTTCTTGTTGGTGTTAGTGAATGCGGAAGCTTTTCGGAGCTCAGAGTTTTTTTTTACGAGTTGCACTATGCCTGCAAACAGGAAAAAGGACAGGTCGGGAGTGAACTACCCAAAATGCCGAAAGAGGAAGCATTCTGGCCAACACAGTAGTACGAAAAACCTTCGTGCAGTCAGTCCCGAGAGAAACGAACACGTACTCATAGATAGCCAGGTGTACGTACAGGATGATAAACCAGCAACCAAAGAGACATCTCAGGTAAAAAAATTCTTCAAATAATTAGTTATTCACCTGCATACAAGCTAGCATACATCATCTACGTCATGGGAATATATCCCTTGCCTAATTGTACTTCCCTTCAACAGAAACATACTCAACACATTATGTATGCATTCACAAGCACACGTGCACGCACATACACATAGTACTGATGTGGAAGTTTGGTAATCAGTATTAATCACACAAATATCGGTACCGTGTCAAGCATACGTAATTTTTTGGACTGCACACAATTCAGTCGTGTTGGATGAGTACAATACCGGTAATGGTAGACTAGTGTATTCTAATTAAAATAATATTATGTGCATGTTGTACGCAATATGAAGCACAAGAGGAGAAGAAAAATGAAAGTCTTATATAACAATTTGAAGAATTATGTTCTGTTGTATAAACAAAATTATTCGCACGATGTTCTTTTCTGCTAGGTTGTGTCTGAAGACCAAACTGAGCATGCTGATGAAGAGGAGATACAAGTGGTGCCACCAGTGCCAAGTCCTGTTAAGACAGTAGGCGAATCAACACAGAACGTGCCTACAGATGATCGAGCATGCGCGGCCCGGATAACGACTTGCAGTGACGAAAAGAATGAGTCATTGGAGAAACGACTGGCTGCACTGGAGAAGAAATGTGAGATGCACGAGCTCCGAATTCAGCAGCAGCAACTGGAAATCCGGGGTCAGCGAATTTCGCAAGTAAAACAGAAGAGTAAAAGACAGCAAACACCAACGTCAACAGTGGAGCCATGCGTAATTTCTGCCAAGACACAAGGCAGTAACGCCCATTGCCCGCGTTTCATGGCACAGATGCGGTTTCTCAAGATTGCATGCATATTGTCAAGCCAGAAGGCGGCATTGGCAATACACCTAAGCCACCATGTACAGACTGGCCAAGCTCCCTGTAACCATCTCGGCACAACATGTTCCCCGTCTTCACTGGCCAAATGGAACTTGCTTCTAGGGGAGGTTGACAAGGCTATCCTCCGCGACGCCCTCTCCTCAACGCCATATGACATAGCTGTTTTCGCCGATGACTCGAATAAGAAAGGAGAAGACAGGCACATGGTGGGGGTACCCACCTGGTCAGCGAAATGAAATTGCCCCGCAGGCTATCTATTAGCGGACACCTCGTTGCAAGTGGCCGTGGAGCAGACCAAGCAAAAGCAGACTACCACATCCTGAAGATTGTTTATGGGATCAGAACAGTGTGAGGAGTGGTGGGAGACAATGCATCTACCCAGTCCGGAGACAAGAAGGGACATGCAGTGTCGCACTGGGTGGCCTATTCAAGACTACAACCCATTTCATAGGCTGCTACCCGCACGTCTTGAACATTGCTTTGAAGACGGCCATGGTCGATGGATTCGGTCATCGAGGACCAATGGCAAGTTTTAACATAATATGCCAAATGCAGTACAAAATCGCGTATCTGCATCACCAGAAGCCAACGTACTACAAGTCATTGTACGTTTCACTGAAGATCCTCGGAAAGCCACCTCCCTTGCCCCAAGAATTTATCGACACCCGCTGGTCATGCATACATGAAAATTTGAAATGGTTCCAAAAGTACGCCACGGCATGCATCCAGCTGGGCAAATGTATGCTCGAGTATCTTCCCAAGAAGGAAACGCACTACGTCATTTGGGAAGAAGTGGTCAGAATGTCAGCTAATCCCATCATCACTACAGAACGTGTCACCTTGCTCGAGATTCTCGGCAGGCTGATCATGCCATCTCTTCGGGCCAGCCAGCTCCCCGACACAGAACTCGGCTTTTCAGGCGGCTACTTAGCGCCGAAATGGCCAGTTCAGGTATTACGGGACATACAGCTAGCTATCCTAATGGATGTAGAGCCAGATTTCGCAATGCCACTGACAGCTCGTGCTATGAACTCTAATCTAACAGCAGAATGAGCAGAGCACTACCAGAACAATGTCGTCAAGCCACTTTCTAATGCCATTGTAACTGTCTTGCAGAAGCATGGCGTGCGCTGGCTCAAGTTTCCGTTGGCATTCGGCATGGGGGCAGACTCCAAGTGCCGTCATCATTTCTGGCGAGAGTATGGACGCGTGACAGGCTCCAGCGCAGCATTCCCCTGTCCGGCGGAGTTTCCCACAACCCTGGCGTCCCCGTTGAAGGAGCAGCTCTGGGCCGAGCTGATCAGTGCAGCCACCACCATCAAGTGTCCGTTCACACTTGCCAAAATATGTTACCAGAACGGGTTGCTTCAGCGCCAACAACATCTCTTGCTGCATCCGAGCACGCACTGGTTTCATGAGCTGGAAATCTTGGCAATCGTGGCTGCAGATAAACCGGGCCTCCAGCAATGGGCAGGAAGGTGGCCAATACCAGACGGAATGCTGGCAGAGATTGAGCTGATAGTGCAACGCACAAGCCCCTCAGTGCCCAATGAGAACAAGGAGCCACATGCGTGGAAGTGGTTCGCGACACATGTGTTTGCTCTACCAGTGAACAACGTGATGGCCGAGAGGCAGTTTAACCTGGCAGGAATCCGCCTGACGAACTCTGATTCCGAGATGACGAAACAGGCAACACACCTGTTCGTGGAAAACGTCATCCACGGCAATGAAGCCACAGCCGGTTCATCAGGCAAAAGGACAAGGATGACAGGTAAGAAAATTATCCAACAGCACACGTATCTTGCAGTAGAGACTCGCTCATCACCATTACAAACGTGAAGTATTCGACCTGGCAGCGATTTGATCAAATGCATAGCTAATCACAGATGATGTGTCGAAGATTGTTTACTATGGCTGGCTGTGTTTACATGAGAGCTTTCAACCCGGGTTGAGTTCGACCCGGGTCAGATTTCAACCCACCTTGTACACAAAATGAATGGCACGTTTACATGACGCATTGCGCTTGACCCGGGTTGAAATTTCGCCCTGGGGCGAGAAAATCGTACTAATGTACTTCTATGCGTATCTCGAGCCAGGTTTGAATAGCAGTGCACAGGCAAATTTCGCGCGAAAGTATTCACGTGACCATACGGGACTCTAGAAGTGGACTTTTGGCGGCATATCAGTATTTGACCCGGGTCAACTGCCTTCATGTAAACGCTTGCCTATTTTGTCTATCGTACAGACTTTAAACCCGGGCTGAACTTGACCCGGGTTGAAAATTCTCATGTAAACACAGCCTATGATTCAATCCTGAGACAAGTTGTATACTACGCAGCACACTCTGTAACGTTACACCAACATGCGTACTGACATAGAAGCCAGCAATGCTGCCGAGGCCCACGGTGACTTGAACAGACTGCTTACAATAGCTATCCGCCTCTTAAACATGTGTGTGATTTTCTGCTGGTCATTCACTTTGTGTTTTTACTGATAGGTGCTACAACAAAACAGCTGGCCACAGCAATGCAGGATTACGCGTCCACCATTGCTCCAGAGCGGCTGAAGAAAGCCAAGAAGCAGCTGAAACTACTGAGGCAGGGCACATCTCAGGCCAGGTCGTTGACTGCCTCAGAGACATACCAGGACGTGCTGAAGTGCCATCGCGCGAGAGCTGACCATGACGAAACTCTTGCTCGGCTGGAAAGGGAGGGTAGGAGCCACGGTGTGCAGCACAATCCAGGCACCCGTGCATCCACCCAAGACAGGGCCAACACAAGATCGTTCAGTCCAGTACGTGAGGCGGGTGCAGTCGAGCTAGGTGCATCGGGGTGAGAACGTCCATGGCTACGAAAAAGTCCAGTGCAGCCATTCCTTCATCGATTTTGACAAACTATGGCTTATTTTTTTTGTTGTGAACTTGTCTTCCTTTCTATTGAGACAATTCACAGATTTCTATTTTTCTTCTCCCCTAATATTCTCTTCGAAGCAAAGAGAAATCTTGAGAAACTACTCCGAAATCGTATCTTGCTCCGTGATTTGGGTATTGTTGGCCTTTCTCAAAAATTCTTTCGACAGAAGTCTGCGGAATAGTTGTAGGATCCAGCATGTCAAACTTCAGGCCGATCAGAAAAACAGTCGCTGCCCTAGAATCAAATACACATTACAGGCGTTTCTTCAAAATTTTTAAATTCACGGACCGTGATTGGTCCGTACGGTGCGGTTTTCACGTGCTTGGCACGTGCGAAATTCAAAATGGCCGCGAGATGGTTGTACAGAAGTGTGACCCCTAAATGTCGACTTCTTCCACAGAAGGAGCAACTGCCTTGCATCCACGCAGTGTGCCAAGCATAGGGTCGTAATCTCGTCCAGATATCTTTGCTTCGCAACCAACGACTAACGTTACTTGATCTAGCTTCTCAGCGTTGGGTGAGAGTTTTACGACCTGCGATCGCGACTCGGCACTTGAACTTCACTAGCCGCACTTGCAGCAACAGCAGCAGCAGCCTGTTGTGAACGTTCCACGCGGATCATACTCGTAGGATTCAACTACAAACAATCCCGGTCAATCCCGGTCAATCGAAACAAGAGCAAGAAATAATGCCAAAAAGCCACCCGCTTCACTCTTCTTCGATGTAGCTTTGAATATTCTTGCTGTGCTGCCTCAGCCTGCCTGTGCACCAACATGGCCGCCAACCCTGCGATTACGTCATGACACTCGGGGTCTGCGTCGCTTTCGAGATGTGCAACCACTCTATTTACACTAAACACTGAATATCGGAATATATTTTATCATTCCTATAGACTTTGAAATTAGACTGAGTTCTTCATGTATTATTTTTATTTGTTCTTCATGTAGAAACGTTTTTTCTACAGTAAGCACAACAAACTGTGTACTAGTACACGTGATATTGCACTAAATTGATGAAAAGGACTGATTGATTTGAATATTGATGCTCAACTGACAAAAGTCATCCTCTTCAACGTCAATAGTTGAAGCATGGAGAACCGGATCAAGCGCTTTTTCCTAACCTTTGGAGTTTTGCGTCGTCCGACATAACGTCAGCAACACCCTCTACCGCCATCAGAGAAATGGAGATACGACTGACAACCTTCCATTCACTTTTGTGAAGTATGACTCACACGCCATGACTGAGAAGTGAGATAGAATATTCACTTTTCAAAAAAAGTCTGCGTACACGCGAGAGGCAGGCGCAAACCCACGTGTACGTAGTGATCTTGAGCGTTTCGCCGTGCGTGCACTCTCGGGGCCGGAGTGGTGTCTTCTCGAAACTACGGCCTTTCAAAATATTGTGTGTTGCAAGTATTGACCGCCGGAGATCGAGAGAACCTGGACCAAACTTACTTATTCAAACATGCTACATGGCAGGAATCCTCTTACCCTGGGCCCGTCTGGAAAACTCCGCTGTTCCGAGAGTCTGCTGAGCTTCACTGACTTTCTCTGGGGACAGCATACCAAGTACCTGGATAGGAAGACTATTGCTTCGTTATGCAGGAATATCCACCATCATCAACTAATTCATCGTGACTTCTCTGTTGATAGTCTCGTTCCAAAATAATTACTGTTCTTTCCTCTTGATTTCAATTACTGTACCAAGTATTCGGAAGCTACTTTACGCGCGGCACTGAACCTCTCCACATGCCATTTCGACGTGTGGCCTTGGACACCATCGACATATCGGTGAGTACATGTATCACGCAATACCTCCTTTCCGAAAGCCAATTGCAGTTGAGCCAGAGTCCAGAGATAAGTGGCAAGACGTTATGAATATTGGGCCATAACTTAGTAAAACCACTGGACTGCATTGCTCGTTTTGCTTTGTGTGTTGTTGTCCCCCTGGCCTAGGGCTAGGCCCTGGGCGTTGTCTCGTAGATCTACGATCGTGTGGCCGGCCAGCTCGAACACAGCGGCTACCGCACCGCGGAGAGTGCCACGTAAGTCGTTGTGCTATCGCGCTCTCTATCCCTCTTTTGAAGTTTTGTTTGGGTTTCTGGTTTCGACCTTTGTACTGTGCGAGGCGAAGGGTCAGAGGTCAGATCAGGTCAGGTCTGGTGCAGCTGCAGGACGCATGGATCGGGACATAAATAATCCGATATGGCGATAGCAAACCATGATGATTTCGATTTAGAATAGAAATGCAAGTGCAGTGCACCACGCACCAGTGCAGTGCAGTCGGCCGATCGGATCGGTCGGCCGGATCAGTCACTTCAACAACTTTTTTTCTGTCTTGCCCTTTGCCTTTGGCATTTTTGTGTCGCTTGGCCAAGACCTTTCGTGGTTGCAGGTAACTGTAACACTTTTTCATGACCAGGCCAGGAAACCCTGGTTTTCCTAGGGCTCTGTTTGTACTTGAAATCAATATTTTAGATCAAGTAGCTTACTTACAATACGTTGGTTACTCTTGTAGATCTATCTCGCAGTAATTACTTTTGAATGACAGATGTTTCGGCTTCTCGTACGGGCTGGAGAAGTTTACCTTGTGGCTAAAATATAAGACAACATCTCGACAAGGTAACGCTTGCTGTAGCCAGTTTGATCCTGTCAGTAACCTGACTCACCAGGCTGATACAGCAACCCTGATGTTTGTAGGAATGCCATAGATATCAGTTTCCTGGAAGTATAATCCAGTATCGTTTGGCAGTTTTTTTTAGTAATGGGATGGTCCAGAGAACTGCAATTGTCGTCGTTCGCGGAAATTTCCGAGCCAGTGTAGGGCTGGGAAAAAATAGCTGGCAAACTGGATAGCTTCACGGAGGAGGTGGGGAGCGCGGGGGGTACCTCCGAGTGCTCCCCAGAGGCAGACTGCGCTGCTTTGGCCATTATCCAAGGCAGCCGGTCCGCCAGTCCTCCGCCCCAGGAAGGAGCTGACCACCAAGAAGACGTCGATAGTGGTACCACACGGGATCACAGGTGAGTTGTGTTCATATTTTGTTGTGATCGCCGCCAACTTACTCCGTTTTAGCATAAACTCAAGGCAAGCCCGAATTTCGAGAACCTACCCATTGGCAGCTTGAGTGTTATTTCATGGGAATGATATGATAGCCGCTAGTGGCACTAGGGTGTGAATTACATACATCCCTTACCACCACCCACCCACCCACTTCCAAGACCTATCACAATGACGTTATTATTATTCTCGGCTGTTACATTCATATCTCTCTTATGCGGACATCGGAGGTACGGGCATCTTGGTCTACCGGGCAGGCGGGCACCCTGTGGGTGAGTTTCAGTGGAAATAATTACTACTGAAGTACTCTTTTGCCACCTTGTGTGGAAATAGTGACGTTATAAGCCAGATCTCTGGCCCTTCCCCATTGAAACACATGTGATTCAGAGTTAGAGATGTTTCAAAAGTTATGGGCAGTCCCTGGTCCCTGGGCCGCCAGTAAATATTAATGGGAGATATGAATGTACATGTCTGTCCCCGGGGAAAATCGCAAAAAAACGCGGGGGAAAACGCGGCATAATATGGCATAATTTGCGGTGAATTTGCGGTGAATATGCGGTAAATATGCGGTGAATATTATTGATATGCGGCAAGTTTGCAGTTGATATGAGGCAATTTTCAGTGAGTATGCAGTGAAATCAATCAGTTACAAGTAGGGGTGAAACAATTATACCGAATACTCGAGTACTCGCTCGGTTTTTTCAGAAATAATCGTACTCGGAATAAATCAGAGTACTCGTTCATACATCGTACGTGCATTTACCACAGAAATCTGCAGTTTCAGAGCAGTAGTCGGCGGATATTGATGTACAGACTGTGTGGTGAACATTTGTTCACGAGTAAAGAGAGCCCAAATGACCCACCAACCAATATACCCGAGAAAATGACTACCACTCGGTTCAATCAGGGTTGTATCATGTGATTTTAAGGCCCTCGGTGTGCAATTTTTAGGAGATGAAGAATACTCGAATACTCGAATATTCGATCGGACAAAATCAGAGTACTCGAACTCGGGATCTCAATGCCAACTTTCACCCCTAGTTACAAGTCTCTGGTGTACGCACTCGTCATACTTGAGTACAAAGGCGCCACGATGAGACGTTGCTGAACAGTGCACTGAGTGTACGTGTAGTGCAACAAAAAAGTTCAAAAAACGCGGGAAAATCGCGGAAAACGCGGTCTTTTAAAAAATCGTTAAAAACGCGGGAAAAAACGCGGCCGCGGAATCGCGATTTTCCCCGGGGACAGACATGTATTGAAAGGGTAGCCCAGGGCAGAAGCCGCTGATCGAGGGGTGTGCACAGGAGCAAGAGAAATGGTGATAATCACCAAACCATCAGGGACAGTAGCAAGAGACGATACAGACAAGGAATGTTTTTGCACTATATGTTGTCCATGTTCTACTGCACTGCGCAGAGACGAGAATGACTGCATCTTTCTCTTATCTAACGACCAGCAAGAGGACTGTGAAGAAACCTATACGGTTTGTGAAAGTGATCGAAAGCAAGGTAGGTCCATAATATGCACCTATAACTACATAGCTATTGAGCTAGCTTCGTTCAGTGCACTGCACGGACAGGCCGCGAACAGTCTACCTGGCAGTGTGTCAGTGTCTCAGTGTGATCTCTGTTCTGTACAGAGCTGTTATACAGCATTGACCTGGAGATTGAGGAGTTTAGAAGCAGATTGCTGTCAGTGCTAAGCATCAACCCACAGCAACTGCAGGTAACGTGTATTTCAATCTTCAGGCATACAGCCATACGGTGGATTATGAAGCGCCTTTGCACTGCCTGCATCTAAGGAGCATCCATGTTGTCTGAGGTTCTGTGTAATAAAGCATTAACAGGGCATGATCGTACTCGAATGATGGTATCCCGGCGGTGTGAATGCTGTACCGTTCTAGTCCTCAACTCTTCTGTGCTGGCCGCAATCTTCGGGTTTGGTTCTGTTGGTAACACTGATGCTACCTGCACAGGATGATGGGTATCGAGGTATGCACATTGAAGGCAGTGGAGGTCGAGTGCTAACGTCCACCATACATCAGCACCAGCAGCAGCACATAGGTGACAATCATCTTGCAAGTGCTGGTAAGCTGTCATCTGAATCACAGGAGATATTAACCCATTCTTCTTGAAAATGACACATAAACATCCTACCTACATGATGCTGTCAGCAGATGCGGGACATCCTGGGTATACCATACCATTAGCAGTATGCGTTTTCCCACGTCAGCACACACACACGCACGCACGCACATGCACAGCATACATGTGTAGGAACTGACTCCATTATAGCAACATCCATGCCACCCATGCAGGTGATTGTGTTCAGGCATCCTGGAGTGAAAACGTATCTAATTATCTTCAGGTATCATTTTCACCATAAGAGTCTGCTTGAAACATTCTCTTAGCTCCTGTTACACGACTTGAATGCCAGAGTCTGATTCTACGTAGCTAATATCAAGAGTAGATAAACAAGAGTGTGCAACTCCGGATGGATTGGCCCACGGCGGAATTTTTTGTTGACGTAATCTTTTCGACGACGCACGCGCTGCGAGCCTTTTGGAGAGTTTTCCCTCGTGCACTTGGCTGGGCTTTACACTACAAGGTCGGTGCCCAGCACGTGCTCTCACACTGCTCTGCGGCAAAGCCGCGTTTCTCTGAAAAAAGGTGACGTAAACAAAAAATTCCGCCGTGGGCGCGGGGTATCTGCAGATTGTGCAGGAGAGATCCGGAGTTGCACACTCTTGTTTATCTACTCTTGCTAATATCTATTGCACACAAATGCTAACAGTAATTAGTACAAGTGTAATGTGACATTCAATGGAGTGTGAGCTTGTGTAAGCTCAAGGTAATGACCAACAGCTTACCGTGGGTCACCTTGAAAGGAACCTTGGGAGCTCAGTTGAAGGTATAATTATTCCAGTCGATCATATCACACTGATGGATGTGGTACTGTGCTACACGCAGCAGCTGTTCCTGCATGGTTGTTAAGTACAGTCCCGTTATGTAATGTTTAACGCACCACTGGCACTGCCACCGCCAGGTCCTGTCTTCGATCACTTTCATTTTCACTGCGCTAGGGTGATGTAGTTTTCTTTGCCTGTTTGTAATTGTGTGTCTGTGCATGCGTGCACCTGTATCCAGGGAAGGCAGACAACGATAGTGTCTACCTGGGCAGGTCAGTGTCTGCTTTGTGTCAGTCTACCAGTACTGTAATGATGCCATCCCGAGTAGTCCCGATGAATGGCTATTTTTTGTGTGTATGGAAACCCAGGCATCACGAATCATAGCTCTCACAGGACATCAGTATTACATGTGGAACAGTGGGAGGGGTGTGACCAGTCGGAAAGGGACACCCACAACATTTGTGGCTAGGCTTCATTGCTCTTGCTGCCTATTCTCCATGAGCAAAAAGAACAAAAACTTCGGAATGCTTGAACTTAGAGCAAGATGGTGTGGCAGCCACACTCAAATACATAACACAATTGCCTAACATGCCTCCATTCATGACCGAACTGTGACCCAGAGCTTTGAAAGCACATGCACCTGGTCAATGTGAGAAGCATTTGATTCAAAGCGTCATCTTCCTCCCTACCTGGTGTTGTGGCGCATGAGCTTCAGGCCACCGCTTCCCTTTTTGGTAAGGCCAACATACATGTACACATGCTTACTGTGGCTGGAGGTGCTGGACATACACACCATTCCTTTTTGCCACAATTGCCAATCACAGCTGGTAACAGATTGTAAGGCTTAGTCCTTCGGGTATATGATTTGTCATGCACTGCACCAGTGAAACCTTGCGGCAAAGTCCCTGGCTTGCCAACAGCCCTTTGCCTAAACATGACAGCCCACAAGGGCAAGGAAAATCTAATTGACTTGGTTCAAAAATAGACCATTTGCTGGAACTTCTTCACACCTAGCAGTCTAAAAGAAGGACGTGAAGCCACTGCATAGGTGTCATCAGCACACAAGTGTCTGTTCAGCCACAGACTGGGCTGGACGTTTTCTCACCTTGCCAGACCAGTCGATGAGAGCTGAGCTGGCACCCATACATACTGTGATCCTTGTCAGCTAGGTATGTGAAGGTGCCACAATGTGCCCACAGCAATCCACTTATTCCCCCGTGCTATCTTTATACCAGTCACTGTAGACTGTGCTGCTGTCACCCATTGCCTTTCAACATAGACTCTATATAAATGTAAAGATCCCAGAATAATTGATTTTACCATGAATCCATGGCCTCAAGATTATTTAAACCATTTAAACTGGCAGTGCTAGGCTACAGGTTTCTAGCCGCATGCCTCTGAGCTATCAATAGGAACACCGTGGTGACTGTAGTCTGTAGGATACGAGTTCCGATTCACTCTTTTATACGAGCCTGTATTTGTTGTGGGCTGCATGTTTGCGACATCTCCAGCACAGTGTGGCTACTTGCTTTGTTGGCTCTGGATTTACTTAGAGGCAACTGTTTGAGCCAAGCTGTGCTGGCCTGCCCCCTGCTTGTGTCATCCTGTCTTGAAAAGACATCCACCTGGACACTGAAAACTCCTCATGACCACAGGGAGCCACTTTCAACCATCCACAAGACAATCATCTCTTGGCCCGGAAAGAGAGATCATTTTCTTAGTTAGTTTTCAATGGCCGGAGGAATGCTGGCAGGAAAATATTGCACTCGCAACTCCAGTCCACCCTTAGAAAGTAGTTTCTAAAACTCAACAGTGATGGTAACCACTGCAGATTGGCAGAGTCAACTTGCCAGAGAGCAGTAAGGTGCTGCAAGTGTTTGCATGTGTTCATGTTAGCCACCTGCCCACTGACTACATGCCAGCATACTTTCACAGTGTAACCAATCCCACAAGTCAGTGGGGATTGGATCGAGCCATCCACTCTTTACCATGATGCCTTGGTCCTCGCTTGTTTCTTTGGTTGTTTCCCTGCAGTGTATGCGGCGGCTCTCACCAGTTGTTCCCAGACTCCACGTTTGGCAGCACAACACCAGATAGTGGCCTGGAAGCATCATTCACTGACAGTAATGAGCGTTGCACACCTCTGTCAAGCCAATCTTCATGCGGGCCGCAGCGCCTTGTACCAGACCATCTCTACCTCTATGACAATGAGTTGGACCTGACCCACTGCCTTATCCACTTGCTGATGCTGGCATCTGCCATTTCTCTTGCTCTGCAGAGGTCAGAGTATATGGTGTAGTCTAGATCTCATACCGCATACGAGTATTGCCAAGTGGCTGTGATCATTATAGCTGACAATCAACTTCTTTAAAAACCGTTTCAACAATGTAGCTTGTTACTAACGTTTGTTACCTAACAACTGCAGTCTGTCCACTGAAGGAGGCAGAGCTGCCTCCATGTTACCGTGATGCTTAGGCTTATGGTACATACAAAGGGTAGCTTCTATGAATGATAGAACTCCAGATAGGCATCTCATGTTTGGTACATGATTGTGTTGAAATGTACACATGGCCATCATAAGCAAATTGGTTGTAAAATTCCCATTTTAACACTGGTAGAAAGGGGTTTGGGGTACATGCAATAATCATTCCCAACATGCCCTCCCCCCCCCCTCCCCCCTCCCCACAACAACACACACACACGTACACACACCAGCAGCAGAAGAATATAGAGTTTTCTATTTCCTCCATTGGTACCAGGGTCACCGTGTGCTGCAATGCGATATCACCCATCGGACACATAGCCCGTACTGATTGCATTCCTGACTAGAAATCCCCGGTGATGTACTATATAGGATTTCCGCTATCTGGTAGGTGTGAAATATGCATGCTGATAGCACAAAAGGAGAAAATGGGTTGTTTTGACAAGGGTGTGCTGCGTCCGTCAAGTGCTTGTTGAACGTATTAAAATATACAGGCCTTCTTTCTAACTTCTCAAGTTGTCCCAGCATCACTTGTCAGAATACGGTCCGTTTAGTTTGATGCCCTCTGCACATGAATTGCTATACCACTGCATTCATCTGCGCTGCTCAGTATCCAGTCCTGAACGTTTCCTTGGGACTCTGTCTGCGCTGCTTTTTTTGTTTGTTTTGTTTGTTTCCATTTTTTGTTGACAGCTAGAGCTGGAGTAGAATAGTTGCAAAAAGGTGATGTTGAAATGGGCTTGCACTATACACATGATCTGTTGATCTGTTGCCGCAGCCCATGATACACTTTCAGTCTTGTTGCTTGGTTCCCGTAGTTTGGCGAAACCTGCCGTCACTCGACTCGTGCAGGGAATGATCCGCACACTGGGCTTTCTCTTCGCCCACTTTACTGCAATAGAGTTTACCCAAGTTTACAGGTCCTATTTCAACTAGACGCAATCAGGCGAGTTGCTGAGTAAAGGTGTAAAGCAGTATCTGGCAGTGAGGAGTGAAGTGCCTGCACAACTTGCTGTAATCGATAGTTTACCTGTTACGGGTGGACGTCGACACTCCGTACTGTTTCTTGAACTTTTTCTGTTTTCGGGCAAGAAGCGTTATCTGGCCTTTGCCAACACTGATTGTGGCAACATAAAAGGGAGAAACTCGATCTGACGAAGTCTCTGCGTCCACTCTGCGAAGGGAAAAAGCAGCACAACTCGATCACTTATTACCAGTGATCCTCTTCGAGGCATTCCTCGTGTACGTAGCTGCCTGCGAAAGAGGATAGCATGCTCGATGTGTTACTCACACCTACTTCTACAATGTTTGGGTACAGAGAAATCTTGGTTACGGGTAGATCCTGCGATGCACTTCTCAATCCACATGGCCAGGCCATACATTATTAATTTTTATTGTGATACACAAACCTCCATTGAAACTCCTACAAAATGGGTTTATAATTCAGGTCATAAGGTGTACTGACTAATACATGTACATGCATGTCGATAATCATAAGGAATGGAAGGAGCCAATGCATGCCTAATGGCCATGTTTGGCTTTTACCCCGAGTGTGACCTGAGCTATTTCAAGTACAGAACTCAGAGCGTAGTTTCATTTCCCCTAAACTCAGCAGTTATGGTGAAGTTGAATATTTCCGGCTTCACTTGACATAATTATCATAAACGTCCTCGATGTAGTGACACCAAGTCACGTGCTATAAGGATGACGCTACGACAATATTATCCAAAATACATGTGCGTGTCCTGCAAATTCATGTCATGTGTGTACATGTCGAAGCTTTTAAATTTGTTTAACTTACGTTAGACGACGATGTTTACTCTTGGGGTTGATGCAACGCATAGCGAACGCTGGTCTCTGCATGATCAAGGAATGCACGAAGTATGGATGCTAGGATTACAGGGCGTGAACCACTGTAGACTGAGGATCCTGGATGCCTGCCAGCTGATTAAACCTTAGCTGAAGGAACGCGACTTGCACTGTCAGGAAGAAACCTGTCAGCTTTCTTGTGTTGATTTGCCTCCACAAGTACTTCGAAGTATATTCTACCAATGTTCCGCCATATCAACCTTTAACAACCCGATACCAATCAGGCTCGGAACCAGTACAATCATGTACAGCTTCGGAAGCAGTAGCCTGCAGTGGAAGGTTTGGAAACGCAATCAACACGTTGGACCCTGTCCTGTGTTGTATACTTGGATCCAGTGTTTGAAACGCCAAGGCCAGGTACATGGTCTTCAAACAGCTGACAGTGATGTTCTTGGGTGAATTTTTGCAATTTGTCTATTTTATCAGCAGCAGAAGAAACAATGCACCGGTTTCCCGTCACACATACAGTCAGAACTAAATATTGCGGCAGAGCTTTCGGCCATATTTTCAATTCATTGCATTCCCAACTCATCACAACCACGCGCTCTTCAGCCGAACCATACAGACACCAGCAAGGACACTTCCGTTGAGAGATTATTGCTCCACGCCTCTAGACAGCTGTTTCGCTCCCTGTCAGAGCTCATCAGTAGAGGATGATAATGATGATAATGGAGAAATGATAATGATGATAATGGAGAAATGATAATGATGATAATGGAGAAATGATCATTCTTATACACCAGAAATGGCGCAAGTGCGCGCTTTCCACATAATATTATATCAATGGCATATGCAAGCTGCTAAAATGGTAAAGTGTGAGAACAGCGATAAATAATCATAGTACGCGCTCATTGGTGGAGAAACACACCACACAGGCGACGAAAATCTTACGCGGAATACTGATGCCAATGGAAAGTACATGTATGTTGTTTATTATTATGATGTTGGAATGTCCATTTTAGCAGCTTGCATATGCCATTGATATATGTGGAAAGCGCGCACTTGCGCCATTTCTGGTGTATAAGAATGATCATTTCTCCATTATCATCATTATCATCCTCTACTGATGAGCTCTGACAGGGTGCGAAACAGCTGTCTAGAGGCGTGGAGCAATAATCTCTCAACGGAAGTGTCCTTGCTGGTGTCTGTATGGTTCGGCTGAAGAGCGCGTGGTTGTGATGAGTTGGGAATGCAACACATAGAGCCATGTACAATTAACAAGTGCACGCTTGTGATTGGCAAGACTGGCAATATCCGTCGACAAGTGTTATCTGGCTATTGACAATATTGGTAAGGTGGTCTAGCATTGCCTGTATGGCTGTCGTAGACCTATGTATTCAGACCTGCTTGCCAGACCAACACGCCGCTGACGGAGCTTGCATGTGTGCTGCTACACTACTTGTACATACCGTTGAACGTGTCGGTAATCACTGTTGATTGTTCAAATGTTCAGGGTGTACATTATATACAACAAGCCGTATATGGTCAAGTTGTGCTTCGATCAGAGACCACATGGACTGGGAGTTACTTGGCAGCAGCATTAACCATCAGAAAGCAACCGTCACTTGAGCCGGGCTGTTGTAGAACAGTCGAATTGTTCATCGTTTAGATTGAGGCCCGTTCGAACTTGTAGCGGCTATTGCCTATTGGACAAACTATTGGTGATTGGATTGATGCAGTAATACTTGCGTTGAACTGTAGTTTAACAACAGTCTGCATGGACCGTACATGTAACTAACTTCGATCAATTCAGACCATGTTGCTATCTTCGTCACGCTGATTAGTCCGTGACAGGACTGATAGGATCATTGGCGAAGGGTTGGGGGGTGAACGAGGGATGGCGCGGTTCGGCGCGAGGGCAAGGCAAGTTTCTCCGCAGCTGCTATAATTAGCTGCAATTAGCACGTGTAATGTAGTACATGTATATTAAACTTAACAGTGCATCACTGCACGGACATGCCTATTATAAAGTGGAATCCCGTTAGAGACCTTCACGACTTGATTCCATATAACTAGGCAGTGTTAATGACCATGATCAAACAAGCCTACATACTATAGCATGCACGTGGGATCAGAGAAATTGCCAGATGACGGATTCTACAGGTAATGGTGTTGCACCCTCCCAGTTGTGTGATAGAAAACACCTTACAAGCTATCCACCTGGTCAAGACCCCTTCGCTGATGTGCATGAAGTACAATGCCATGTACATGTACATTGTACAAGTACGCAAGGAAAGTCGTCAGCGGTTACCGGCTGCTGTACCCACCACGTACATGTAGGCGAACTGTTTCTGTGCGCGTGTGTGTGTATGTATTCTATGTGCGTGCACGCGCGCGTGTGTGTGTGCCAATCCTCTGCATCATGCCTTGCCTTCTGATCATGTAGTGTTGGGTTTGCTAGCATAGTCAGATCACTGTCAAGAAGTGCTGAGCCTGGCCTAGCACCATGACACCATGGTAGCGATATCCCAGATCCTGGCACTGATACGGAAAGTTGCTCTGCAAGGCGTAAAGCGGAGCTTGTCACACGATTCGAAATCCCTTTCTTCATGCAAATCTCCCTGCTGTTACTGGCTGGGTCTCTTGAAGTACGGAAGCGCACAGGTTGTCAGTGAGTTGACAGCATTGCTGGTGGACCATTTGATGGGCGCTTTCCAGTCCTCCCTGACCACTTTCGCGAGCAGCACCAAATTGAGTTGTCTCTGAAGACATACGCATGCCGAGATCAGCAGTGGAACACCTGCTCTAAGTCAGTTTTGTAATGTTTGCCAATGTGCAGAGCCTATCCAGGGTGACTTCATACTTGGAAAATGCCGACATTGGTAATGGTTTGTGTTATAATTATGCCGACCAACTGGCCTGTGCCGCGGCAGAAGGCAAGCTTACGTATGCCTCGTGTGCCTAACTGGAATTTGGAAACATCCACAGTTCGAGTGGTGGCCCCAATTGCCCTCCTTCAATTGACTTCATCCGTCTGTAGATCTACGCCGGAACATGCTGGCTGGCTCCACCATACATTCGTACCGTTAACAACA